CTCCCCCCCCCCCCCCCCCCCCCCCCCCCCCCCCCCCCCCCCCCCCCCCCCCCCCCCCCCCCCCCCCCCCCCCCCCCCCCCCCCCCCCCCCCCCCAAGCACCCACAACAAGAGATAGATGAATTAACGTATCCAGAGGGTATTTCATCTACGTCACCGTCTCGCCTGTGCTGATCAACGAGTGCCGAAATGTGAGCGTGAGTGCATATATACCGACAAGGGTTGGGTCACAATAGGATGCGCATACCCGTCCCACGACGGGGCACCTTGGCACCCTCGACATGTGGCTTTCCCGCGTATAACAGGACTCGGCACCAGAAACGAAACGCCTTGGAGTCTTCATGACCATAATAAACACATTTGGCGCTGTGCTTCGCAGCAGACTGGACTGCCCTGCCATCGACGTCTGAGCATCAATCCCTCCCCAACAACATCATGACAGGCACCTCACCAGACTGGTCGCCCGACGCGCAGCTCTGGGGTCTGAGTGCAAAGATCTCGCGAGATGGCCTCCTGGCCTCGATATACTCGACGTTTGCCGTAGCCACAGTGTTCCTCTGCCTGCGTCTCATCCTTCGCTGGCGGTACAACGGCCGCCTCCTCCTCGGCGACTACTGGATGCTCTTCGCCTACCTCGCCTTCGTCACACAGACCGTCCTCCAGACCGTCCAGCTCGACGCCATGTGGTACGTGATCTATCTGGATTTCGGCCGCATCTCCCCCACGGACCCGGACAGGTATCGGCAGGCCCGGGAAATGGCGAGGTGGTACTTTGCCGTCACGGGCCTCTTCTGGACGGTGCTCTGGAGCGTCAAGGCCAGTCTGCTCGTCACATTCTACAAACTCGTGCGGCCCATCACGCGGCTGCGGAGATGTCTGTATGCCGTGGCTGGCTTCACTGTGCTGTCGTACGTCGGCTGCTGGGTGGTCTATACGTGCCTACGCGCGAGCCCTGAGAACATGTATCTCCTCGAGACCAGAAGTGCCGGGCGCCGAGCGCGCATCAGCGCCATCTTTGTGACCGTGGTCGACACGCTGAGTGACATTCTGATTGCGCTGCTGCCCATGTACATCCTGCCGAGTCTGCAGCTGAGTCGCGGCAAGAAATTCGGCATCGGACTGACCTTTGCCCTTGGGCTGTTGGTCGTGGCCGTGGCCATTGTGCGTATGACGCAGATCACCTGTGGCTATGGGATAGACTATATTGGCGTCGCCCTCTGGGGCGCCGTGGAGACCGCAACGTCTATTGTCGTCGGGTCGCTGCTGTCGCTCGGCGGTCTGTTGACCAAGGGGGTCAGGGGTCTTCGACGTGGGACCGGTTACTCAAAGCAGTCGGGCTCTGCCGGTGGCAAGAGCAGCTACTATTCCGGTGGCTTGTCCAGCTCTGCGCGGACACGGGGGAGTACTGGTCTGGCGTCGACGTCAGACTCGGACAATGAGCTCGTCCAGTCTCAGCGGAGGGAGAGCGTGTGTGTGTTGGAGGTCCAGAAGACGGTGGAGACTGATGTGTACTCTGAGTATGCTCATGATGCAGATGGCCACGATGGACTGGCGGAGATGAGGAAGAAGGAACTACAATTAGCGTGAATGATTCTCTTTTGGTCTTTTGAAGTAAACCATTGATTTGTGTGACTGATGTAAAAGCCTCTAGAGCGTATTAACTTTGACTCAGCAGCCTGCTATAGCTTGGATGGAGTGCCCAAACTCGCGTACACATCAAGGACGAAGTTCTCCGGACTCTCCAAACGAGCGGCAGTCTCTTCAAAGAGGCGAGGCACACCGGTTTCGGAAAAAGGTGTCCCGTTGAGGGTCACCTTGCTGAGTCCCTTGGCGGCCAGGAAGATTTGGGGCATGCCATGGCCAGTGAAGCCCCCCATGATGAACATGTTCTTTCTGCCCGGTACACAGCCAATACGGGGCAGATGATCAGCAGAATATCCCATGACTGCGAGTAACTGTATTAGCACATGGAGACAGATGGATTTGAAGAAAACACGCACTGCCCGTCCAGACGCTGTCTGTGTATGCACCACTGTCCTCCCAGCCGCGGAAATGCCGCTGCATATAGCCATCAAAGTATCCCTCTGCCCTCTTCACCATCTGAGTATCGTCAACGTTGCCGTACCAGTCTTCCAAGTGCCGGAGGTATGTCCTCCTCGCGCCTCCAACGACGATGCTGCCGTCGTTGCGAGGAATCAGGTAGTCATAGTCCCAGTCATTGAATCGAAGGGCATATGTATTGGCCAGAAGCGGCGGCCTGTCAGGCCCAGGGGTGACAATTCGGCTGCATACACCACGATATGGAATGATCTTATCATCATACTCCGGAAGCAGTGCCGCCGTGTAAGCATTGGTGGCCATGACGACCTGCTTCGCGGTGTTGGTGCCTCTCGTGGTGGAGATCACCCAGCGCCCGTCCGCGTCTGGCTGGTTTGGAATCGACGTGACGGGAGTATGAGTCTGAACATTGACATTGTCGTGGACAAGACTCGCCTCGAACATGTGGTGGATGAGCTTGTACGGCCAGACGTGAGCGGCAGTATACTCGAACACACCCTGGGCACCCTTGACGCCAGAGACCATCTCTGCGTCCTCGCCGTGCATGTAGAATGCATCCTTGGCCACGGAACCACCTTCCCTGACGAACTGGTCGTATCTAGATTTGAGCGAGCTGTCCTGAGCCCCAGATAACTGCACATCCACCGCTTGCGTGAGAGTGAAGTCGCAGTCTGCGCCTGTCTCTGCAATGTACTCTCGGACAGCGAGCAGGTTGGCCTTTTCGAATTCGGCAATCTCGACAGCCGCCTGCACGCCGTGCTTCGATGAGAGAGCTGAGCACAGGTTGTAGACGTCGGGCTTGATGTGTCCGCCTGGGGTATGTCAGCTGCCAGCACAGCGGACGAGGTTTCAATTCCGTGATGGCAGTACCATTGCGTCCTGACGCTCCGGAGCATAGCTGGCGGGCTTCCAGGACGACTATCGATTTGTCTTTGTATTTCTCGTTCGCGAGCAAATGTGTCAGCAGAGAGGCGCCCGAGTAGCCAGCGCCGATGATGAGGATGTCGCACTCAGATGGCAATGATTCAGTAGAGCGATGATTGTCCAGGGAGCCCGGGTTGCTTCGCCAGAACGAGGTCATGCCTCGGGCGGGAGGAAATGGTTTCGAGTCTTTCGACGGCATGTTGAGCGAGGTGAGGTGTGATGAGGTAGGCGAGTTGATTCAAACGATGCGTGTGAGCGACGCATCTGTCTCTGACTGTTGAGGATCACATGGTGAAGAATAAACCTCATGGAGGGCTCTTATCTATGCGTTCGCAGACGAGGATCGTCCTGTCGTGACGATCTCCCCGGCATCGGTTCCCCCAGCTTCCCCGACTCGACGTCCAAGATAAGATCCGAAGGATGTGCGGAGACAGCCGTTGAACTACGTAACGTCAGTCCCCATATATTCCGCCCTCACCTTTTTACATGGCACTCGGAGCGCGACGTAAAGCATTCCCTTTCTTCATTACATCAATCAGTCAAGTGGTATAGCCTCCATGCCCAACGTACATTCCCAAATGCCTGGCACACGCAGCAGCACAGTGCTTGCTATTTGATCTACATGACATGTGCAGTCAGCAGACCCCCCATGTCTACCTTGGCAGTGACAAGTTGCATATTCATCCCAGCATCACAGTTCCTCCCCTCCTGTACTGACGTATCCCTTGGAACGAATCAGCCGCATGAACTTTCCTTCCTGCGGCTCACACAAGGCGACCCCCCGCTCCAGCAGATACTTCGTGACCGCCTTGGTCGTTGCATCGGCTTTTTTGGCGTGCACCTTCATCTCAATCTCCATCAGATGCAGGTCTCCTGCCACGACGTCGTCAAACTTGGCCTTGTGTCCCCCAATGCGCAGCTTCCACTTGCCATTGGGGTACGGTCCGTACGCGTCGAGGGCGCTCCAATCGACGTCCTGGTACTTTTGCGCAAGTTCTACCTGCTCCTCGCACCATATATCCCCCGCCAACGCGTGTTTGAGAAGGCAGCGCTTCTCGCAGGCATAAAAGGGCGTGTTATTGCCGTAGCGTGCCCATCCACACTCGGCAAAGTCTGGAATGTCGGGCGAGTCCTCCTGGAGGTGGACTTTGATGGCGGACAATGGCTTCCCCTTGTTGGTTTTGGTGCGAAAACCCACCCCAGAGAATGCGTGGAAGGGTGGCTGTTCGTCGTAGTACGTGATGGGGTTTTCCTTGTAGGGCGGTGTTGCCGCTTTCAAGCCTAGCTTAGGGAGCACGTCCTGCGGGTTGGCTTCGCAGATGGCCCACTGGAGGTTGACCTTGTTTCTTGCGAAAGTAACCGAGAAGAAGGCAAACAGGAGTATAATCAGCTTCATCTTTCTAATGGCAAGCGAGGTTGACAGGCTTGCTTGCGCCCACTTGTACCTTGTGTGGGAAAGCCGGCACTTATATAGGTCGGTGTGGACGGCTGCCCTGTGCTCCCGGATCAGCTAGTAGTCCTAGTGCAAGACGGCGATGAAAAGCAATCACGAGGCTTGGGAAGCTCGAGCATCACGTAGCGGGGCTGCTGCGACCAGAAGGCTGTATGGCAAGGATCGACGACGCTCGATGCGCTCAATGTTGCTTTATGCGGCTCTGCTCAAGGCCAAGCGGAGGTGATCTACCACCAACAGTCCAGACGCGACTGCCGACAGCTGCTGAGATGTGAGACAGCGTCATGGCTCTGGAATAGGTATCTGGGCACGCGACCAGCGGGACGGATCCTCCGGCGTTGCTTTTCCACTAGTAAACCATGCCGGCATCCTTGATGTAATAAGGTAGCCGGGGCTACCAGTCTTTCCGTGCTTGTGGAGTGGGTGAGGAAACAAGCAGATGAGATCAATTCGCATCAGTGGCTTGCCGACGTAGATGAGGAAAGTTATATGCGTGCGGCTCGAAGAGTCTAGGGTAGCTAAAGAATAAAGCGCCTCGAGATCCGCCCCACTACCCCTGAACTTGGTTGCTCTTCCCCCACTGATTCAGACGTCGCGTCGCGTTACGTCAGCGACGAACAGCGCCAAATATCCAGCACATCACCTTTCTTTGACTTCGTTACAGCCCTTCGCTTCGGCATCCATCGTCATTCACTCTCTTCTATCGCGACTTGGTCGCACGCTCACTTTAACCAAGGTTGGATGATTTCTCCTCGCTGGACATTTGCCGTTGCCTTCCACCATGCTCCCAACCAGCCAGGCTGAATCTGCGCGGGCGCAGGACAGCTACGAGCTCGCCGACAAGGCATCCCACGACGACAGAGCGCCACCTCCATCACAGCGCAACAACCGAGACAAGATCAGATGCCTCGACGGGCTTCGAGGCATCGCCTGCCTTCTCGTCTTCAACTACCACTTCCTGTGGCCATGGACACCGTCCATCATGCTAGGCTATGGAGCCTTCCCCCCGGGCGCACCTGAGCCATACTGGGGGTTGCACCAGCTCCCCATCATCTGCCTGCTGACGCGCGGACGTCCCATGGTGGCCATTTTCTTCGCCATTTCAGGCTACGTTCTCTGCCGACACATTCTCCGGGCCATTCACGAACGACGCCTCGACGCCGCCTACCGAAGTCTGTCCTCGTCCGTTTTCCGCCGAGTTTTCCGCCTCTACATACCCCCGACCGTCAGCATGTTCCTTGTGGCCATGCTTGCCCAGCTCGGCGCTTTCCGGCCCGAGGACGACATCTTCATGGGCCGCGACTCGGTCTACATCAATGGCACGGTGACCAAGCTCTCGCTCGGGACACCCTGTGTGAACGGCACAGCTGTCGCTGGGGCGTCCGGCGTCGCAGAGTACCTGGGGCTGCAGACCTCAGGTTACCTGTACAACACGACGGGGTGGGATGAGTCGCTCTCCCTCTGTGTTAATGCCACGAGCAAGGAGTTTGGCCCGTCGCGCACGTATTCGCTGCTCGCCCTCGCGGAGGATGAGTTCAGGAACCTCAACGGCACCGACAGCGACACCGGAGCCAAGGCGGTCGAGACGTACATGCAGCATTACGGAGACGAATACTGGCCACCCTACCAGGGACCCGTGCCGCTGCACACGGGCAATGGTACCAACGTGACGCTTTGCGATGGAACCAAGACGCGCAACACCACAGACTTTATGCTGGTGCAGATGGGCGGCTCCTGGGAGGAACATCCCTTCATCCACGATAACATTACCTACGCGGTGCAGAACTTTACCAGAGCCTACGCCGAGTGGGCTAATCCATTCAACTTCGGCCACTATCACCCTCGCTACGACCCCCACACATTCACTATCCCCATGGAGCTGCGCGGGTCCATGTTTATCTACATCTTCCTGCTGGGCACCGCGGCGCTCAAGGCAAAGTACAGACTGGGCATTGCCGGCGGCTTGATGGCGTACTCACTTCACATGTCCAGGTGGGACATGGCGACGTTTCTGGGCGGCACGGCTCTCTCTGAGCTGGACATACGACGGTCAGACGAGTCCAGGAGCCTAGGCCCCCCAGCCACCGGCTCGCAGCGACAAAAGTCAGCCTCGCGGGACACGGCGCTTCGGTATCTGGGCATCGTGACGGCGCTGCACTTCCTGTCGTACCCGGACGCTGCGGCCGAATACACACCAGGCTTCCGGACCATGGCGAAGTGGGTGCCGCGGTATTACATCCCCCTCTCCGGCTGGATGGTGTACCAATCCTTGGGCGCCCTCATCCTCCTCCCCTGCGTGATGCGCACGCCCTTCCTTGTCAGCATCCTCGAGAGCAGATTCGCGCAGTATCTGGGCAGGATCAGTTTCTCGCTGTACCTTGTCCACGGCCCGATCCTGCATAGCGTGGGCTTTTGGATCATGCCCCGTTTGTTCGACTACTTTGGCCAGCCCGTCGGTTTCGTCGTCGGATGGGCGGTCCTTCTGACACTGACGCTTTATCTGGCGAATATCTGGTACAAGAAGGTTGATCTGTGGAGCGTGACAGTCGGGAAGAGGATCGAGAGGATGGTGGTTCATTAGAGGTTCTTGCGAGGGTGGTGATCACGGTGCATTGAGCGTTTCTCCTTTCGGTTGATCTGGCTTGACAATGTATCATGAGTTAGACAGTTGCTTGAAAGACCAAACAACACCGATTTTGAACAGTCTCGCGGAGATACAGTTGCGTTTGCTCTTCGCTTTCTGAAACTAGGCACGTCCAGCAGCGCCACCATGATTACGAACTTCGAGCTTAAATGGGAGGAGTAGGAAGTCTCCGTTCTGGAGGGCCCCTCTGGTTTTTCAAGGCATTTGCTGCGAAACGGGCAGCTCGCGCCCTTGTTGCTACGTTGGGAAGGGGATGTCTATGCCCTGTGGCCAAGAAACAGCTCAGTCAGCTCCTCGCGCGTTACTCTCAAGACTTGGCCGCCAAACGCACCCAAGTATCACTGTCTATGCGCTCGTCGAGGGCGGGCATTGCGCGGCACATCGCCGAGTGCTTTCTGCACGTCCTCCAAGAACCGACGGGGAGGTGACCATGGGAGAGATGACAGAAACTGCCTACCCGGTAGGGTCTGCCACTCACCAGCAGCGGGGACTGCTCCCATGCTTTGTTAGGAGAGACAGATGTCTACTCAACCCAAGACCTGAGCTCTCATAAGTCTCTCCTGGTTTGCACCACCGATATTGGATTCCACATGAAATAGTGTATTAAGTGACGACAACAGGATGTCTGTTATCCGTACTCACTACTCGGAGTCGGACAGACCTGGACTTCTTCCAATACATGTACTTTACACGTACGAGCACTACGACATCAAGATGCCTATCTTGCTAAGACAAGATGCCATCATCTTATGTCCAGGACTCCGGTCAACTCTTCACGAACAGATATTATTCAAACACGCGGCCATTAGCTACCGCCACTCATCGCAGCTCGAGAGCTCTACAGTCCTTGTTCCAATGGAATACCCTACAGCAGAAGCTGTCTTCAATTTCTGTCACAGCGTGGCGTCGAGATTAATCGGTGAAGCAATATGTACCTTACTGATGAGTTCTGTTCGTAATTATTGGACTAATATAGCACCGCAGAACCGCAACGTTGAAGGCAGTCCTCAAACCAGACTACAGAAACCTATGGGAGATCAACGCTGAGATGATCCAGCCGTGCACAAAGCAACACATGTGCAAACTCCAAACGCTCAGTCAGCACCAAACCCTCATGCGGACAAGAGTCCGAACAATACTTCAGTACCACGTTGCGTCAACATTCGCCCCCAACCAGACTAAACCCAATCCAAGAAAGGAGCCCGGCGCTGCTCCCAAAGAACCCTACAGCCAGCCCGCACCGAGCACCACAATCCTCAACGGTCTGACCGTCACGCTTGCGCAGGCAAACACGAAAGCAGAAAGAGAAGGACAGAAGAAAAAAAAAAAAAAAAATTCTTCAGCGCATCCTTCGGACCAGACAGCTGGGACGGATGCCGTCTGGTGGTTGCCTACATGTACCTGCTTCCCCGATGCAGCGTGCATGCATGTGTACGTACTTGGCGGGTGTGCCGTGCCTGTCCGGTCCCGATATCCGCAGCAGCTGTGGCTGGCAACATGGTACGATAATTACGAATAATATGTTGCCTCGGTGAGATGATTTGCTAAGTATGAAGGAGTACTGGTCGTATCATGTTAAGGAACTCCAGGATGATGACCGCGCCAGGGGCAGGGGTGTCTCGAAACAAATGATCGAGCCGTGGATAATTACGGAGTATATGGAGATCCTGGAACCGAGGCATGGCCAGATAATGCTCTGGCCTTTGGAAGGGAATAGTTGGTTGCGCGAGTCAGACTCGACACCTTATTTTCTCGTGACAGGGGCTTTCCCTCGGATAGATGTGCCTCTCGCGGCTCTCGCCATAATCAGTCGCCACAAGCTGCTTTAGCGCTTGGATGGGTTTCCGCCGCCCCGTCGGCCTTCTTATCATGAATTACGAGTCAGTTTAGTCCGCTTTCAGCAAGCTTGTGTAGACGTCAAGACACGGAAGGCAGCTGATGGCTCTTCAAGAAATACGCCGCAGAAGGATGTTAAAGAGTTGGCTCATAGCAGAGCGAGATGACACGAGAATAATGAAAAATTGACGTTCCTCGTGGATGTGAAATATACGTTTTAGTCATACAGAACGTGTGGTATAAACTGTCGCACCATCTATAAACCCAAACAAACAAACCCGCGGCAAAGACATCAGTCCTTGTTCGAGTACTGCACCGTGTACTCCACCGTCTTCTGGATCCCCTCGTGCCCGTCGCTATTCCTATCGCCAGCCCCGTGGTGGATGGTGTTGGTGGCTGTCTTGCCGCCGAGGATGCTGTCCTGGCTACCGGCGACCGAGTTGTTCCTCTGCATGGTGGTCATGACCATGCCCTCATTCTTGCCGCCGCCAATCTCGACCCAGTGCGCATCATCGTCGCCGCCACCCCCGCGGGCCTGGCTGCCACCGACCTGCGTACCAAGGCCGCGAGACTTGTGCGTGCCGGTGCCGTAGCCGGGTGTGGCGTACGGGTTGGAGTAGCCCTTGCTGCGTAGCATGGGGATGAGCTTGACGATAAAGGGCCGCAGGATGGGCAGACAAGCGCAGACGACGGCAATGTTGGGCTCGATAATGGTCCACATGACGTTGGCAATGTCGTAGGTGGTGTCGGGTGTGGTGGCGAGGATATCGAGGGTGGTGACGCGCAGGCACGAGGTGACGACGACAAAGATGCCGAGGGCAAAGACGGCCATGAGAGCAACCTTTTGCGGCCAGGGGACCTGCAGCTGGTAGACGAGCGGCATGGGCAGCAGCAGGATGATGACGTCCGTGGCGATGGAGAAGCCGGCGTTGGCGTACCAGAACTGGCTGTTGTCGACGCAGGTGCCCTTGATGGACTTGTCAAAGGAGCGCTGGATGGGCGAGCACTGGAAGATGGTGGCGAAGACGGAGGCGATCATGTAGCTGCCGACGCAGCCCAGCAGGGCCCAGCAGGCGAAGCGGAACCAGCGGATCTTGTTGAAGATGCGCAGGTAGAGGAGCAGGATGCAGACCTTGGAGAGGTTGATGGCGGCCTTGTAGACGACCTGCGCGAGGTAGAAGAACTTCATGGTCTCGTACTTGACATCGGGCTCGAGGAAGGCCATGTGTCTCCCCATGCCATACTGGCAGGCTGTAAAGGTATTAGACTGAGCGTGTCACTTTGCTGGGGACAAGAACTTACCGGCTACGAGAAAGCCGCTCAGGAGGAGCACGAAGACCTGATCGTCCGTTAGTCCGAGATGCCCTCGAGATATGACTTTCTTTCAGATAGACTCACCAGAGCCGCAATGGCAGCGTAGTCGTCGGGGCCCATGCTACCGCCTCCTCTAAGGCGCGCCCACACGCGCAGGGCGACGAGGACGGGACATATGACGACAAAAACTGCGGCGGGGATATACACGAGGTGGACATTGTTGTCCTTGGGGTCGAGGCCCTCTGTGCTCATGGTCTTACCCGACATGATGGTGAGTGACTACTTGACTGTGGTGTCTGGAGTGGAGTGGGCCGTCACTCTTCACCACGGGCGTAGTCGAGGGCGCTGTCGTCTTTGTCGATCCAGTTGTCTAGTCCAACTCAAAAGAGCGTCGAGAGATGGGATCCGAGGTGGGAGAGGGTCCGGCAGGGCTCAAATAGCATCGCGTGCGCGGAGGGCCCTGGTGTATCTTGTACCGTCTATAATCTAGCGAGATCCGTGCGTGTCCGTGGGTGTCTCGTTCAGGGGTGCCAGCTAGCTGCACAGAAGGGCATTACATACGTGCGCCGAGAAAGAACTGGAGAAGATCTGCCCGAACGAGCACAGTAGTCTGTTATGGAAGAAAGCCTCTCAGAGAAGGATTGTGTGAGAAGGTAACCAGAAGCAACGCAACTGCTCCGTGTCACATCATCCTGTCGATGCGCCAATGCAAGATCATGGACGCTTGGATGCCGTATGGATCAACAGATGGCGATGGTGGTGGGCTGGTAGGCCATCAGAGTTCTTCAGCCATAGATCTCTGGCCGGTGAAAGGAGCCGAGGCGCTGATCACAGCTCGATTCTGATGAAGGGACTGGGTCCCAAGCAGGGGAGGACGAGTAGTCCCGCCGAGGAAGACGCAGTAATTATCCATGCGTACCAGTAAGTGGCCATGCTGTTCCTTCTCTTCCGCGCTTGGTCCAGTCTTCATTTCCGTCGGTTCAGCAGCCGAAGAAGTAACCAGAGTAGCTACCGTGACATGCCTTTTCGGCTGGAATCGTGGGCCACCATCTCCTCGATCGGTCTGATGAGATCTTTCCAGTCTGTTGATCGTCACTCGGTGCCCGTTTATTAGTGTAAAAGGCGCCAGTCCAGGCGTGAGGACACGCTACTTCCTTTGATGCTACGTACTCTGGCGTTCCATCCAGCCAAGACAATCCTGCAACGCGAGTGCCGTCGTTGCTTGCTGGCTGGGAACTTGAACCCCTGGTTCAGGCAAATGCAAGATTTTCAGGGGCCCGACGAGCTCGCTACCTGTTGAAGACGCGGACGGATCGTACGAGACACGCACGTATGATTCGACGATGGTGGCATGTCTGCTACGTACCTGATGAGAGGTTCACAGCTTCACAGGCGGTATCCATCAACGAGTGGCCGCCACACAAGCCCCTCCCGCTCGACGGCTGATCCATGATAGGGCCTGGCCTTGGCGGGAGAGCTACCGGAGTAGCTTACTGTCAAGGACTCAAGGTCGACCAGCAGTAGTGCCAGGGAGGCTGGCCAATGGGTCTGCGGGACAGGGTCGTGGTTTATTCTCAGACGGGCAATGCGGGTATCGCATCGTACAGCCCCGGGCCGGGAGGGTGGCAGGCATGTGAAGAGTCTGATCAAGATCAAGGTGGTGTGGTTGTCAAATCTCGGTCATGTCGGTACAGAGGAGCTTGTTTGAGTCTGCGCTGTCGAGCCAAGCACTGTCAGTCCGCATCTCAAGCCGCATCTAGCCTTTGTCCTCCCTTGAAGGAATCAAAAGGTCATAGCTTCCGGTGAAGCTGGAGCTGGACAGACGGTACGGAATCGAATGCACCGAGGGATCCATCTGTCAGCTCCAACTGGACAGTGAGTGACAGAGTGAGTGGTGCCTGGGATGTGCCCTGGACGGCGTCGAACGCTAACTTAATGTGCGCCGTGAGATGCGCGCCCATCCCAGTCGACGGTCGACGTGGTCTTCGGACTGGGAGCGCGGATCTCTTCCCCGTTGGGGGGCGCGGCAAGGGAGTCTCAGCTGCTGCAGAGGGACGGACCATGGAAGGATTTGATCAAACGAAAGGAAGGAGAGAGTGTTGGTTACATGTATGTACCTACGGTCCCGCAGTGCCTCTCCCTTCCTTATGCGGTCTGGCTCATCCGGATCGCTCGTGGTGCGCGATCTGGCCCCCCCATCCGTTGAAGAAATGAAATGTGACAGAGATCGTTGCACAACTTCACCTGTGGAGGGGGGGCCATTTGACAGCAAGGCTATCACATGTCGGCCTTTGATTTCCCCAGAACTTAAAGAATGAGCGCCGCCATCATTCTTCACCCTCTCCACCACACCAGACCAGACGTCGAGCGACTCGCCCAGCCAAGGCGCCTTGCGGGATAAGAATGGGCTGGCGAGCGGAGGATTTGCAAGCCACAAGCGAGGGGATCGCCCGGGAGCAAGCCCCGTAGTCAGCAGTGGGTTCTTTTGTCTTTGTCCAGTCCAGTGACTCCAGTCGCTTCTGAGTGCTGAGTTCTGACTTGACGTCCACTTTCAGGGGGCCTCCACTCACTCGGCCGCGAGGAGTTGACCACGGCCTCTCGGACAGTCGGACTCTCCCCCACTCGACCGCAGACGGACACGGCCCCGTTTCGAGGGACGAGCGAAAGGACGCAGACTAGCCTGGCCTGGCTAGCGGCCTGGTTTAGCCTTGCAAATCGTCGTAGAGGAGGAGTAAAAGGACCGACGGAAGTCGCCAGAGCAGCATGGGGATTGGGTAGGCCCATCAGCATCATCAGCTCGCGAATGTACATGTAACTAGCTGGATGCAACGAGTGATTCGGCAGAATGGACAGAAGCTCGGATTGTCAAATGAGAAGATTTTTAAATGAAGACAACTGTCCAGAGCTGGGCAGAGGGCCAAACACGAATTGACTCCCCTGCTCAGAGCGCGAGCATGGTCAGACGTCCTGGCGAGAGCCGCCTGGGCGATGGTCTCACAGTCGCGCAGCCACGCTGGATGGCCATCGTGAAACGATCACGCCCAGTCGGGAGCGACCGGGTGGCCGAGCCGGAGGCAATATTGTCCACCTTTCTTCCAAGTGCCGCCGTCCACAATTTTCAGTGTTGATGATGAGTCTCTCGGGAGGAGGAGGAGGAGGTTGGCTGCAGCATCTGTTGGACGGTACTGAACTAATAATTCATGGACTTGTCAATCCGAACCAACAGATGCAAGACAGACCCTTCCTGGCGCACATGCATGGCAAACACGTTTTTCGAAGCAGCACCGAAGCATTCATGTCCTCGGTTTCGTGTCTCCCTAAGATTACATGTAACAATGAGCTCTGGCAGGCCCCTGCACGCCAATTTTTGATCACACGAAGACGAGAACGCCCTCCAGCGGCCAGCCTCCAGGGCCTCGGAATTGGCCAAACTGCCAAGATCTCGTTTCGGATACTCAATCTCGTCGTTCGATGCCAGAAATTTGTAACATGTTCATGGCACTGGGTGAGATTTGAACACTGAGTGGCCTGGGATGCAGGATCTCTGGTATGAAGGTCCACCCTCGACTGCATAAGCGCATCCAGGGATCTTATCTAGTCGATGCGACGCCAGCGAGTGAGTGTCAAGCAAAGCGAACCAGCCAGCCAGCCAGCCAGCCAGCGTGAAGAGATTGACAGCAGCAGCACCGGATTGAGAATCGAGACGCGAGGCATTGATTGACATGGCGACGGCGAGACAGACGGCGAGACAGACACGCTGCTGCCCTCGTGGGGTTTGATTTGATTCTCCCTGGACGCGTCCCTGCGGCATCCTCCGCCGTCAATTGCATTTGGGATCGAATTGTTGCTCTCAAGGAAAGTGAATACCTTCTTCGCCCACGACAGTCCATTTTGGCCGTGTTTCACCCATTGAGCGCATCATTTAGTCCTCTTCTCTGCGTCTTGGCTCGACAAACGACCCCAGCGCGTCTCGTCCAGGGTCCAGCCAGCAGCAGCAGCCTTTCCTTTCCTTGGATAATTATTTGTATTCTCTGCATCGGTCGTACCCACCGAGCCGAACTGCACCTGGAGTCCTGGACACGGACACGGACACACCCCGGTTCACTCGCTCTTTGCCACCACTGAGAAGTCAGTCCACCACCACCACCACCAAAGACAGAGACCCCTTTCAACCACGCGCATCGATCTGCCCGACCCCCATATATAGCACGCAGGGGACCCTTACTCTTTTTTTCCTCTGCCTCGCCAGTTTTAGCTCACCAGCCCTCATCGTCTGTCTGTCTGTCTCCTCTCTTATTACAGCGACAGCCTGCCCACCATGACCACCATCGAGGAGAAGCACACCGTCGTCGACGAGACAGCGGTGCCGAGCACGCCCAAGACGGACGGCTCCTCCTCCGCCGCCGGCGCCGGCGCCCAAGACCATGAGCTGCCGCCCATCGACCCCAAGGCCGAGAGCAGGCTGGTGCGCAAGCTGGACTTGACCATCTACCCCGTCTTCTTCGTCATCTACCTCATGTCCTTCCTGGACCGCATCAACATCTCGAATGCCAAGATCCAGCACATGGGCGACGATATTGACCTGGACGGCCACCACTTCAATGTCGCCCTCTTTATCTACTATGTCTCGTACATCCTGCTCGAGATCCCGTCCAACATGGTCATCAAAAAGATGCGCCCCTCGCTCTACCTGTCCGGCCTCATGTTCATCTGGGGCATCATCAACATGTGCATGGGCTTTGTGCAGTCGTATGAGGCCCTCGTTGGTCTGCGCTTCATGCTCGGTATCTTCGAGGCCGGTGTCCTCCCGGGCATCATCTACGTCACCTCCATGTACTACAAGCGCCACGAGTACCAGAAGCGCATGAGCTTCTTCTTCTGCTCGACCGTTGTCGCTGGCGCCTTTGGCGGCCTGCTCGCCTACGGCATCGCCGACATGGACGGCATGGCCGGTCTGCGCTCCTGGCGCTGGATCTTCATCATCGAGGGCGGCATCACCGCCGTGCTCGCCATCATTGCCAGCTTTCTCATCATCGACTGGCCTGAGCAGACGCGCTTCCTCAACGCCGCCGAGAAGGAGCTGCTCCGCCGCCGCATGGCCCTCGACATGGGCGATGTGAGTCGCATGGACACCCTCAACCGCTTCTCCTGGGGCCTCATCTGGCGCGACTACAAGATCTGGTTGGGTGCTTTCCTCTACATGGGCGTCTCCGTGCCTGGACTCTCGGGCACCTTCTTCCTGCCCACTATCCTGCTCGAGTTTGGCTGGAAGGCTGAGGAGGCTCAGGTCCGCACCATCCCAGTCTACGTCTTTGCTGGCTTCTGCATGCTGTTCTCGGCCTGGCTGTCGGACCGCCTCAAGCACCGCTTCGGCTTCTTTGTCGTCGGCACCGCCATGGTGACCATTGGCTACAGCATGCTGCTCGCCCAGGAGGGCAAGTCGCGCGACTACAAGTTTGGCGCCATCTTCCCCATCTTTGGCGGCGCCTACATGGTCACCCCCATGTGCCTGGGCTGGGTCCAGAACAACGTGTCGGGCCACTGGAAGCGTTCCTTTGCTTCGTCCACGCAGGTCACCATTGGCAACATTGCCGGTATCATTGGCGGCAACATCTTCCTCAAGAGCGAGGCCCCCGTCTGGACAACAGGGTATAGCGTCGCCCTCGCCTTCATGTGGGTAGGCTTCGCCTGCGCCGCCTCCATGGCCGGCCTCATGTGGCGCGAGAACAAGAAGAGGGAGCGTGGCGAGCGTGACGAGCGCCTCGTCCTGCCCCAGGAGGATCTCATCAACCAGGGCGACGCGCACCCCAGCTTCCGCTTTACTCTCTAAGACTGGTCTTTTCTTGGAGATGAGGAGCGATATGTATGCCATCGAGGAGACGTGGATAGAGTGCAGAGGCGCGCACAGCCCAGGCTCTCCTGTATATCTCGAGCCGAGATGGCTGGTCGATAGTCGATACCAAGATAGACGTTAATAGCCTGGCGGAAAGCCTGGCATGATAGCATGGCTCTCCTGATTCCAGCCCCCTTGGCAAATCCCCTCCAGTGACTGTCCACGCAATGTTAGCAAAGCTTTCTCCTCGTCTACTCCGCTGCCCGTAGAAGAGACTCCTCTCTTCACCCCCTCACGCACATCAACCACCACCTTGCCGCTCCCCGACCCACCCATCCATGCGTCCGGCGATCCTTCATGGAGACCTGCGGCCCCATTCCAAATCATCTCCACCGCTGGCCCTCTTGAGTCTTGGCTTCCTGTCCGCCCGCAGGTCCAGGAACCCACTCAGGGTCACCATGAGGGGCTCTTCAGCAGCTGTGTGCTCGAGCCTCGATCCTGGACCCTGCGTCTGATTGCTCTTCCATTGCCTGTGGCCTATAGCTTGCAGCGGCAAAACGACCTCTCATCGCCCATCGTGCTGCTGCGTTGTGTGGGCTCGACTCTCACGACCAACCTCATTCCCTCCCTCCAACACCAACACCAAGATGACACGACAGCCCGTCTACACGGCGTCGACGGCCTTCTTCGAGGCCCTCGCGGCCGCGGGCGTCTCCCACGCCTTTGTCAACCTGGGCTCGGACCACCCAGCCATCATGGAGACCATTGTGCGCAGCCAGCGCGATCCCGCGCTCAGGGACAAGTTCCCGCGCATCATCACCTGCCCGTCCGAGGTATGTTGCCCTCACTCACCTCATCTGACCCTCACGCTCACTCCCATCCCAGATGGTCGCCATGTCCATGGCCGACGGCTACGCCCGCGTCACCGGCGAGCCGCAGGTAGTCATTGTCCACGTCGACGTCGGCACGCAGGCCCTCGGCGTGGCCGTCCACAACGCCTCGGTCGGGCGCTGCCCCGTCCTCGTCTTCGCCGGCCTCTCCCCCTTTACCTGCGAGGGCGAGCTGCCCGGCTCCCGCACCGAGTTCATCCACTGGCTCCAGGACGTCCCCGACCAAAAGGCCATCATCGGCCAGTACTGCCGCTACGCCGCCGAGGTCAAGACACCGCTTAACATCAAGCAGATGGTCAACCGCGCCCTGCAGTTCACGCGGAGCGACCCGGCGGGCCCCGCGTACCTCGTCGCCGCCCGCGAGGTCATGGAGGCCGAGATGGAACCCTACACCTTCCAGCAGGACCACTGGCGGCCCGTCGAGATGGGCGCGCTCCCCGGCACGGCCGCCCTCACCATCGCCCAGGCCCTCGCCTCCGCGTCAAAGCCGCTCGTCATCACAGGTTACTCGGGGCGCAACCTCGCCTGTCCCGCCCAGCTCGTCGCCCTCGCCGACACCATACCCGCCCTCCAGGTCCTCGACGGCGCCGGCAGCGACATGTCCTTCCCCAGCGACCACCCAGCCTGCCTCGGCATCAAGCAGGGCCAGCCCGACGACGCCATCCCCGAGGCCGATGTCATCCTCGTCCTGCACTGCGACGTCCCCTGGGTCCCGACCCTCTGCAAGCCGCGCGATGACGCCCGCATCTTCCACGTCGACATTGACCCCCTGAAGCAGGGCATGCCGCTCTTCTACATCCCCGCCGAGGCCCGCTACCGCGCCGACGCCCTCGCCACCCTCCAGCAGCTCAACGCCCAGTTCACGTCCGGCGCCGTCGCCCAGCCGTCCACGCAAGTCAAGACGCAGCAGGCCGCAGCGCGCCAGGCCGCCTTTGACGCCCGTCTCGACGCCATCCGACGCGCCGCCCAGCCTCATCCCGACGGCTCCTTTGGCACGGGCTTCCTCAGCAAGACGCTCGCCACCGTCTGCCCGGACGACACCATCTGGGCCGTCGAGGCCGTCTCCAACTCGGGCCACATCCACAGCAACGTCCGTCCCACCGCGCCAGGCCACTGGATCAACTGCGGCGGCGGCGGGCTGGGTTGGTCCGGCGGCGCCGCCCTCGGCATCAAGCTCGCGACCGACAAGCAGGGTAAGGCCAAGTTTGTCTGCCAGGTCGTCGGCGACGGCACGTACCTCTTCAGCGTGCCCGGCAGCGTCTACTGGATCTCGCGGCGGTACAACATCCCGGTCCTGACCGTCGTCCTCAACAACAAGGGCTGGAACGCCCCCCGCGTCTCGCTGCAGCTCCTCCACCCCGACGGCGAGGGCGCCAAGGTCAGCAACGAGGATCTCAACATCTCCTTCCACCCCACGCCCGACTACGCGGGCATCGCGCGTGCCGCCGGCGCCGGCGACATCCACGCCTTCAAGGTCAACCAGGCCAGCGAGCTCGAGGCCGTGCTCAGGGACGCCGTCGAAAAGGTCAAGGCGGGCACGACGGCCGTCGTTGACGCCCGCGTCATCCCGGGCAGCTAGCTGATACCACTCCCACCCCCAACCCGCCATAGAGTATATACACACACCAAATCATAGAGAACGCAGAGCGTCAGTCATTAGTTATGTAGCCTTTGAACCAGCCTACATATTCCTCAGTATCCTCCCCACACCACCCGCCTTCTTCCCCAGACCACCATAGCCCACCTCCACCACGCCCTGCGCAAACTGCCAGCCCTTCTTCTGGTCTGCCACCGGGTACTGCACCGCCGGTGGAATCCCCGTCCGCACACCCAGCCAGCCGAAGCGATCCTCGATGATGCTCTTCATATTACACAGGCCCCGCAAGCCCTCCTCGCCCGCGAACCGTCCGTAGCCTGACCCCTTGACACCGCCAAAGGGGAGCTGCACGGCGTAGTACGCCCCAAAGTCGTTGACGGCCACCATGCCCGCCTTGAGGCCCGACACGATGGCCTGCAGGGCCGGGTCGCGCTCCGAACCGTGCACTGACGCACCGAGACCAAAGTTGGGCGCGTTCGCAATGGCCAGCATGTCCTTTGCCGACGACGACGGGGCCCGCATCAGCGTCAGGATGGGGCCGAAGCACTCGTTCTGCGCAATGCGCATCGTGGGCGTCACGTCGACCAGCAGCGTCGGTAGGAAGTAGTGGCCCTTGGGGTACTCTGGGTGCGCGTACCGCTTACCACCGGCCAGGAGACGGGCGCCCTGCGAGACAGCCTCCGCAATGGCCTCCTCGAGTCGCGAGAAGGACGCGTCCGAGATCATGGCGCCCATGTCCGCATCGGGACCCAGCCGAATGGCCTTGACACGCGGCTCCAGCTTGGCCACCAGCGCGTCGTACACGGCACCACTCGCAATCACCCTCTCGATACCGATGCAGTTCTGCCCGGACGCCTGGAATGTGCCGCGCAGGATAATCTCCACGATGCGCGTGAGGTCCTTGGCCGCCGAGTCGAGCACGATAAAGGGGTCCTTGCCACCGAGCTCGAGCACGACAGGCGTCAGACTCTTGGCCGCACTGGTCGCGACATGGTGCGCCACCGACTGGGAGCCGATAAACGTGACGTGGCTGATGCTGGGGTGCGCCGTCAGGTGGCCCGCCGTCTGGGGCCAGCAGACGACAGTCTGGACAAGGGCCGGGTCGTGTCCGTGGGCAGCGAGGGCGCCTCGGACGACGTTGGCAAAGTACGCACTGGACCAGGCCGTGTTCTCCGAGACCTTGACGACAATGGCATTGCCAGCAAAGAGGGCGCTGATGACGGGGCCAATGAGGTTGTGAAACGGATAGTTCCAGCTGACGAGGGCGGCGACGACGCCCATGGGTTCATAGACGACCTTGTTCCGCTTGTAGGCCATGAGAAGGTTCGTCGGCCGCGCGGACGGTCGCAGCGCCCGCTCGCCGTGTCGGATGGTCCACTCGAGCTTCTCGACCGTCACCAGGATCTCGCCCAGCTGCGCGTCCACGAGCGTCTTGCCGCTGTCCAGGCCCGCGACGCGGCAGATCTCCTGCGCATTGTCCATGACGTGTCTCTTCAGCGTGCGGAGCACGGCGCGTCGCTGCTCAAACGTTGTCGTCTTCCACTGGACTTGGGCGGCCTCAGCGGCCGCGATGGCGCGGTCGATGCCCTCGGGCGTGGACGGGTTGACGAGGCCCAGCAGCTGGCCTGTGGCGGGGGCGTAGCACTGGATCGCGGAGCTGCCGGGGAGCTTGATGGTGGCCTCCTCGACTGTCTGCTTGCCGTCGTTCGGGGGTGCTCTCGGTGGGGGGATGGTGTAGCGCTTCGGACCGTTGGCGGTGGCTATGGCGGCTGCGTTGGCGACGCGGATCAGCACGACGCTGAAGCCGAGTGCAAGGATGGTGCTGGCAATCTGCACGACATAGAGGCTGGTTTCATGTCAGTATCTGATGGTGTGCGCACTGGTGTGCTGGCATGCAGCTGGGACGTATTTACGGGATGTTGAGGTTTGTCTGGATGTAGTCACCCCAGTCACGCCACAGCGTGAGTAGGAAGGGCTCCTCGCGTTCGGGCGTGTCCATTGTGGACGATGATCGTCGGACTGTGTCCTCAAATGGCGGTGACGCGTCGTAGGTGAGGTGGTGTGTGGATGGAGATTGATGGGAGAGCAATGAGGTCGCGATATCTTCACTTTGGAGTTGGAGTCGCAAGTGGGTCCCGCATCTCGACAACCCCTGCCAAGACATGCACCTCGACCTGACGCGATTCATTCACGTACAGCTTTCACTTAGACTTAAAGACAGCTGAGTTCAATAAAAGCCTTGTTCATCTCCAAGAAAAGCTATTATGTGGATGGTCTCCTTCTATATACAGCCCCGGTATCTATATCCTCCTCCTGCTAACCCCATCTCCTTCACCAGATACTCGAAAGTGACGCAGGAAAAAAACAAGTGAGTGACGCCGAAACTCAGCCTCTACAATGCAGTGATAGAAATGCCAGACTCCCCAAACAAAAAATGAGATTCGTGCGGTAGGCCCCGGTGGCTTCTCCCGAGACCTCCTGCGAGGTGGAACGCCCTACGCAAAGAGGTGACACTCTTTTGCGTGTCTCTTGGTACTTTTTCTTTTCCAGCGTTGCTTGACCCTTCGTCTGTGACGAGACGTCTCAGCTGGCTTGGGCAGCGACTCGTAGATGGTGAATTCATGCAGATCGTGAATGCATGCCGATGCAGCATCCTCCAAAGGAGAAAGCAAAAGACTTCTCAGAAGCGTGACGAAACAGACAGACAGAAAAGGAGTGGCCCGCCCCAGGACCACGTGGTATATCGATGCGGTTGCGCAATGGTATCTTCAAGTGTTGTACAATGACAAAAAGGACTCAGTCGCTGTCATCGTCGTCGATGAGGAGTTGGTGGTGGTAGTGGTGGTAGTGGTATTTGGTGTTGGTGTTGTTCATCATAATGTAGGTGTACGGTCGTGACATGCCGCGCTTCAACGATCGCTAATTGTGGGCGCTCTTGGTCAACGACAGCCCGCGCAGCCGTGGTCGGAACCGTCCGACCGCCGAGTGCGACGACTCGATCCGCGACAGCCGCGCCGCCGACGTAAAGTCGTTGCTCGCCTCGAAGCTCGGCCGCACGCGGTCCATCGAGGCGCGTATGCGGTCATACGACGGCCGCGCCCGGTCGACGGACGGCCAACCCGCGCGGTGTCCTAGCTGCCCTTGCTGGTCCTGCTGCCCGGGAATCTCCAGCGACATGCGGTTCATCGTGTAGCCCGTCGAATCACTATTGTTCTGGCTGTGCTGATGCGTCGTCGTCCGAGTCACCGTCGATGGAGGGTAGATGGGCCGCAGGTCTTCGTCGACGCTGCCAAAGGCCTGGTGCCTGGGCTTCTTGTTGTTGTGGTTGGAGCTGTCCGTGGACGACCCCGAGCCGGCTGTCTTGTTGTCGCCCACAACCTCCTTGTCCAGGGGCGTCGACGACAGATGTTTGAACATGCCGAGCCGCTCCTGCTCGCGGATAATGTCCACGTCGTACGGAAAGTACACCTTCTGCACCGACTTGACCACGAACCGCGGGAAGAGACACATGATGGGCACCAGGAAGAACACGGCCCAGAACGACAACTCGCCATACACCTCGGCGGCCGCGCGGTAGTAGAAGCCGGACGCGCTCTCGATGGATGTGTAGATGCCGGTGAAGAGGAAGATGAACATGTCGCTGATGAACACCACCAGCAGCAGAATCCAGTCCCACTGGTAAGTGTTCATCATGATGTATCCGTTGATGACAAAGACGGCGGGGTGCGCCACATACGCGCCCAGACGCATGCGGTCCGCAAGATCCAGGCCGTTTTCGGTGACAGGGCGGGCGGCCTGGAAGAAGAGGTACGGCACAAAGAAGCAGATGACCGACTGGTACAGCCCATCGGACATGTACAGCCTACCGGTTGTTAGCGAGCTGTTGGGAGTTCAAACTCAAAGGGAAGATACGCACCAAAACTTGCGCTGTGTCCACTCGAGACGCTCAATGCCACGGCGGTACAGCTGCGGCACTGCGAGTGAGACCTTGTCCGAGACGTCCTGATCAAACACGCCCATGAGACCGACGGGCACCGACGTGAACACGACGTTGAAGAGCAGAATGTAGCTGTAGTCAAAGAGGTACGTAATGTCAAAGTGGCAGTAGATCATCCACCAGAAGATGGCAAACGTCCACACCACGTTCTTGTAGAAGAAGTTGCTGATGCTCTCGCCCAGCCGACGGTACGACCAGCGGCCGTGGACGAGCACCAGGCGCTGCAGGAAGCGGAACTGCGCAATCGCATAGTCGGACGACATGGCCGCCTGGCGACCCTCCACGCCGGCGATGCCGACGCCCACGTCGGCTTCCTGAATCATGGCCACGTCGTTGGCGCCATCACCAATCGACAGGGTCATGACGTCGAGACCATTCTTCACCATGGCCACCACGGACGCCTTCTGCGCCGGACTCACGCGGCAGCACAGCACCGACCGGCATTGCTTGCAGAGCAGCAGGAACTTCTGTCTAAGACGTTCGTTGAGGACCCAGCGCAGGGCGTACCCATCAATCACAAGACCGTGGGTCGGCGGCGGCGGCTCGTGGTTCTTGAGGGCGGCCTTGAGGTCGTGATCGCTTCCCTCGAGGCCGAACGCGTGCAGGTACCGGTCCAGCTCCTTCTCCGCTTGCTCATACATGGCCTCCTCGTTCACCTCCTCACCGTCGCCCTCGTCGATCTTGAGGTGGATCAGATCCATCGAGTTGTTGAGGAGATTGCAGGAGAAACCAATGTTGATCGCCGTCTCGACCTTGTCGCCCGTCAGCACCCAAAGCTTGATGCCGGCATCACCCAGGATCGCAATCGTGTCCGGGACGCCGTCCTGCAGGCGATCCTCAATGGCAGTACCGCCCAGGAGGTACAGGTCCTGCTCAATCGTCTCCGCCACAGCCTCGAGCTTCTCCTCGCGCTCGTCCAGGGCGGCGGCCGCGGCGTCGTGCTCCTTCTTCCAGGAGCGGTATTGTTCCTCCGTGAGCTCCCTCTCGGCGATGCACAGCGTGCGCAGACCCTCCCGGGCGAACAGCTCGAGGTGGTCCGCCGTCTCCTTGCGCAGTTCCTGCTGCTCGCCCCTCTTCAGGCGGGCGTAGATGACAGAGTCGGCGCCCTTGCAGATGAGCTTGATCTTGCCGTCGGGCATGCGCACGATGCAGCTCATGCGCTTCCGGCTCGAGTTGAACTCGATCGTGTTGAGGATCTGGTAGTGACGGTCGTCGCCCATCACGTTGAGGTTGATGCCGTCGCTCGAGTGGCCGAGCACGACGAACCCCATGTCGCGCGCCGTCGCCACCAGCGCCTCCTCGTCGGGCGACTGCGCCTTGAACTTCATCTTGGGCGGGTCGTCAAAGGACCGCTCCGCAATGACCGTGTGGCACAGGGCGAGCGCAAGCATGAACTTCTCATTGGCCTCCTGCTGCTCCATGCCTGACTCGCCAGAGAGATCCGCGACAAAGTCGGGCGCGATAAAGGTGATATCCTCGTCGTGCAGATACGGATTGTCGTTGATCCTGCGCAGACCGGCCAGGGCGCGCACCTTGGCGTCCGCAATCTCGGCGCGGATCTTCTCCCCCTCCGCCTCCACGTCGACGCCAGCGCGCTTTTGCATGCCGGCCTGCGCCTCGGTGTACGCCTCGCCATATGGCTGACCGTTGATGGAGGCCTTTTTGAACTCCATAACGTTCTGCGTCAGGGTGCCGGTCTTGTCGGAGAAGATGTACTCGATCTGACCCACATCGTCGGAGATGTTCCAGGACTTGGGGATGCAGGGCTGGTCGATCGGCTCGTAGTACATCTCGACATCGCTCCAGATGAAGATGGCCTGCAGCGTGCGGACGATCTCCAGGGTGATGTAGAGCGAGATGGGAATCAAGTTCTGGAGGCAGATGAGCGCGGCAAAGAAGGTGATGAAGCCACTCATGGAGGGGCTACCACCGATGGATCCAAAGTCGAAAAAGTACAAGGACGAGTCCGTCTTGGCCCATGACACTCCGTTGACAATGGCGCAGATGAGACACATGAAGAAGAGGATGACAAAGTTGCAGATGACGCTAAAGTTCATCTCGCGCGCAATCCTCGAACGCTTGGTCGGCGTGATGCCGGCGTTCTGCATGATCTTGGTGTCGTGCCCGGTGAAGACCACGACGCCCAGCACCCACTCGGTGTTCCTCAAGTTGCAGCCGCGCAGGAGCATGTTGTCGATGGTGATGGGCTCCGTCATCTCCTCGGGCTCGCCGCCGAGCTCAGGGATGGCCTGCTGCCACTTGATGGCACCGTTGTACTTGTACAGGTTCGGCTGCGGGAGTTCACTCTCGATCCTGAACTCGGCCCTCTCGCAGTCGCGCGCGTGTTTGAGAGGCCGTCCGCAGCGTAGGGCCTGGCGTACCTTGAGATTGGTCTCGCCATCCAGGTTCTTGGTCTCCACATAGCAAGCACCATCGGGGTCGGATGTGGAGAGGATGATGATGTCGGCCGGCATCTCGTCATCGCTATACAGACGCACAAAGTCGCCCACGTTGATGCTTTTCCAGGTGTCCTTCTTGAAGCGAGCGCCTTGCACTGGTCGCTGATAATTGATGACGTCGCTCGTGAGATCCTGCAGGGCCTGCGCGCGCCGCGCGTCTTCGTCGTCTGGCAGTTCGATGCGGATGTGCGGCGTAGAGGGGGAGGGTACGGGGGTCATCTGGATATCATTGGCGGCAGAGTGGAAGGAATCGCGGTTGCCAAAAGGCGAAGCCAGCGAGTCGCGAATGTTCCTCTTGGTCCGCTGCGTCTCGATGGATGCACGGGGCTCCTCTTCGGGCGGCGCAAGCTTGAGCTCCTTGCGGCGAGCCATCTCCTCCTTCGCCTTCTTGGACCACAGGCTTTGGATAGCCCTCCAGATGCCGCCAAAAAAGGTGGAGGTGGCCTTTTTGAATTGACGCCATGGGCCAACCTGATCGTCCGATACATTGACGTTGTTCCAGTGGAGAAGGCGATGCACCGTGGCGTTGTTGAGCTCAATATCGAGGATTGTTCGGCGGTAGTCCTCAATGGCATCTTTGATCGCAGTGACCACCACAATGAAGATGAGTGGGACCGAGTTGAGTCCTGGGTTCACGCCACCAAAAATGGGAAAGAACTAAGAGAGAAATGAGTTAGTCGCGGGCGTGCGTGGTCTTGCTTGCACAATTGAAATACGCACCACCAGGATGACGAGGAATAGGAAGAACACATTGGCAATGTTGTGGAATTGAAACCACAGGTTCTTCGGGATGAACGATAGCGGCGTGTATTTGGCGGTGCGGATCTTGTTTCGAGGATATGTCAGGATGGGGTTGCCTTCCTCGTCCTTGAGATGGTCGGGTAGGGGAATGTTGAAAAAGACGGTCCTGCTGGCGGCCTCGTCCTCGTTCTCCTCATCGTCTTCATCGCCTTGGTCACCCACTGACGCAGCCTGGTTTTGGGCCTCGGGGTCCCGCTGATCGCCGTCGTTCTTCTCGTTCGACCCCCTTGTTTTCGCTTGCCGATCGAACAAGGCTTTCCGTTTCGAACCACCACTCTTGACCGTCATCCTCCGCGTGGCCCATCTTGATCGTTGTGTTCCCGAGTCTGTAGGCTCTAGGGCGCCCGGGTCTGCCGCGGCCGAATCGGGGTGGAGTGAGTTGCTCATGTCGTCGGCTCTCGAGGACTCGAGAGGGAAGTGGGTGGTGAGTAGGTCGCGGGCAAGCGCCCGTTCAGCCCCGAGTTGTCAGCCAGAATGCGAGGTTGCTGTCGTGCCGTGCTCGCAAACGAGATCGTGGATACTGCGATACTTCGAGACACGGAGGCGGATAGCCCGTGATACGGGGGTACAAAGTAGCCCCGTGAGCCAAAGGTGGTGGATGATGCACAGTCAAGTCGCGCGATGAGAAAGAAAGAAGCGTCTTGTTTCTCGCTGCTGTGTCGTCGGCCAGCGATGAGCGGCGTTGTGGGAAATTCGTGGACCGGAATCCGTGAGGGTGGACGGACAGCGCGGCTGGTTGCTGAAGGGGGAAAAGTTGGGACAGGACGCGGGATGGTTGGATGGATGGATGGATGAGAGTGGTGACAATGAATGGCGGCGGGCAGGCAGGCTGGCTGGCTCCGACTCACCAGAGTCACCACTCTGGTTCACGCCTCACAGGAGGGCGAGGAAGGGGTATCCGCACGGGACTGGAGCGGCAGGGTGGAGTACTGTAGGTACGTACTCCATACAGGCCATCTTTCCGTGCCTACAGCGGACTCCGGCTCTGTGAATGGCCCCTATGCTTGGTCGTTCAGGCCATTTGTCGAGGCCCGGTTCCCGGACCTTCCGACCAACATGTCTCTTTGGGCGGCCTGCACGCCGCTATAAGAAGCCTATAACTGTGCTGTCAACACGCACTGAGAGCGCAGATTGATTCATAAGCAGGCCGCCGGCTTTAAGCCACTCGCCTTAAAAAGCCACCTCCCGTCCTGTCATCCATCCATCCATTTTCCATAATAGAAGCTCGGGCTGCATTTCAGAGGCGGGCTAGTCAGCCCAATCGGTCATCACTGACTCGGACCCCTATTTTAGCCCATCGCGAGCCCGAGGCTCGACTTTGGCCTACCTAGTACTAAAAGAACTGTATTAAATCGACCGTCAACAGCCTAGACTGACCAGGAGAACATCATCATCCCCATCCAGTATCTGCAGTACATGGAGGGTTGATGATCGTGGGTGCGTTCCACGCTGCCATGCAGGCTTCGCCACAGCCAATTTCAACTATCAATCTGTCGTTTCAAGGTCCAGCGTTGGCGTTGGCCCCGTGCTCAACTCCATACGGTATCCGAACCGCCCCTTTACTCTGCACCATCTCATCTGTATGTCCGCACAGATGAATGAGCAAAGTTGAAGTCTTGCAACACGCACAAAAAACACTGACAAGCGCTGACATGGCGTTCGGTATGCTGACACTTCCCGTCCTGCCTCGACTATCGAGTCGGACTCCTAATTATAAAGCAGCGTCTGCCGTCATGCGGGCCCGCTAGTCTAGTCTAGCTCGTGCTGACAATTCTTAGAAGCCGAGCGCACTGTTTTTTTAATGCCGGTCAAGCAGGCACTAGGTCCCTTAACTCCAGCCTCACCACGACGCATTGATGAGGCATAGCATAGCATTGCGTCGCGCGCGCACGCGCGTTTCATTCCACATTAAGCTTATAGAAATGGAGCAATTCGCAATCGTCGCCAGCGAGCCTCCTACACTTGCAATTCAATCCTCCAGTGCTACTCCGGCTCCAAAAGTGCTGGCAAGAGCCCGTCGTTCGGGCCTCGCGTTTCGCGGTGTCTCCATCGTGGGCATTCGGGGCCCCGAAGGGTCCGACGCACTTGTGGACGTGGTAAGAGGCCCGCGACTGCGTGAAATCCGTATGGATAAATTGCATTTGCATCCACCGTCGGCGTGCATTAATCAAATCTTCACGTCTAATGCTGACAACGAGCCTGTCTGAAATTTCAGTTAAGCTCACTTGCTTTCCCGTCCCAACCACGCGCGCTGGCTGGACTACCTAGTACCTAGGAATGCCACATGCCTTCACCAGCAATGCTCCCCACAACTTCACGAGCCATTGGAGAGTTCTGCAGTCGTCTGCAATGTAACGATATTGCTGATCAACGCTGCGTGTTTACACAAAATACCTTGCAGAAACGGTGGGGCTTGTCGCACACTCCAGTTCCAACTTCCTTGACCTTCCTGCACCGCACCGTATCCCGGTAATTGTCGCGCCTGGCCTCCGTCCTCCCCTTTTTGGCCGTCCAGCATCCAGAGCGGGAGGAGAGTGCGATTGAATGACCGTGCCACGCCATGTTGACGAATTGCGAAACCGCCCGGCGTTCACTGCCACAATCAGCCCTACATGGCGTCGCAAGTCAAACGTCAGCATAATCAAAACATCAACAAAGCTCGAGAGTTGACCCCTTTCTTGCCAAATCCGAGCATGACTTTCCGGAGTTGTCAAATCCGCCGTGATGATACGTGTGCAGATCCCCTAATCCTACAGACTACCTACAGTGTGCGTCCTACCGCCGATCGCAGATCAGCATAAATGACAAGCAATGTTTGAAGATTATCCAATGCTTTGTGTCTGAGATTCTCACGTTTGAAGCATGGACCCCGTCACTGAAGCTCCAGTCAACTGCAACACACAGCCTACGCAATCCTCAAAGCCTAGTCTCGTGTGGAAAGCTGCCTCCCGCCAAACTCCGCACGCGACCATCATGTTCCGAGATCATCGCGATCCCAACGCGCCAAGCGCACACCGCACCAATGATGCTTGACGATATCCCTGTCTAGGCTTGTCTCAGGGGAAATAAGCTTCGCGGGTAAATCTACGTCGGCTCTACAGGGTGGCCTACCCTACGGGCTGAAGTTGGTCCCTTTTTTTCACCACCACCTACGTATATGTAACTCGCAAGCGAGCATGCCTACTCCGTAGTCGAGCACGGCTTGATGATGTACTGGAACTGAGCTCTTTACACCGTGGCAATATGCCCAGTGGTCTTTGCAGATTCTAGGCTTCAAGTCCGAGCTATGTGGATATCATCTTTGACCGGGTCAGCTCGTCTCAACTTGTGGTCAAAAACGGGCGCACAGAGTACACGAGGATCGTTTCATGCTATGGAATGACTATATTCCTTGGTCGCAGCAGTCTGACAGGTGATCACTTGGCAACGTTGTTCACTCTGCAAGAGTGCCAAAGTGACAGGCCATGACCCGTGAGGTCCGATGAGCCTGAACTCACTGGCACGACAACACAGTTCACATGACACACCCAAGCAAGCATTGCACACAGATCCATTGACACCTCAAAGTATATCTATCGGGGTAGATGGCTAATCGATCACCAAGCCGCCGTAGCCTGAGGCTGCTGCTCGACAGGGGCAGAGGAAGTTGTACCCCAGACATCACCTCCTGCATCGTTGATGTTGGTATCGCCTCCCCACGCGCCACCTCCAGCACCTCCAGCACCACCATCTGCTTCATCGCCGGCCTGCGCTTCGGTCTCGTCAAAGTCAGATTCGGTCTCAAACTTGACAGTTTCCTTCGTCATGCCGGCGGGAAGGTAGTCTTGGAGGAAATCGGGAATCTCCTGGCCAGCTTCAAGAAGCGTGCGAGCCAGCACGTCAGCCATGGGCTCATCCCTATCACCGAAGAAAGATGTCGCCAATCCGTTGCGGCCAATGCGACCTGTGCGACCTGGTGTCAATTAGCTTCTGCTCCATGTATGCCATCCCAAACACTTACCAATCCGATGCGTGTACTCTTCAATGCCGCCATAGTCCATGCTAGGCAACTCCTAGTTGATAACATGTTGGACGTTGTGGACATCGATGCCACGAGCAGCCACACCTGTGGCTACGAGAATTGGAGCGTTTCCGGAGCGGAAGCGACGCATCGCAAACTCACGGTCGAGCTGCGACCGCTGGCTCGTGATAGAAACCACGGGATACCCCCTGTGGAAGAGGTAGTCCTCGACGTGGTCGACAGAGAAATGCGAGTTGCAGAAGATGATCGTTCGCACGCCAGTGATGGCGTCGAGAAGCGCCACCAAGTTGTCGTGCTTCTCTTCCTTGGGAACCTCAATGATGCGCTGGCGGATGTTGGCCGTCGTGCTGCCCGCGCGACCAACTCGGAACCTGACGTGGTCTTCGGCCAGGTATTCTTTGGCCAGGTCTCGGGCCGCCTTGGGGAACGTCGCAGAGAACATAACGTAGCGCATGGCACCAAGCTGTTGCTGTGCGTTCAAAATCGGGCTGAGCTCATCGTGCCAGTCGTCATGAAGCATCTCATCAGCTTCATCAATCACCACGTACTTGAGGCGGTGGAGGCTCAGAGTGCGATCAGCACGTACCACGAAGTCCTTGAGACGTCCAGGGGTACCGATGAGGACATCACAGCCGCGGCTGAGAAGCTCCCGCTGGGCGTTCATGTGACCACCGCCGTAGACGACCGCTGGGCGGAGCATGGAACGGTAACAGAACTTGCGGGCTTCGTTGAAGATCTGGATGGCAAGCTCTCGTGTTGGCACAATGATGAGAACCAGAGGTTCAGCAGTGACGGCCATTTGTGAACCCGGATCTGGCCGGACACCTGCCCATTTCTTTGCCTTGCCCATGAGTTTGCTCAAGATGGGAATCATGTAGGCTGCGGTCTTGCCCGAACCTGGAGAAACGTCAGTCTGGTATTCAGAGAGGAGATGTCGAGATACACATACCGGTCTGTGCAATGCCAATCACGTCGTTGTTCAAGACAATGGCAGGGATCGCGTACTGCTGGATGGGTGTCGGATCCTTGTAACCCGCCATCGCGATGTTTTCAAGCATCGCGGGATGCAAACCAGCATCGGCAAACTTGGCGACTGGCTTGATTTGGGTAGGACCCTCTTGGATCACAGCAACCTCCGAAACCCTGCATGCGTTAGTTGGTCCTGAGAAAAGCTCAAGAGACTCACTTCGTATAGTCAATGCCATCAAGACCACGGTTTTCCTCAGGTCCGAAGAGATCATGTTCCAGGCTTTGGTCGCGGGGACCGACGTCACCGTACTCTTCGCACCACTTGTATACACATGCTTCAGCCGCAGATACATGAGCTGAGCCGTCCATAGGAACGTCAGGCACGGTCCAACCAGCGGCGGCGGGAGCGTCAGTGGTGGGCAGCGCAGACAGCCCGTGGGGGTTATCTTCATGATCGACGTTGGTAGACATTGTAAGTGAAGTGGCTTTGTTCAGAGAAGGAGTAGAAAGGTCGAATGCTAACGAAGTGGTTCAAGAGAAGGTCAGGAAGATGATGATAAGGAAAGAAGAGTTTGGCGGAGGGGGGGAGCTTATATACGTGAGAAGAAGGGCATACGCACACGCGCCTGCCTCAAAGAAAACAACAAGGGGCATGTTTCTACCTTACTAGTAGCCAGCGCAGCGCAGCATCAGTGAACGAGGCTCTCGTCTGATGTTCACTGGATGTGAGCGCGTTCACAGAAGATCACGGAAGCTAGAGTGGGGCAGAACTCAGGAGACTCCTCCAATAGAGGAAAGAGAATGCAGCGACTGATGCTTAGATCATCCTGGTTGGACACTCCCCAAGGACAGACTAACACCCCTTCTGTCTCTCAAAGAATAAGAACCACTCGAGATCATAAAGCCACTGTTCAGATTTGCAGAGATCTGAGGTGTTGTCAAGTGTCTATTCATATTTATTAGCAATTGCAAGTAATGGTGATGTCTCAGGGGTATTGGCAGACTCAGCACCACAAAACAAAGCGCTGCCCAGGAGACTTGAGCAAAGGAACGAATGTGCTGGCATGCAGGCCTGGAAGCCTTCTTTGTCAACGCAGCCAAGACAAGCGGTGATATGCAACTGCCCGGACGCGCATCAAGGCAGATAGGTGAAGTGTCGTGTAGTCGGCCGATTAGGCACTATCTGCATTACTGTAGCCGACATGGCGCAGAACAGGCAATTGATGGACAATCCCAAGCACTGCCATGGCAAGACTTTCGGTATTCTGACTGTTTGGGCAACATGCAAGCCCTTACGTTCCAGAGTCTAGTCGAGCACAGCATTGCCACGAGAACCCGTTCACATCTACAACACAGCTTGAACCAAAGGTTGTCACCATAAGTCTAGCAGATCCTCTGTATCCATGGCACCCAGAGGTTCATAGTCCCCCATACCCATGTCGCTTCTCAGGAGCTGATCCAAGCCCGCCGCAGCTCTGCCAGACGTGCCGCCCTCCTTTTTGGCCGCCTCGACCCCTTTCACAACATGTGTTAGAAATCTTCGATGGAACACCCTTTGCCTTGACTCTCGGTCCGCATACATCTCGCCATCCTCATCCCTCCGCATGCCCGTCAGATTGAGATATGCAAAGGCATTCGGGTCGCGAGGTAATCGGTAGAGATGATCCCAGTCGCCTTCGTCCTCTGCCACAGCCTCTTCTGGAACAAAACCTGCCGCGAGAAACTTGGCGAGAATCTCAATAGCGCGCGACTGGTTGAGCGAAGCTTTGCCTCCTCGCACGGCGGCTCCCCGTCCGCCAGACGACCAGCCGTCCTTGCCTGCAGCCGCAGACCAACCGAGCATGGCACAAAAGGTGTTCAGCGTCTTGATCCAGCCCCCCGGGCATGAAACCAAATCAACATCGGCAGCATCGAGGAGCCACTCCATAAAGTTCAGGGCATCGTTGCTGATGTCGGCAGAGAGATGCGTCAAGCCGGCCCTGATGAACATGGTCGCCTGCTCCACAGCATACCGCACTTGCTCGCCCGGTAATTGCTCGAAAAGTTTCAGTAACTGCTTCCTCACCGGAGTAGAGCTGTCTGTGATCAAGGGGAGGAGTTTGGCGAGGAGGGTGTGCGTGCCGACAGGGTTGACCGGCGGTTGCTGGCTCAGTTGACCAGTCAGATGCGCCAGTCCTTCTTGTCGTTGTTTGTCCGATTTTGACGATGACGCCACGGACAGACTGTGCTTGAACTGTTGGATCACATCGGGTGCAGTTGTGGAGAGGGACTGCTGTCCCATGACAATCGCTACCAACGGTCAGTTTGAGATGAGACTACAAGGTGAACGTGAAGGCTCACATTTGGCCTTGAAACTGGTATCGGTGACATTGGAGGCTTTGGGTTTTGCTTTGCCGACCTTGTACTTGGGTTTCTGCATTGAACGGTCAGGTTAATTCTCTTGAGATGGACGGTAAACTCACCTGAAAGTCCGCCTTCTTCTCCTTCTTCCTCTTAGCACTTTTCCCCATGTTGGCGGTTCAGCAAGTCTGTCAATATTCTTAGAAAGTAGTGAGATATCGTATGACAAGAAAAAATGTCTGATAGAGTTTAAATAGCACAGCCAGCATATACTGGGCTAGAATGATTTTGCTTGATGTATGTGAAGGTCCGTGTGCCGTCGCTGTCGGCCTAAATTTTAGCGGTGTAATGTGGCAGAATCGTTCTCGACGTGGGGGATGGGACGGTGATCCCCATTGAAGCGTGACGCGACTCGAGAATGGGAACCACTGCCTCCACACCAGCCGCACCTACAGTCCGTACTGCAAACCCTCTACTGTCGAATCTACGATCTACGACCCTTGCATATTCATGATGGCCGACCCTTCGTTGGTGAGCGAACAATCGAACCCTTCGTCGCAACACCGTTGGCTCACCTAGAGACAAAGCCGAATGGCAGAGCCGCGTTGGATGAAATGCTGGGCCGCCTGTCGAGGAAGCCCGGCTTCAAGGCCAGCATTGTGCTCGATCGAACGACAGGCTCTATGATAAAGACGACCGGCGATCTGTCTGCCTTGCGAACGTCCAAGTCGCGAGACGAAGCGACGGCCGCATCCTTTTCCAACGAGGCACCCGCGGCCGAAGAGAGCGAGTCCAAGGGCATCGAGGATTTCGCGGCCATGGTATGGAACTATGTCAATAGCTCCGGGCAACTTGTACAAGAAATGGACACAGACGTGAGTATTGAAGACTATGACAATGAGCACCTTGTTGAGATGGTGGCCAGGACGAGCTGAAGCTCCTACGATTGCGGACGAAAAAGCAGGAAATCATGATTGTCCCGTACCCGAAATACATTCACACGGTCATCCACGACACGCCACCCGCCTGATGGAGTTTTGCTCCTTCTTTCTTCCCGCGCGTGGAAGTTCACCAGCCGCCAAGGAGACCTACAGCCTCGTTTCGAGCACCGACTTCTGGATGTGCATCAATACAGCACGGGCCCAGCCACTCAATTTCACTCAGTCAAGGGATAGACCGACCTCACTGGTTGCCCGGTGTTGGAAGAGCTGGCACTCAGACATGGTCGCACGACGCGACAAACCAGCGACAGTGGTGTCAGCGTCGGCGTACACGAGGCGGTTTGATCAAGCGAGCAACATGACCTAGATGCACTGTTTGTTTTCCAAGATACCCTGAATGAAGATACCATAAAGACACCATGGGCGGCGAAGGAAGCAGCAGCGTCATGGCAGAATTGCGGTTGTGGCCCCCTGCTTGGTTTCGAAACCCTGCGATAATGAGCAATCAAGATCCATTTTCTGGCGATTGCGTCAAGGTGCGTAGATCTCGCAGCAAACCGCAAGCCACCTTGTGCCTTGTTCCACGCGGAAATTGTGGATTGCGCATAGATGATTAAACCAACGCGAACCATCTATATGTACAAACGTTCCTCCTGGCAAATCGAGCAGTGGGCTTGTCTCGATGCTCTGTCTGTAGACTGTTGTCTCGTTGAGCCGCTTGGCCTTCTGTCGCCAGCAAGCCAAAGCACGAGAATCTCCACCGAAAACAGCGCTTCCGAATTGGCGAATCGATACGTACGGAAACTGCTGCTGCGGCCCGTGACACCCGGAGCCTTGGCGACGTATCGGTTCCTCTAAGCCTCGGGTCGCGTTTTGGAGATGGCCTCACTCTGGAGGCGGCGCTCTAGATCAGCTCGGATGTCAACCTCGAGCCATCGCTCCCAAGATCCAGGAAACGGCCAAATCGAAAACCAAGAGGATAGCAAACCACGACGAAAGTCTATCCAACAACTTTGGGAGGGGCTTATCCACCACCAACGGAAGCGGGGAAGCTCGAGCTCTCCAACTCCAGAGGCGGTTGTCAGTGCCATTCCAGGGACCTCCAATGCCGTAATTGAAACTGTGAGACACCATTTTCCTTGTTCAACTTACCTACCCAACATCTCTTTCGACTCGTCTTTCAAGTTAAGGAGACTGGCCCCGGCCCCCCCAAACCTACAAAGGCTAGGTCATCCGCTTGACACTGAGGAGGATACTCATTGCATGGACCCTGTTTCCTACACGATCAGCTCGGCCCAGTTGTGAGTGTGTGGGTCACGAGGGCATCACTGGCTCTCGGCTCTCAACAACGAACCACTTCTTTCATCCAAGGGTCCTCGAATACTGCGCATTGAGTCTTGGACTTTACTTCACCTTGGCTCCTGAAACGCCCTTTGATCACAATCGCGCTCCTACTTCCTGGCTCTAACGTGTGCGTCTCAGACTCCAACATCTACAGCGCCACCCCCGCCATCGTCATACCGTGACTCGCCAGACAAGCCACTGCCCACGCTTCCTCCCTCAGACGAGGTCATCGACACGCCAAGCTCCAGCCAAGTCGACGATACCACGTCCAATGCCTTGCCCAACGGGGCAGTGATCAGACCTGACGGCACCATGGCAACGACGCTCGACGAGAATGACATTGAGAAGCTCTTCTCCGGCGCTCCTCAATTCTATTGTCGCGCAGAGAGCCACTTCCCAGGCGCGCCTCATCCGAGTGTAGCGTTTCCTTTTGACGAGGAGGTAGAGATCAGAGACCTGTCTGACCATGTTCAAATCGAAGACAAGGCATGGAGCGGGGTGACGGCGTGGCCGCACCTGACAAGGGACCTTAACCATGATGCAGCAGCCAGGAAATCGGCCGAGAGCCGCACCAAGGCTCATTTCCATGTGCGATGTCGCGAGAGACCCAACATGCTGAGCATGCAGGGGCTAGAGAAGGGCACAATGGGCTTCCAGGCCGCGCTTGAACTGCCGGTGGGCGACTCACTGGAAGAAGAGCAGTTCGGCTTTGAGAGCGTCGGCACCAAGGCCAAGGCTATCATCGACGCCCGCGCGCGGATGCTGGCTCACTCCGGCTGGCTAAGGCGGCTCCCAGAACCGGAGATTATGCATCGACTGGAGAGAAACGGGGAGATTTATCGGAACAACGACATGCGGAAAAGACCGTCCGTCGAAACGTACAACGACCTCTTTCATAGCTTCATGAGACCATGCGCGACACCTCTAGACAAGCAAGACCATTACAGTCTGATCAACCAGATCAACGCCCTCGTCAAGTGCCTGGCTACTGCTAATGTCTGGATTGACCTCTCGAGGGTCGAGTGGCGCATACGCCTGGGTCAGGTGCTTTGGGGCCAGTCTGGGGGCGATGAGCTGGACGATGCTACCGAGATTCAAGATGCCGCTAGCGCGAGTGAGAGAGCGGAAGAAAAATACTGGCTTCTCATGCAGGTTCTTGTGTCGACCGAACTGCTGATCCGTCTGGACGCCATCACGGAGGGCGAGGCCAATGGTGTCGAGTACTTTCGGCCTGTGGACGGGCTGTACTTTGAAAGACAGGCAAACCAATCTGTCAAGTGGTCTATCCTCCTGGCCCGCAGTTGGCTGGACAACATTGAGCTAGTGAAAGAAGAGGCCGGTCCCGGCGAACAAGCCGATCCCGTTAAGCAAAATGGAGGCTGGCTGGCATCGCTAGTCAGCAAAATGTCCCTGAAGCATTCCGACGAATCTCTGAAACCTGGATATCACTACACGATCAAGGGCCGAAACGGCCATCGGCAGGTCGACGGTCTCACCCACTTCGCTCGGAAGATACACTGGCCCGGCATCGACGCCTACGAATCTCGGATATCGGTGAACGCTGAGAACACGGGCGACCTGACACCGACTACACTAAGTACACCAGGGACATTGCACAGCGTCGCTACCACGGGGTCATCATACTTTGGCGCATGGGACGTTACAAGCCACCACGGGCAACATCATCACGCACAAAAGGTGCAAGCGCAGCGACGAAAGATGGCCGCCGCGTTACATGCGTCTGGGTGGTTGTCCAAGTCGTACATCTTCGCCCTCATGCTGCCTGGCGAAGCGCTCTCGCACTTTCTCATGTCAACACTGTTGGAGAACGACCAGGAGGCTATGGGCACTCTGGGATCGTTCGCCAATCTGTGTGGAGGCTTCGTGTACCGGGGCAAGAGTTTCTGGAGCACGTCGTGCATCGTGGGGCGTGTGCTTGCTGCAGGCGTGGGGGCAGCCGAGTGCATGGGGTGGATATCGACCGACATCTTGCCCGACAGCACATCGGATGGTTGGCTCAACATTGAAGCCGAGGACGTGCCAGATGACCTTCAGCGCCTGGGCAAGAAAGCGAGGATCTGGGGCAAGAAACGCATCGAGCGAGACTCGTACATTCTCGGAGACGGAGACGAGAGCAATCTCGAGCCGGGCGACTTCACGATGCCGCACGAGAACAACTACGAACAACGACCAGCGGCTGCTGCCATTGAGTTGCGGTCGTTCAAGTTGCTCCGCTCGGTGGAGGCGGTCCATCCGTCGCCTCTCAGCGAGTTCACCGGCACCCCGTTGACAGAGTCCACTGCGGCGCCTGACTTGCCCTCCTACCCTGCCAAGCTCATATTCTCCGTCACGATCGGCGGGGCGCGAAGCGAGGACTTTACGTTCCCGCTGACGTACGATATTAGCTTTGTGACGGCGCATCCGTGCTCGCCTTCGCGCAAGGTGCGGTTCGTAAAGTCGCCGTCCAGTCCGACGATTCAGCAAATCGACGTGTCGGGCAAGAACATGCTCGGCAGCACCTCAAGATCGGTCTACAGGGCTGGTAGGTCTACCCTAATAACAACAGATCGCTTTGTGTTGTGACAAGCTAACAACAGCCTAGGTCATCCCTTGCACAAATCTTACCACTACTCCGTGGTGCACATATCTGAGCTCATCAAGAAACGGGGGCACCCGCTCATCGATTTATTGGGCCCTTCGCCGCACAAGAACCCCAAAGCAAACGACAATCGTGTCCTGGTGATCGATTGCATCACGAATTACGCCGAGCCACCACCGCCCTCGCCTGTCCTCACGCGCGTGGAGTCTGGAGGCTCGGCTTCCTTGCCTTCGTTCGAACGGAGGGGCAGCTTGCCGGACAAGATGCATCTCGAATGTCGCCGGCGACAGTTTGGGTCCGACATGGAGATTCTCGTGAGAGCCTTGTGCTCGCAGATGGGCTGGAACGCGCTCATCAGCCGGCGGAAGAGGGGTTGTCTGGCGTGCGCGATCCGCGAGGCGTGCGCATTGGGCTGGAGAGTGATTGTCAGAGTCGAGTGAGGCAAACGGTTCGGCCTTGTATACAAGAACGAGGATGACGAAGATGGTTGATGACTGGCGTTCTGGGACAGAAAAATCTCAACTTGAAAGGATCGGTTGGTTCCAAATGGAAGGGTCACAAGATCTCTGCCGTAGGGGTCACATTGTGATATTATAGCATTTAAATCGAGTATATAACTCAGACTAGCACGTGTTAAGACTGTGTTGTGGAAGAGTTGACGATGAGGTGAGCGAGCGACGAAGTCGGGCACATGCTGCCAAGATCCAATGTCCCTAAGCAGGCTAGCGCCAATTGGACCCCATCTCCAGTCCCCAGACTTCGAGTCGCCATCCATCTTCGCGCCATTATCGCCCACGCCTCTACAGGTCTACTCCCCCTACCCATTCCATCCCCTCACAGCAACCGACACAATGGCGCCAACAAAGGATCTCCGTCGCGAAGACCTCAGTACGTTACCCCCCGAAGATGCCACCCAGCTCGGCACCAGCCGCGCCAGCGGGAGCGCGACGGGGTACAAGGACAGATTGCTAACGCGCGTGCGATAGTCATTCCCTACCAGGAACCCAAGGCCAGCGGAGAAGCCGATGTGTCCTCCTCAATGGCCTCGACGCTGCCCATGGCGGCCATGTTTATGCGCAACAAGGTGATTGGATGGTACGTCGTCTCGCCTGACCCCGACGCAGCCCCTCGATCGATACACACATACCACGAAGCGAACACACGAGGGTTGTCACTATAAAAAGAACACACACTGACGAGGAAATCAGGGTTGCTGTCGTCGTGGCGATCCAGAACTGGCTCGGCGAGAGCTCGTCGCAGAAGAAGAATGCGGCCATGCCGGGTTATTTGTCTGTCCTCATGTCGCGTACGTATCTTTTCTGATGCTGGTAGCCGAGACGAGTGCTAACAAGTTGGTGGGACACAGTCGGTGCGCTTTTGACATCGTATATGCATCTCGTCATTCCTCAGCCTGGGCAGAAATAGCGAACGGTTCCGAGTGGGAAAATATGGGTTGGGTTTTCTGTATTGTACGGCGGCGAGATACCTCTGATGAATCGACAAGGCTGTCCGAATCGCTTTTATCTTCCGATTGGGCGTCTACGGTGTAAGGCTGCGGCGTGGCAGTGGGGGAGTATGAGATGATGTTCGAATAGCATGCCCATATCGAATCATCACGCGTGCTGGGTGCCGTTTGGTGGTGGTCTTTGAGCTGAGGCACCGCCGCTGCAAGCTTGAAAACAATCCATCTAATTGTCCTTTGTATGTAAGCGCTTGGATTGGCCAGTTGTCACCCTCCGACAGTCCGCTGACGATGGGGATGACCTCGACAATGCGACATGCAGCAATGCTGCCTTCGCATAATAATGTGTCCGTTGATTGACTTGTGCGATTCTCTTCAACTGGAAAAAGTCCAGCTAATTAGTGACCTCGAAGATTTCTGACCTTGGGGTCTGTGTTGGGTCGCGGCATTGTCTGGGATTGTGGTTGAATGTCAGAGGCCTGGTCCGTCTGAAACCCACGATGAGACGCCAGCTGCAGCAACCTTGGCGACTCCTGACCGGACCCTCAACTACTGCCTCATGATTGCTATTATTCAATCTTCTCTCTCCAAAATGCCTCTTCCAACATTTCTCGTCTCTCAATTCGATCTGCATGCTGTACCTGGACTGACTTCCAGCAAAGCACTGTTGACTTTCACCCAGTCATCCATAAGCCGAACCGCATCATAACTTTATCAACACATCAACACATCACTGGCCAGCCTCATCTGCATCATGAAGCTCGTCTCTCTTTCGCTCGTGGCAATTGGTTTCGCGCAGACGGCGCTGGGCGGCCTCGTCATCACCCCGATCGAAAGCGACCAAGTTGTCGAGAAGACCTCAGGAGACTGCTTCTTTGGTGTCGTGACGCCTCAAGGATGCGGGTGAGCATTAACTCTAGCAGTACCTTCGAGGTAACCCGATGCTAACTCAAAGACAGACCCTTGAGACCTTTTTGAGATCAGAGAGATGACTTATAGGACGATGGGATGGGTAGCTAGGAGCCCAGGAGGAACCTGTCTATCTCCCACAAGATCGCTTCGCACTGCATCACTTGGCTTGATCACGACCTGATCCGCCAATGAACTGTGTTGTTACACTCAATGACCTGGTCTGTTTATGTCTGTTTCGGCTATAAGAGAATCGCCCCCGTCGGGCGTCGAGGCAGTGCCTCTCGTCTTCGGTAGTCATGGGGGCCAGTCGGAGGAGGCCAACATCCGAGAGCTCCCACTCATCAGTGCAGTGGTGAGATAACTAGTACGCCGTGAGGTGCCGGGATTTCACGCCTCGGGTTCAGTAAGATTCATGCTGTCTGACCACAGCAACCAGTTGGAACAGCGAAGGTGCCGAGGCCGAGGAGCCAAGCGTCAGACACTGATACGAGCTCAAAGACTTTTGATTTTGCAAGCATCGAGCCAAAGTGATTCGTCATTTGCCTTTCTTCCTTTCATTTGGTTAGAAAGTAGAGTCCCTCTGCCGAATCGTCCGTGTGCGTTGATGGGAAAAGCCATGTAAAGAGACCCTGACCACATACCCATGGCCATCTGCTGCTTTCCGGGCGACAGGATGAGAATGAATTCAGGTCTACGGAGTATGATAAGCTCTTGATCCTTTTGTCCGAGGCTTTCGATAAAGACATTACACATTTTGGCCCCGGGGTTCGCATCGTTCGACTGTCCGTATACAACCAGGAAAAGCCTATCCGACAAAGATTATCTCGGCGCATTCGCCCAACCCGGTGTGCAAATGCATATCTCAAGAGGTTATGCGGGGGTCTTGAAAGTTCCCTGTCACCCCATGGGCAAGTAATAACAGTCATCCGTTGGGACCGAATCGGCAAGGGGGCGACACTCAACCTGTCAATGACGGACTCCATGGGGCTGGAAAGTGGCTGCTTGACGTGTGCCCACCAAGATCACATCTGCATGTCCTAGGATTCTGTGTTCTTGACAGGGCCTGGAACTTCCACATGGCATTTGAGGCTATATTGCGTAGCAGCGGCAGGCCACGAGGTCATGTCCCGATGGCGGGAGCTATCTGGCATCGGGTTGTGCTTGCATGTTCACTGCTGGTGCACAGGTTCGTGATACGTGTCATCAACTGTAAGAGGTGCATTATGAACTTTTTGTACTGCCGAGTATTGACTCTAGAAACTGCCATGCGTTGACGCATTCTATTTGAATAATTCTAGTCATCAGGGCGTGTGTCCAGCCTCACCATAAGACTCGCTTATTATACCTTGTTGCTATTTCAAGCCACGGGCAGGAGAGGAAATGTAAACGAGCCGCTACTGTTCCCAAATTGATCAAACGTAATTTCCCAAAGGCGCCTGTGAATTAAGACGTGGACTATAACAGTCAAAGTGGTGTTTTATCCTCGACGCCATTTCGATACAGGGTAGCCAGTACTACACCGCATCTGGCCCGGATGACATTTTCCACGCCTCCAGGCTCAGGGCATCCGAGATACCTTCTCACCCAGTTTGATTGGACAACAACGCTAAGATTCCCAGCGAGTCCGCCTGATGACCCACGCAAATCCTCCTACGTATTCTCCACCGCCGGGGCAGGACCGGATGCTTCCCCACGGGGTTGCATCGCAGCTACGTACGTACGTAGGTACTCCAGCCTCCGAGGGCCGCCCCAGCTGTCACGACTCACGGCCAAGGGCCAAGGGCCAAGGCGTCCCCGACTCCGCCGGCAGGGCACGCGACTTCACGACTCGCTCGGTCGGGGTAGTCTGTCATGGGAGAAGAGATCCAGCATCGACTCCTGAGTCAGGTTGGCTGCGAGGGCAGCCCAAGGGCCTGGACCCCCCAGACTAGCGAGAACGCCACGTACATTCTTGGGCGTGGGTTGACATGGAAGCTGACCTTCAGGGTTGCGCGTTGCGTTGGCGCTAAACGCATCTGTGCATTGGGACCCCGTTTCAGCAGCTGGGATCAATCATCAAGTGCTGTGCTTGTTGGCCGTGCGCGCGCGCGCGCGTGCAGCTCGTTGCAGAAAGGAGATCCTCTGGCCCTGCATTTAAGAGACGTTTGTGGCTTGTCCGAGCTATTTGATCTTGGCCCACCACCCTCTTCACCCAGCGCCTCTCCAGTTGCTGAAGAATCCAGACCTTGCCCAGCGCCCTAGAAGTGCTCAGCTCGAGTACCGGTCTCTCGTTTCCCCGCAGATCACGGCAAGGGCCCCCAAAGGCGACCCAGGAGATATTCATCCTTGCCGAAATTGTCGGAGTACGGACACTTGACTGATGCCACCTGCATACATATAAGCGTTCCCACCCCCAAGCATTGAACATAGAGCAGACCCATCATCGGCTCTCTCCCAGGGCTCACTCATCTTTCTGTACGACTAGTCTCTTTGTATCGACAGGTGTCTCTGAACACAGTTCACATTCCATTGGCGCCTCAAGAACCCGAATCGCAAAACAACGGATAGCCTTGAACCACGACACACACAGCACCCTGACCCAATCGATCCTCCCAATGTCTACACCTCCTCGCTCAGAGACAGAGGCAAAGGAGCCGGCGGCGAGGCACGTGGAGTCGCACAGCATGAACGATGTCACCCAGGTCCTGGAGAATGATGGCACGACGGCCAAGGTCATCCACGCTGATGGCACCATCGACTACATCGACGCTCATGCGTTGGGCGGCGAGGCCGACGTGATGCCAAAGGGCTACTTTCGCAGTCCTCAGTTCATCGGCACGGTGATGGTGAGTACCAGCAGGCCTATTGCTTCATGTTCACTTGGATACGATGCTGACGAGATCCGCAGGCGCAATGCCTCGCCAGTATCTGCGCGTACCTGGGCTGGGTACTTCCGGCCAACACACTGTGAGTTCATGGCATCCGGTCGATCAAAGGCAAGCGATGCTAACAATCAACCCCAGAAACCTCATCAACCTCGATCTTGGACCATCCGCCAGCATCACCTGGGCCGCCACCATCTGGACCATGGGGTCCTCCATCGGCTTCCTCCTTGTCGGTCGCCTGTCCGATCTCTACGGCCGAAAGTGGATGGTCCTGGGCACCAGCGCCCTCAGTCTCGTCGGCTGCATCCTCGGCGGTACCGCGCGCAACGTCGCCATGCTCATCGTCGGCATGGGCTGCAACGGTCTCGGTGCGGCGGGCCAGCTGTCCTTTGGCATCGTCCTCGGCGAGCTCGTGCCCAACAAGCAGCGAGGCCCCATTGTCACGCTCGTCTTCATGTCCTCGCTGCCCTTTGCCGTCTTTGGCCCGGTCATCGCGCGGACCCTGATCCAGGACACCCAGGAAGGCTGGCGATGGAGCTTCTACATTGGCATCATCCTCAACTTTGGCGCCCTGATGCTCTACCAGTTCCTCTACCACCCGCCCACCTTCAAGCAGCTCCACGTGGGCAAGACGCACTGGGACCAGACCAAGGAGCTCGACTTTATCGGCATCTTCCTGTTCATCGCTGGCTGCGTCCTGTTCCTCGTTGGTCTCTCGTGGGGTGGCTCGACATACCCCTGGACCAGTGCCGAGACTCTGTGCCCCCTGATCATCGGCATCGCGACTTTTGCAGGCTTCTTCGTCTATGGTACGTCCCGTTCCTGTCTTGCGCTGTGACAGTGCAGCCTGCTGACATTCAAACAGAGTCTTACTTCTGCCGCGTTCAACCTCTCATGCCCCCGCGCATGTTCCGCAACGTTGGCTTCGTCGCCATCATTGCCATCGCCACCATTGCCTCCATGGTCTACTACTCCATGACGGTGCTCTGGCCCACCATCATCGGCAGCGTCTTTGGCCGCTCGTCAATGGACATTGGCTGGGACTCGTCCGTCGTCGGTGGCGGTGTCCTCCTCGGCCAGGTCTTTGCCGGTCTCGCCATCTCTTACGTGCCCAAGGTCAAGTTCCAGTGCATCATTGCCGCCTGCTTCATCCTCACCTTCTTCACCGCCTTGACGACACTGTCACCCGACCACTGGTCCATGGCCATCGCCTTTGGCGTCATGGGCTGCACGGCCGTGGGCTATCTGGAGAACATCTCCTACCCCGGTGTCACACTCCTCTGGGAGCCGCAGGACATTGGTCTCGCCACCGGTGTTCTCGGATCGATCCGTGGCCTCGGCGGTGCCGTCGCCCAAGCGCTGTACAGCTCCATCTACAGCAACAAGTTGACCGACTACATGCAGCAGTACGTCGTGCCGGCCGCCACAGACGCTGGCCTGCCAACCGACTCGATCCCGGCCTTGTTCGCGGGCATCACCGCGGGGGATTTCTCAGCTGTGCCCGGCATCAACTCGGACATCATCGCCTCTGTCAGCCAGGCGTTGATCAAGGCGAACACGGACGCCTTTAGGATGGTGTTCTACGCGACGATTCCATTCTCTGTTATTGTTTTGGTGGCAGCATGCCTTGTGCCCAATGTTGAGAAGTACCTGACACAGAACGTCGCCAAGAGGTTACAGGACAACCAGTTCAAGGCGGATCTCAAGGAAAAGCGCCCCGAGGTTGCATAAATGATGTGAAGGATATATCCACGACATGAAAGGGAGGGAGGGAGGTCTATCAAACAGATCTACTCGCTATCGCTCAATCAGTAGTTATTAGTTGTGAGGCAAAACTTACATAACCTTACCGTTTACTACCTCTATCGTTTTGTCATCCATGTGCTGCCTCCCACGTCAGGGAATAATAAGCCCATCACATTTCCTGGCAGTCTAAGTTTTCTAGTGTCATATGGGGTCTTCGGAACTTTCTCTCATTGATTCCTTGTCCCGCTCCACGTTCCATGTATGACGCTCACAAACGAGAGGTTTTCCCACGTTAGCACCGTCTTGCCACGACAGCATTGAGCATCGCATTTGTGTTTACCGAGATGTGCTGTCGCTTGTGGACAAAGGTGAATCTTTGATGCTTGTAGTCAGGTCCAAGACCGTGTATCCTTTTTACCCGAGTTGATAATATCAACATGTAGGTTCCAGTTGAGATTGCCTCATCGTACTATCTCACCCTCGTCTGTGTTTAAGCTTTGCTAGCATGAGCATCATCACCCGAGGGTCATTACGCACATTATCTAAATTCGTAGGTATATTGCCGCCAAACTGACCCAGACGCGTGTCCCGAGGTGCTGTGAAAAGCATCTCAGTACTACTATATTCTTTGCCTACTGCTGCTCATTCAACTACTTCCTGCCCTTTTGTATACATTTTTACTAGAAACCATCAAAATGCGTATCTCATTCCCAGCAGCTCTTGTAGCCTTTGTAACTGGCGCCTCTGCAGCGGGCACTCTAGGTTTCGCCGTGGGTGTCAAGCGCGCAGACGGCTCGTGCAAGGTCACAGGCGATTACGAGGCCGACTTGGACGCTATCAAGAGCAACAGCGGCAGCACGACGGTCCGCGTCTTTGATGCGTCCGAGTGCGATGTGGTAGCACAGATCCTCCCTGCTGCCCAGTCAAAGGCATTCGGTGTAGTCCTCGGCGTCTGGTACGATCTGCATTGGCTTCCCCCATCAGTGAGACCGTCGTCATATAGCTGACACGCACAGGCCCGATACCGATGCGCAGTACAACGCCGGCAAGGCCGCCATCACCAACACCGCCGTCAACTTCAAGAACCAGGTCATTGCGGTGACCGTTGGCTCCGAGGGTCTCTACCGCGGGACGTACACTGCGGACTTTCTCGTTGGCAAGCTGAATGATCTTCGATCCGCGTCTCCCGGTTTCAAGTATGGTACGGCCGACACGTGGAATCGCTTCGCGGACGGCACTGCCGACCCCGTCCTGCAGGTCTCGGACATTGCCCTCGTCAATGCGTTCTCCTACTGGCAGGGCGCCAGTATTGATGCCGCACCCGGCGTCTTCCAGGATTCCATCGGCCAGGCCTTCAATCACATCAACTCGGTCAAGGGTGGCATACCGCTGTGGGTGGGTGAGACGGGGTGGCCATCCAGGGGCACGACGTACCAGAATGCCGTTCCCACCGTGCAAAATGCAGACACGTACTACCGACAAGCTGTGTGCGGATCCCTGGGCCGTGGGACCAACGTTTTCGTCTTTGAGGCGCTCGATGAGCCCTGGAAGCCGCAGTCTGTCGGCCAGGACGGCAGCTCGGCGGATGAGACGAGCTGGGGTGTGATGACGGCCGACAGGCAGCCCAAGTACAATCTCATGTGCTGAGGGTGTGTCAGCTTCACGTTGGAGAGGCCAGGATAGTGTTCAGAGAGGACGGATGCCGTGGGAAAACTCATATAAAGGCTCAGGTGGTATATAATTGAGAGAGAGAAAAGTGATTGAGAGAAACTGAGCGACTGTGTGAATTCACTACATTCCCCCTTTTGTGACAAAGTGTGTTCCCATCGCGAGGAATAGTGTTTGATGTCGCCTGGCCTGCAAGGATAACCACGTAAACTTCGATTACAGCTCCAGCAGTTCTTTCCACCGAGGTTCACATCCGGACCTCAAACAAACATGAAGGAGTTCAGAGAGCTCACCACAGGAGTCAACCATCTTCACACGGCTTCTGATCGTTTGCCTGAGAGAGAAGATGTCCTCAATATAGTCGATGACCTCAGTAATCAAATTTCTTGAAAAGGGGTTGTCGTCGTACGTCAAGTTGCTTTGCAAGGCTTCCTCATCAAGCATGTCCGTATCCCTAACGAAGCGCTCTTGGGTGACGGAATTCTCCACGTACCCCGGGCAGATATCAACCCCTTCGGGCGTATCGTGGTATGAGTGGTCGTGAACCACACAGCTGAGTTGTCCACCTGGCCGATGTTCATCGACCTCTTCGTTGATATCCCAGCTCGTGGCATTGATTCTTGAGGCAGAGGAATGGTTGAAATGTGCATGCCAGCCCTCGGGCGAATCATTCTCCCCACTACAGAAGCAGCCATTGCGCATTGCTGCTTTTCCAGGGGGCGTGAAACGCTTTCCTGTCGTGGTGGCCCCGGGAGCCTCGATACAAAGACCCAATGGCCAGTACCAGCTTACGGTGAGCGGAATCATGGAGCGAATCTGTTGCAAATCCTTCTCGGCTTCAGAATGAGCTGTTATTCATCCGGCGACGAGAGTACTGAGAGAAGAGATGCCGGCTACTTCGTGGCTCGCGTCTTGGCCCAGCAGCATATCAACACGGTACGCTTTGAGTCTGGAGAGCCCCTTTGCAACGTCTGTGAGTTTCTGAGTACCAGTTAGATTTAAGCAGTGCCACGAAACCTTGGTTGTGCATCTGCTAGAATCAGGTAACATTGGAAGGTTTCATCCTTCCGAACTATCAAACTCTGCACTCGGTTGGGCCATTGACTCACGAGCACACCCGCCACCTGCCGTGTCAAATGTGTTGTTCAGGGAATTTCAAGAACACAGAGCTTTTACATTGTTCGATCAAATTACGACTCTTCGAAGCACAGCCAAAAGAAACATGAGGCGACACGCTGCATCGCCAGTCTCGAAACATATCCTCTTCAGATGAGAAGAGAGCGCGTCCTATTCAATGATGGCAATGACAAGGCACAGGAGCGAGAGGGAAAAACACATGGAGCTTTTTCGGAGCAAAAGTCCCAATGACATGCTCTCAAACTCGGAAACTGTTCTAGAAAACAATGCAGACATGAGAGAAGTGACATGGGCTTGATACCTAGAGCCAAGCGTTAATACATGGTTCTACTACGTACTCGTGCGCTTACCGGCCGGAGTCCCTCAGCTTCGCAATCCATCCCAGACGAGTATCTCCTCCCTTACTTCGCACATGGCGCAATCACCTCGTTGCTCTAATATGTGATACACGTCGTCAACCCCTCTACCGCGATTGCCAGGCACGTTTTAGTTGCAAAATCAATGTCGCAACCCACACGCGGAGCCTATACCATGATAATCGCCAAGATTCCGCGTGTATATGCGCAGATTATCCCACAAGATATCATGCACACTCAACCAGAGTAGGCACCGGCAAAGCCCCTCATCACTGAGCCTTGTCGGCGGTGACGCCCGACTCCTGCGCCTCATGTTCCTGCAAGCTGGGGGCGTTCTCATCGGTCATTTGTGCGTCGTTGGCGTCAATGTCGGCAGCCCACAAGGCGGCTCCCACTACGTACAAGTTAGCAGCCATTCACACAAAGTCCAGGCCATGATGACTTGCCCGTGTTGGTGTAGGTAAAGAAGACGGAGGCGACAGGGACCATCTCAAGGAGGGTGGCAACAAGGCCAAATCTGGTAAGCAGTCACGGTCAGTAAGCCACCCCAGATAAAGCAGGACGAGGGCAGACGTACGCTGTGTAAGGTCCCGTGTGCTTCTTCAGCCAGTCTCCGCGTTGAGACGCTGACCACTTCTTGAGTTGGAAGAACTTTGGACTCGTCAGCGCACTGATTCCATGTAAAACCTTCATATACGTACCCTGTCATGGACGCCTTGTCCACGCCCCTTGGCTTGGAGGAAGACGAAGATTGCCGTGCCAACAACGGGAATGAAGTTGAGGGGCAAGTACATAAAGTACCGGACAATCGCCTTGGGGCTAAACTTTGCAAAAGGGCTCGTAATGACCTTGCCCAACTTGGCGATGGGATTGCTTCCGGAGCGAACCTCACGGCCCTCCTTCACCATGCCCGTCTTGTTGCGCGTCAGCAGGGTGCCGTCAAAGGTGTCCAGCAGCGAGTCCTGCAACAGATAATTCTTGGATATCATGTTGACGATCGTGGAGGACTCGTTCAGAATCAGGAAGACCGTGGTGAAGACGGCGAGGGGTCCGTTGACAAAGACCAGCACGGCGAACTGGGGCAGGTAGGTGAAGGTGAACATGCCCGCCGTGACGCTGCCATACAAGGCAAGATACTGCGGCAGTTTGGATACAAAGGGCTGCCAAAGAGTCCGGTGAGAGAGGAAGTAGAAGATGCCCTAGGTATTGAATATCAGCTTCGAACTGCCACAGCTGTTGTCAAGAAGTGTCTACCTTGATGGGGTAGAACCAAGCTCTACTCTTGGCAGCATCGAGAGCTACACCCCGCGCCTTGGTGTAGTCTTCCTTCCTACCATCACGTCAGGATTTTTTGGCGCTTTACTGGGACCAAGCAGCTTACAAGACTTCCTGGGCATTGTTGCGGATGGAGTTTGCGACGCGCCCACGACGCGTGGGCTGGTCTTGTTCGTTTGAGTCGGCCATTGTTAAGAAGATCTTGTACAGATCACTTGGCGTGAGGGATAGGAGGAGGAGATGGGTGATTGGCGGAGAGCGATGGGGTCTTTGGGCGATGCGAAAGATCGATTTGCTCGCTGCCTGACTGTGAAGCTTGGATGGAAACACCCGCGGAGCGTGTTCCTTCCCAAAGCTGGTTCAGCGCACCGTGGGGCAGCTTGACGATACAATGTCGTCATGAGACTCATGACCGGATTGGGCGAATGTGGCCCGTGCTCAGACCACCAGGAGCTCCTGCTCCGTGTCCAAGTTCCCGCCTGTCGAAAAGTCGCCATCAGGCACGCATTGAATGCAACCCGATACTGAAGCCGTCACGATGCGAACCTCAAAGTCTGCCAAGGAGGGCATGGATACATAGTGGTGCATAGAAGAGCAACAAATTGCATCCTGGCAAAGGAGCCAACATCCGCTCCGTACCCACCATCCCTCCGGCACGGGGCTCCACAGCCGCGGTGACAGCCCGGACAATTGGAGCGTTGACTCCGGCGCATGCACGGGGTCTCCATTACTGGACAAAGGGGCCTGGGGCCGAAGCGATTCGCGGGGGCTGATTGACAGAAACTCTTCGACCAGCCCTGCGTGTCTTTCTTCCAATGATTCGAGGCGGAGGTCAGGTCCGCTGATCGTCGTGCTTGTAAAGGGGTGAGGATGATCTGACCTCATCTCCCCTCTGCGTCCCCGTATGTGTGACAGCCCATAAGAGCACAGTCACCCCAGACAGGCTTCTGGAGATGGCGGCTACGTTTGATTCTCTCCCACGCGTAAAACGATAGCAAACATGGAACCGCGATACATTGCAAACAACTTGCCCACGCAAACGCTGCCGTCCACAAAGGCGCACGCGCTGCTTGTCCAATCTCTCGAAGCAGTCCTCACAAATACACCACCGCTCCAGCGGTACACGACTCGCCAGCTGGGCGGATTGTACAGTGGGTATACTGGCATCGCCTACCTATTCTTTCGACTGAGCAAGAGACATCCGGAGCTCGAAGTCAGAGGCCATTGCCTAAATTTCTGGGCATCCAAGTACATGGAAGGAGATCGCTCGAGCGCGGGACTCACCAAAGGCAACTGTGGCTTGGCTTGCGAGAAGCTTTCATTCCAAGCTCTCAGGGCTTGCATGTCTGGCAAGAATGACGACCTATTCGAATTTCTTGCGAATATTCCCCTGTTGCTCGGGCCGTACCCATCGGGCGACTTCTACTCATCCGAGCTCATCTATGGGAGGGCCGGGTTGTTATATTTGATCCGGATGATTGAGGCGTACTTTCCTGGATCCAAGTCATACCTGAACTCGCCGAAGAATTGTTTGACAAAAAAGATATTAGAGACGAACGACGACGGGCGCGGCAATTGGGAATGGCGAGGGAAACGATATTTCGGCGCGGCGCACGGAGAGATTGGGATCATCACGCAGCTCGTGCTCGCGAACCCCAAAATAGCACCGCGGCTCCACGATCGGTTAGAGGACCTACTTGATCTGCAATGGGAGGATGGCAACTGGTCCTCCAGCGAGCTGAGGATGCGCGAGGGCAAGAACCCAAAGCTGGTCCAGTGGTGTCACGGCGCGCCAGGCTTTGTGATCTCGCTCCACTCGCTGCGAGAACACTTTCCAGAGCTCGAGTCACGGATTGACACGGCCATCCTCCGCGCCGAGGATATCATCTGGCGGCACGGACTGCTGACAAAGGAGCCATCGCTATGCCACGGTATTCTGGGGAACGCCCTGTAAGTCCAGACCCCCTTTTGTTTGGATCCACGTCGGAAAAGGGGCTGACATGTGACATGATAGCGCCCTACCCAAAGGCTCGAAACGAAACCACTTCTTGTCCTTGGCAACGACCGAGTCCATGGAGAAAATGCGCCGCCATGATCCAACACTTTTCGAGCCGGCTTCCTATGACAAAGACTGGGCCGTCATGACAAATTACTACACCAGCGCGGCGTGGGCCTGGGCCACTCTGGAAGACGAAACACCGAGGATGATCTTTTACAACGATGTGTAGAAGAGATGGATGCGTTTAATAAGTTCTGAAGCAATACAAGCCTTGTTTGACCATAGCAAGCTGGTGATCAAATGGACCAGAACGGTGAACTTGTGACCATCGCTGCTCGTGGCCTGCGGATCCCATGCGTACGCCACAATGTTTGAAGTCTTGGACCCCTATTCATCCAGCGTCCGGGACTGCACGCCCACAATCAGCCACGCCATCCAAGGGTGTCGTTCAAGATGATCGCCTCCTTCGGCAGGGCTTGGCCAATGCCACTCCATAAGCAGTAGCGTCGGGTTTGGTATTGGCGATAGCCTCATAATTGGCCTCACTTTTTCTCTGGTCCCTTTGGCCCCTGAAAAGAAAAAAAAAAAAAAAAAAAAAGTCTGATGTTTAGACGAAGTGGAAAGGCCCATCGTCATACCTCGGCATATAGACAGTAGCGCGACCCGCCATTGTGAACCTCCTTTCGAATGCCGTCGCCCAAAGCCGTGTACTAAATGAGTTGCTGCAATGGAAACGGCACCCGTCCACTCTGGAGATTCCAGAAAGCTCGCGGTGGATCAGTGTCGATACTTTAAACTTTGGGGCTCGGGATCGCGACAGCTGGTGCGCAGCGAGGGGCTGGCCAGCATTGACAGCAAGAACTCGCGCAGACGCGGGCGTTCATCATTCATCTGTGAATTATTAACCCAAGGTGTAGGGGCGTGCCGGAGTTCACATCATCCACAATCCGGCTCTTTGGTTCCGAGCGGGCGCTTGTGGTCTCTGCCAACGTCACATGGAACAACGCCCAGCCTCTTGGCTTCTGTTGTCAATTGAATGCTTGCCTGTGTCAGTTCGATAGTCCCGATGCAACATCCCGAGCGGTAGCTAGAAAAGTCAACGCAGGATCGTGAGGTGAGATCGGGCGATCCCATACCTCGTTGGTTGATAACGGACTAACGGTGTTGATAATGGCGACACACTGGGGAGTGGAAACGTCACGGATACGTGGAGGCGATCGTGCCTTGGCGCGCGCCTTGGAGAAGAAACGCAAGCGGATGACAGCAGGGCAGACGGTGTGTCCTTTGACGAAATATGAAACCACCGCCCTATCAAACGGCCAGCAGCCTGCATGATTGAGATTGATATCAACTTCTCCGATCGCAGTTGAGCTCATCGTTCCGAATTCGAGTACAACCTACTCCTTAATACTCCGTACTTTCTACGCCCATGGACGGAGCTTGGAGCTGACACATTGCGGAACCACGTGTGGCCGCGCTTTATGTAATCCTCCCGCTTCTATGCATCGATAGCCCACCAATGGTGGCACCGGCGTGGATGTGCGTGGCTATTGCGGAAGTCGTTGATGGAGTCGCCTTGCCCTGCTGATCTTTGGTAGGGCGGAAATCGATCGATGTTGCGAGTGCGACATGAATGTGGAATCATCATCATGGGAGAATTTTCTGCCTTGGCCCGCCCGTCTTTCAATCGCGTCCGTTCTCTCGTCCCGTAATGGATCAGGGGGGTGTGCAGCAAGTATCCATTCAGGTACTACTTAGTTAAGTCCGAAATCCATGTCATGATATTAGGAAAATGCCGACCTGGCAGCTCAGTGCTCCGAGTGTGTCGAATTGTTGTCGAGTTCTCAATTGATCAAATGACTTCATGTTGCTTTTGCATCGTTGGCGTCACAGAGGGACAGCTTTGCACGTCCCCCTCGCCATCTTTCTCGTCACACGAGACGAGTGACGAGGCGACGAGTCAAAGGTATCTTGGAGTCGGCGGTCATGAGACTCCGCCCGGTGATCGGGCTTTTCTCGAAATCGCGAGCGGATCCTTGGCCCCCCCCCGGCGGGATGCGCTGCGCTACGTCGTACCTTACGACCTGCAAGTCGCTGCAACAAATATCGATTTGTTAGTCTCCGCGAAGCGTGCCGGCGACCGAGAGGCTGGGCAATCCCGCCGCGGACTTTTGAACATCTGCCATGTTCGGATTCGGCAGCTGGATTGATGCGGCTTTTACATATGGATGATACGCGCTCTGTAGACAGTGGTAGCCTGCTCACGTCGCGGGGCGCCTCACGACAGGTTTGTTGGCTCTATATTCAAGTTAGCTGCGCCCAGGAGCATTGCGTACAGAAGGACTTGGATGAAGTGGTCTTGAATCAGTTGTTTTCATTTGGACAATATTATATGGTCGAAAAAGTTGCCAGTGATGGCCGTTCTAAGTGTGAACCCTATACCTTGTTGAACGCTTGAATAGTTCTACTTACATATCGTGGTCAAATGCTTGCCCGAAGTATACAGGGTGATAGTCCCTTTTCGCCTATAACTTTTTTTTGGCTTGCAAGTCGGTTACCAACGACTTCCTTAATACTTGAGTAGTTCGAGCATTGTTGATGCCAGAGGGCTAGACACATCTACGTACTGGCAAACCTGCTCGCCATGTGGCGTCTACTACGTAGAGCCGAAACGGCTCAACCAAGCGACGCGCGCCCTTGTTCAAGCCCGCAAATGTGCCAGCTGTATTATCGTACCACTTTGTCAGTTACGTTTCGACACTACTGGATTAAGCCTTTTGAAATCGCGGCCTCAGGATATGAACGACATGCCATCGGTGCGGGGGAACCGTCTCTCGGTCAGCTGGCATGTGATTTGATATTTGATATGTACGTAACTGAGGATCTACACCGTACTGCATGGGATGACACGCAATCTCAGGTTGAGTACTAAGTAGTACTTACGTACATTGTCTGGGAGAAGACCAATGCTATCGTCGACCGTTGTCGCGCTTAGCTTCCTGAAGAAGGTTTGCCATTGAGCTAGTCAGAGCTAAATCCGGAACATGGACTAGCAGCGGGCAGGAAAAGTCAGCTGACTGGTCGTATGGGTTTTTGTTCTTCGACCGCTCAAAAGCCCCCTGTGTCACATGCTGTTGAGGGGCAATTCCTGCTGTTGAGATCCTGAGGAATGTTCAGGAACGTAGCTGCGAGGCTTCCAGAGGCGCAAAGCAAGGGTCCTCCTCAGCATAACCTGAGTCGCATGAATTTCCGAGACTCTCTACTGCCCAAATAACCTTGATAGAATTGACGGGCTTCGCCCGCAGGACACGGTCGAGCGCGGAGGCTGACTTGGCTCTGCCTCAGGGCACCGTATCCTGATGCATGTACCTACCAAGTAGGTAGATAGACGTAGGCGGACATCAGAGCTTTGTAACCCGAAACGCTCTGGAGCGAGACGACGAAAGACTGGACAGCCGCTGAGGGCAGTCGGCAAGATAGGCCATTTCCGAAAACAGGTGTGAACTTTTCTAGCCCCTTCACGGGCTTGACTTTGACAACTCTGCCGCCTCGCCTCGTACGATTTCACTCAGTCGTCATGGAAACCATGAGGAGGCAGAGCTGACGGCATTGCCTGATATTCTCGTAGGAGTTTTGAGCTAAAGATCTCGATTCGAGACCAGCTCTCACAAGGTAGAAACAACCTCAGCGTATCGACCGTAGATGCGCCGAGAAAGAAGGACGACGAGAGTAATTCTCGTCAGGCTTATGAAGATGAGACCCTAGGCTTCAAGGCGGCTCATTCACCATGGGCTGGAAGATGGAGTAGAGCCGTCTCCACGCCCAGGCGAGTGGTGCATGCGTTGCTGCATGTTCATAGGGCTGAGACACAACCCTCCAGGCGTCTGCCTGGTTTCACTAGCCACATCAACGCAACACTCCAACTGTCGTGATCCCTTGAGGATCTCGCATAATGGACTGGACCCTGCTTGGTGTAGAGCGCGGTGGAATGTAGCTTAAGTCTATTTCGGCTGCCTGGCTGGTCCTCAACACACACACACTCACGCCCGCGGCGTCAGCACCAGGGACTCGCCAGGACGCTGTGGGTGGGCGTTTTTGGTTCTCCTGATATCAGCACTAGTAGCATTATCTCGACGTGTTTCCACAAAAGCGTTCGCGGGTGTCGATAGGTAACCCGTCCTGGACAGTAAGCCAAAAGTTTGATTCACGCCGACAAGCATTTCACGAGCTGTGACTTGTTGCCACAGCCATCGCTAATCTGGAGGCTGTTGTCGGGGGCGGGGTCCAGAACGTCAGGCTGATGGTCCATCAAGCCATGTCGACGGCGAGGGCAGACGTTTGGGTGATAGACTGGCGGAAAGTCGCACACCCACTGGGCATTGGACCCTGAGCAGTCCTGCTTCAAGGTTCTTACCAGAGCGTCGCTTCACGGTTGTAATTCGCTGCAGCGGTGCGTACATGTAGCAGGCTAGCAGCAGCACTGGGAAGAGCCGATTGATAAGCTGGCTGAGGATGGGCCGTGAGGGGTCCGTTGGAAGTCCGCCACACTGTAGCGGAATTCCATGACACCAACTCGAGACTGATGGGCTAGCTGCCCATGTCTGGTGCTTTTGCATCACTTTGTCAACGCCACGTGTGAGAATGGCAATGATGATGATAATGGGGAGAATCATGTCCCGATCATTTCTTGGTCATTGGTGGTGAGACCCCGGCCAATTGACCGCGACTGTTCTCTTTGCTCGTCTAGGGCATTGCAATCAGGAAGGGCACCGACAACAACGAGATTCATCTGCTCATGACTATTATGCGGCTGATCTGATGATCCAGAGTCCAGATCCACCCCGAAGGCCACGGCTCACGGCACCTGTCTTGTCAGCAGCTGGTACGGAGTACTCCGTACGTATCGAGCTATAGGCGAGCCGACCCAGTCTTTGTGCCCTACCCGAACTGCTTCCCATTTGCCTGGGCCAATTCGATAGTCGACGGCGACAGGATCGAGTGCTGTGACGCGATGAACAATTGCACTGCTTGCGATGCGACTACTACGTACAACTCCGCACATATGGTGAATCCTCACTGGGGGGCTCGGGGTTCTACATGTAGGCATGGCCAGGGGGGCCCCCATCATTCAATGGAAGGCCTGCCCTGGTTCGGCGACTTCAGACGTTGGCTGGGATCACCAAGTCCGCGACCCCGTGCGCAGGCGAGTGAGTGAGTGCGTGCGTGCGTGGTGAGTGGTGAGTGATGATGGCTGATGACTGAGAGTGAGTTTCGCTGGTTCGGACATAATGCTGGTGCCGACGACCGGCGTCGAGCTAAATGTTAGACGCACACCACCACCACTGGCCGGAACGCTAGCCCGTGCCGTCAGTGCGTAGGTACGTACTGTAATAGTCCCTGTCGTCCTTCTCTCTCAATCCCGATGCCAAACAAGGACCGCCTTTTTATTCCCGCTCGATTATGCTCCATATTACGGTAGCAAGCGTCGACATGAGCTCAGACGTGCTAGGTACTTGCAACTCGACTGCTCGCGGTCTCGTCATCCCTCCCGTACGCCGAGCGTGACTACTACCTTACTTTTAGTCCTAACTCTCATATATAAATGTCTAGCCCCCCTGATCCCCCCCCGTGGCTGCCCCCAGCCCCTACCGCCCTCAGCTCTTGACTGTTTTGATACCATCGTGTCGTTCCTGTATTGAATCTTTGTATATGATACCCGCACATACCCCCTACACAGATCTTCCTCACACATATCAATGTGTTGACACATCACACCCGCGAACAAACAACAAGGGAACACATTAACACGCTCACATACTCGCTCGACAACTTACATACCTGACACTTTTATGCATGCGCACACATACACACAACCGCTCAACCTCTCTCATTGTTACTAGTCCTCAGCATGGTCTCAGGACTACTGGTAACACCGCCCGAGGACTTTACCTCTGATACGCACAACAAGAGAAACTCTATTCTCGGCAGCCATCACAACAAGACGACGCCCAGCAAGATTGCCCACCGACACGCTAGACAGCGTGAGGCCCCGGCCAACCCAATTCTCAAGCGCGAGCCAGCACGTGCCAACCCCAGCATGGACGGTCGCCACAAGCGTGTCTGGAAGGCGTGTGAGAGATGTCGCATGAAGAAGACGAAATGCGACGGCGAGTTCCCCTGCAAGAGATGCAAGGACGACGGTCTCATCTGCACGGCCGGCATTCGCAAAAAGACCGAGTACAAGCAACTACCAAAGGGCTACGCCGAGGTCCTCGAGCACACACAGTTTGCGCTTGTGCAGACGGTGCATAAACTCTATCAGATGGTCCGCGAGGGCCAGACATGGACGCTCGACGAGCCTACCCTCAACGACCGCAACCTACCCGTCATCCACGACATTGCAGACAAGCTTGGCTGCATCCGACCGCACTCCGACATCGACCTCCCCATCAGCCACATCTTCCCCGAAGACGAACGCGGCCTGACGGAACTACAAGCCAAGCTCGAGGCGGCCGAGGCAGAGAGCGCGACCCGCGAGCTCCAAGTGAGCAGCAACAGCAGTACCAGCAATGCGGCAGCGCCACACCCCGTTCCGCTGCAACATCAGCAATCCTCGAGGTCATCGGGCAGCCATAACCAGGAGGGTGCGATCTCGTCTCCCTCCGCGGCAGGCATCTCCTCGGGTCCTGGATCCGTGTCGGACACGTCTGACCTGGACATGGACTACCGCGCCACAGCGTTTGGAGGCAGCGGTGGCAGCTTTGTCGACTCTCCCCCCAGCTACGCCGCGTCGCACAATGACTTCAACCCCCGCGTGCTGCCGCAGCCGCCTCGCATCAACTCAGCACCGAGCTTCCTCCCCGCGGGTCAGCAGCAGCAGCTTAAGGGTCGCGTCAGCTACAGCGGGCCGCAGGTGATGAGTCGCCAAGTGAGCACGGCACAGACTGCCCCCCAGCAGCGCCCGTTCACTAAGCAGGAGCCACAGCAGCGGCAGCAGCAGTTTGATGCCACCATGAACGACTACACGCAGCATCAGAGCAACATGGCGTTCCTCGCTAATGACGGGAGTAACGACGATGGTTTCCTGATTAATCCTCACATGGTCGGCCCCGCCTTCTTCGACGAGGGATTGCAGGTGATGGGTGATGGCACCATGGGCGATCCCATGCTGTGGAATGGGGTTCTGGGCTCATCAGAATTCGATGAATCGCTAATCTAAATAGCGTGGCAAAGCAATAATTACGAGCGCACGTTTTCTAATGACTATAATGACCTGTACAAAATAACCTCGGACATAGAGTAATTCCAAACGCACATGCGTACTCACACCAAGCCCCATTGACAATCAACGCGGGCTAAATGAATCTTGGCAGCTGCTTTCAGAACGTGTGCCGTTTTCACACTTCTGCATGCATGCAGAAAAATGTCAGAAAGGCGGGATGGATGGCATGCCATGGCATTCCAAGAATTCCGCATCGTCCGCCCGCCCACTGTACCTGACGATGATAGGCCGTCACAGTTCCCCCGTACCTTATCCTTCTCCAGCATGCATGCCCTGGCTTCTAGCGAGCATAATTTTATTGTGGCTGGCTGTCGGGGGCAGGACGATGTGACCATTGACCCCCCCGTGAGAATCATTACACGTCATTGACTTGTTGTAGGAGTCTTGGAGAAAGCCTGGGGGGGGGCATGGGCTGTTCATCGAGCAGTGAGTGGTGGACCTCTTACTAGACCGCGGCCGAGAACTTTGCCAGGCGAGTTCTAAAATGAAGCTAAAAAGAAGTTTGATTGATTCGTGATGCATCCCACTCTGCCCTCTTTCCCTGAAAATAGGCAATGGCCATGAGCTGTCAAATTTTGCTGCCGACCACTTATTACGTCCCCATGCGGTAGTGGTGATGCTGCAGCGCAGGGCGTGTGGGTACGAGGTACGGCGCCCCGATCTAGCAGTGCTGGCATCGTGTGTTTTTCTTGAAATTTGATTGTCAAGACGCTGCCAATGCGTGACGAGGCAATTGGAAAAGGTAGGCAAGAACCACAATGTGGTCGGTCCGTTGGCGGCGCAGTGATCTGAGGAGAGCTCACAGAGCTCCCGTCTTCTTGATATTCATCACGTGACTAACAGCGGCGCCTCTTCTCCGCAAGGCCTGCTGGCCTTGGCCCTGACAAGGGGCTGATTCTCTTGGATGGTCTCGACCGGCGACAGAATCATACATTACTCACAATGGCATAAAGGTGACAATCGTTATGGTCAATTGGCCCGTTATGTCAACAGGCCGTCTGACAGCCACGTTAGCAGGCCGCACTGCGCAGGCGTCTGTGCAGATCATCAGCAGCGCCCGCTGCTGCGGGACACGGCACCTTAAGCTTTGTGAGTGGGCCCATGTACGTACCCCTCGATCACGGCGACCAGTTGTTTGCTTGGCTTGCTCGCGTGCTTACACGCGCACAAGCGGGCCATGTCTTGAATGGATCATTGCTGTCCAGTGATAGCCTCACCGCAAAAGGCATTCTGCTCGTCCATCTCACGATCCTGTTGTAGTACGTAGTGCTGCGCAGGCATTGCGTGGGCTGTTTAATAAATACCGCTGAGCAAAGAGCAATCGCTTCGACTGATGTACCCGGCACGCGTCACGCGTCCCAGTGGCTCATCAGAGGAGGACTCAGGACCCTGGATCACAGCGGCGCAGCGTGAAACGGGCTGCGCCCTCGTGCGTGGCCCCAGACGGACGGGCCCCGGACGCAAATGAGCATCAGAAATCAGAACATGGGACAATCCTAGTCTAGCTTTATACTAATTCGTTTCCCCTGGCGTTGCATCCAGACATTTGGAAATAGAAGGCAGGGTTTCATCGGGTCCCAATGCTCATCTCAATGCCCATCTCACCCCATCATCGGGGCTTCGCCATGCGTCGCGGACTCGCGGGTTTGGGCGACGGGCGACAGGACCCGGCATTCGGGTTCTTTGTGGGCTCCGCGCGCCGGAGCTCCATCGTTCTTCAGTCCCTGGGCTGACAAGCGGACTTAACATTATCAATCCACATGGCGAAAACAAGAACCACAAGTTTATAACTCCGGGTCGTCTACGGAGTGTCCGTACATGCGGACGGACGTGCCGCGGTTGTATTGCTTCCTTGCTTGCTTATGAAGCTATTCCACTTTTTGTCAGAATTTGAATTTTGTTGCGCCGCCGTGCTGGAGTGGCACACAGTGATTAATAAGATAAACTGTGAAAGAGGAAAATCCTTTTCAGGGTCCCCCCTTTCTCCAGCTAACATGAAGGCTAGCTTCAAGGGTGTACGTTTTGGCATGGTCCACCGCAAGGTACAGTAGTGTTTACAAATTGACCTGATATACCTACAGTGTGGTATAGGTGAACTGCTGGCTGGGCTTTCACGTTTATCGTTAAGAAGTCAACTCGACTTTAATCGCGCACTTTGTGCTCTGCTGACCGGATCTCGTGAGCTCGAGGGGTCGTGTAATCCTTGTTTGCGTGTAGTCGGGCAATTACACCACGTCCAACTTGCCACTCAACGGATGCGGCACAAGACTTGCATCAATCCCGAACACTAGTACTGTGCGTTGTGTTTTAGAGATCATGAGGCTGAAATTGTTAAACCCGATGATGTGGATGCCCATTGTTCAGTCCAGTCCACAGTTGTCTGCAGGGTAAGCTGGCCACATGTGAAGAAGTGGATTGCGATCCCACCCCGCGCCCCTGATCGACAACAGGTTGATGAACTTCATGAATACGAGGTACGATCTCAGGGGCAAGATTTATTTATGTCGCAATTAGTGTGTCTATATTGAAACATGGGGTTTGAATGCCATTGCTGGGGACAGTACTCCGTACCATCTACCTAAACGGCCGCAACGCGCTGTTTGTGGCACAGCGTGGGCACGCACTCCTGTTGGCTGCTCCTAATGCATGCATGCTCGCATTCGTTGCGAGCGCGAAGCGAGCGTCCCATTCCCCGTTCCAGTCGCCACCGCCTCGCAAATGGCACCTCACAATCATAGACACACGCCTTGTGCCTCCAGGGGTTGGCATCGAGCCGTGCCCAGACAGCCATCCCGACTGAGCTTCATCTCATGCCTCCAAGACAGCATTACTCGGACACTGCATTAGCGAGCGAGATACGAGCTACATGCGAGCAATGCAGAATAGTGCCAATCAGAACTACGTACGTAGCTCGAAACTCGGCACTTCATTGTAGTAGTCGACTGCCCGGAGCATTTTGCCCAGTTATCTCACTGCCCATGATGCAGGCTATGCAGCAGGATGAATCCCGATAGCGTATAAACAAATACCGTCCCCCAGACGCCACGCTAAAACACAAGACCATGTCGTAGATCGCACGGGGACACACATCAAGTCTGGATGTCCAGGGCCTGCTTCAAGATTGCTTCGTTGGCCCTCCACCAGCGCGCCCGCTGCTCCAAATCATCCGCTGCGCCACCGAGGGCAGCCTCTTTCCTCCTCTGCGCCTCTCTGGCCGCAGCCATGCCGTTCTGCCGCTTCGTCTCCAACGGCTGTAGCTCCGCGTGTAATCTCTCGGCCTCCTTCTTCTTGCGCGGAACCTTTGCCTGCAGGGCCTCGAGCTCCCGTGCCAACTCGGCCTGTTCGCGTTGACGCTTGGCCACGAGCTCCTGCGTCTTGGCGAGAGGAAGGTTCATGCTCGGGTCGGTACCAGTGAGGTCTTTCTCTGTCTTGAGTTCCTCGATCCTTTCCTCCAGTTGCTTGCTCTTCTGCGGCAGATCTCTCAGCTTGGCTGTCTCGAGCTGGACAGTCTCGTAGCGCCGACTGAGTTCCCTCCCCTTGCGCTCGAGCTCCTCGATCATGTCCGCCACCTCCAGCTTCAGTGCCTTGAGCTCAGACTTGACGGCTGCGTTCTCCTTCTCGAGCTCCAGATTCTCTTGCATGGTGACGATGAGCGGTGGATCCCCGACAATGGCGCGGATGAATTTCTCCTTTGTGACCTGCTCAACGTAGGAAAAGCGAAGCTTTGCAAAGAGCTCCTTGTAATGTGCCAGGTCGGCTTCCAAACTGGCTGGTGTGGGCGCATCGAAAGAGGCATTGGACGCGTCCGAGGTCCGTTGGCGCGCTTCTTCACTCTGTGTCGCTTCGCTTGAGATGGGCTCGCTCAGCTTGATGATGGAGATGGGTTCGGCGTTCAGCTCTTCAATAGCCTGAAGAGCCTTGGCCGTGTCCGTGAAAATGTCGTCCATGGTTGCAGAGACTTGCAGCTAGCTTAGATTGTGTCGATGGTGACTGAGATGCTCAGAAGACGTTGGTGGCGCGACTGTGGTATCTTCACCGTGTTACAGTGTTTACTTTAGTCCTCTTTCGGTCTAGTGTGACCGGGCGGCCAAGTTCCGCCCCGAGTGGTGGCGCACCGCAAAGCCGATCAAGATTCAACGCCTCCACTGGATCTCAACCCTCCCATCTCTCCTCCATCAAACCACCTGGCTTTGGCCCGACTTGCTTATTGGCACTACAACGCAGAGTGCCATAATCCACCAATCGTCCCGACAACGCGCGCGCGTCTCTCACCACGCCTACCCGCGTCAAGCCCCCTCGCCATGGGCAACGACGACATCCTCACCGACGACTACGTCGCGGACCTTCTCGTCAAAGATGCCAACGATTGCTCCTTGAAATACTCAGCGCTGGGCATGGATGCCTATACGTCGTCATCATCATCAGGGAAGAAGTACAGATACCCACCATTTCTCGTCAGCCCAGGTGGCTGACCGAGCGAGCAGGCCGGCAAACATGCCAAAACCAAATACCAGATTTCTCCGGCACATCATCAAGGGCACCGACACGCACAACAAGAATCTTTTAGCGAAAGAGGCTGCTGAATCAAAAGCAAGGCTGCAGGATCTCGAGCACTCGGAGGAAGTCAAGCGGCTCAAGGCGAACCCCAACACGAGGGATATACGGAAGCGACAAATGGGCGATATTCATGCGATTCTGGGTGGCGGTTCGCGACGGAGGCGGACAGAACGCGAATCGTCAAGATCCAAACAAGACGAGGCTGGGCACTCGGGGCGGCATCACGGACGACGTCGAGAACGAGAAAAAGATGAGGATGATCTATTCGAAAGCCGGAAATCGAGCAGATCGAGGGACAATGGTCGACTAGCCGACAGAGATCCTGATCGCAGGTCATCACATAAATCCTCTCGAAGCCGGCGCGACGGCGACAACGATTCGCAAACCGAAGATGACACCGAGCGACGACGCCGGGACCGGAGAAGGCGGGACAGATCTAGATCGCCAATTTCACGGCGCAAATCGCACTCCCCCGAAGAACGACGCAGGAGGCATCGGCATCGGTCGAGGTCACCTGCACGGCGAGATGAATCGGACCCATTGGAGGACCTCATAGGACCCATGCCAGCACCGAAACCCCGAGGTCGAGGTGCGCTCGCGGGATCATCAGGCATTGACCAACGTTTTTCGGACACCTATGACCCCAAGCTGGACGTGGCGATGGAGGACGATGCGGGGCAAGGTCAATGGGACGACGCGGTGGAGGCTTTCAGAGATCGACAAAAGCTACGACAGAATCAAGAGCAACGACTGAGAGATGCTGGCTTTGCGGACGCCGATATCAGCAAAACGCGGCAGCATACCGGAGCGCAGGAAGAGGGGGAGGAGGACGTGCGGTGGTCCAAGGCTGGCGAGAAGAGGGAGTGGGATATGGGTAAGGAAGACGACGAATCAGACTAGAGGTCGGACTCAAGCTACTGGCCTTGTTTGGACTCTTCCCCTGGCGCCAAATCTTTGGCCTCTGCCGTTCCCCCTGTACCGGTGCTGGAGCATTGCGGGCGTGACCGCGCGGATGTTCTTGGAGCTACATGTCAGATTTGAGCGCCTTGCAACTATTGTATAAGATACCTATGCCGAAGTATACATCAGTTTGGAGGAGTACAGTTGTGATGAAGAGTTGGAATAGTTTATCTCTGGACATACTTCTCCGTTGCGGTATGATCTTTGACAGTGGATGGCTTTATCACTTAGTCAAGTTCGGTTCCAAGCCTGCTTTGCCTATCTTACCAGGTACTTATAAACGCAAAGGTATAGCTAGACGGTATTTCTCTTCGCCAACTCGCTTTCCCGTGTTTTGTACAGCAGGATATCGATTGGTCCTGCATGCAAGCCAATCATTCTGGGGTTCTGGGTCCGCCCCACAGGGGTCATGGTGCAATGCCGATCACCTCATGAGTCTGGACCGGGATATGTATTGAAATTTGTGGATGGGGTTCCTTATGACTTCACACGAAATTATCCACAAGAAATTCATTCCTGTGTGGCACAGCGCCAAAGGATAGAGCGCAGGTGGCTGTTCGAGCGAGAATGTCATTTGAATTGTTGGGCAGCTGGCCAAGATAGTTTGGGTGATGTGATGAAGGCTACAGTACTCTTCATAGCTGCAAGGGCCACCGAGACAAACATCTCGGGACCTGGGTATTCCGTCTTGGGTATGCTCAGAGGATATCATGCATCTTTGATAGATGCCGAGAGCCGTTTACGGTAGGGTTAGTTACTGCAGGGCTCTCCAATGAACTATCTTCTCACACTGTTGTGCAAGCCGAGCTACGCCTCAATTGTGTATCTTATCAAAGCTCAGTGTAAGGGACGGGTCTTGGCAGGGTACGCGATTACGCAGCTCTTCGTCCTGGAGACAAATTACACGATGCAGGGAGCAGATTTTGAAGGAACCTTTCTTCTGGTCCCTGGGCTAGCAAAGTTCCCCTCGTATTGGCCTACCTATTTCGCGTTTGCCGACGACCACTGGGAGACAACATGGCATGGACATGGATGCCAGAATGCCAAGACCTTGTGATGTGTTGCGTGAGGGGTCAAAGTCACACGAGTCGCAATCGCGGTCAGGCTTGGGGTCAGTCGCGCACATGGGATTTCGACGTGATAGAGTAGCGAGGCTGTCAACATTGGTGAAATGCACGGCGTGTAACCTGGTATCTGATGCGGCTGCAAGAGTGAGCATTGAGACTGGAGCGAGATGGACTGGCGGAAGACCGGGACTGGAGGACTGGAGGGTGGGACGGACTGCGACAGTGCACAGAAGGCCCTGGACTTGGGTCTTGGCAGACTGCGCCTGCCGCCTGAACATGATGAACTGGACGTGGCGCGCCATTCCCCAGCCCAGCACAGCCGGGTCCAGCCTGATCGGATTGTTTCCCCTCCACCCAGAGAGAGCATCATCATCCGACCCCGATGCGGCCTTCTTCTCCTCACATTTCTCGGTTCTCCCCTACCTCTTCCCTCCCTGTTTCTTCTTTTCTTCGAAAAATAACGAGTGCTTCTGCGTCTTGAAACTCATATTGCGCTTATCAACTTCGTGAGGTCCTCCGACATTCCGAATCTCGCTGATACATACGTACGTCCACGACTCGAACCTTATTTCTGCCGCCGATACGTCCATGACACTCATCGCCTGGCCACGGCCGCCTGCGTGAGGTGTCAACCCTCATCCGCTCGCTTATTCTTCGTCATACTTCGATTCCGCGTGACTACAGAGAGGAACGCACGGTTTACAGCTTGCACCCGTGACAATAGAGCGGATCCCTACCCACATCCAGCTTGTACACGTCGGAGCCGCGAGCGTCCACCGTCAGTATCTGGTCGCTGGCTGCTGTGACTTTCTCTGCACAGCAGACGACATGCGTCCACCACGGATCGCCGTGCTCGTCTTCCTCCTAGCCTCGTCCTTCTTCCTTATTGGTCGCGCGTTGACCTACAACAAGCCGTACAAACCAAGCCATGCCGCTGCAGGGAACCTCGAGTCCGAGCAAAGGTCGTCGCTATGGGGTTTCATGTACTACAACACACCCTTCTCATTATTTCCGCCAAATGCCGCCATCAGCTTGACCGATGACAATAGTACCTCCTTCGCAGCCCGGCCCGCAGCGTTTGGGCCCAAACTAGCGCCCAGGGGTCTTAGCGGGCAACTCTGGGTTGGCGGCGGGTTCGCGGACGACGAGCTTGAGGCGAATGGAGAGTTCGGCTGCAGCGATCTGCCCACTCGGGGTGCGGCAGGTATCGTGAGGAACGCAAAGACACTGCGCGCTGCGACAGTACCCCGTGTCGCTTCCTCGAGCAGGGTGAAGAGCCGTCAAGAGAAGAGCAACGGTGTATCTATGCTTCTGGATCACGACGACCGCGCTGCGATCGTTCATGCGAGACCCGACCTCGAATCAACGGCTCGCGACGGTAGCCACGATAAATTGCACGAAGGACTCACGGAGGTGCCGTCATCCCACCAAACGTCGGGACATGCCGAGATCGAAAACCTCCCCGAGTCCGCTGACATTGAGGGCAAGATAGTTCTGCTCATGCGAGGCGGCTGCGGCTTCTTGGAGAAGGTCATGTGGGCGCAGCGTCGGGGCGCCGTGGCTGTGATTGTTGGCGACAACACGAAAGGCGGGCCGCTGATTCAGATGTTTGCGCATGGCGAAGAGGTGGACAATGTCACCATTCCGTCCGTCTTCACAGCACGGACGACCGCTCAGCTGCTGTCTTCACTGACTCAGCCAGGCAATTTTGTGGAAGATGTGCTAGACGATAACGGCGATTCTGTCTTCAGAGTCCAGCACAAAGCGGAGTCGGATGACAAGAGCGAGTTTGGCGATGCATTCCAGGACAAAGTAGATGCCATGTCTAGGCGTGTGTCTACTCCTCGGAAGCGTGGTGTCTCGAGCTCGGTACCGGGTTCAGACCAGCTAGTTCAGAGCGGGCTCTCGCGGCTGCTGTTCTGGCGTCAATCTCCGTCGTCATCCCGCCGTGAGGCGACAGGCTGGGAGCTGGTGGGAGATTGGAGCGATGAGAAGGACAGGGTGATCCACGAATCCATGGGCAAAGGGGAGACGAAAGAGCCAACAACGGATGGTGGTTTGGGACCCAAGACCTCCCCGGCACATGCGCGAAGAGGCAGCCTCCCGACGTCGGACAGACATGGCTCAAAGTCCCATGCAGGTCTTTGGGTGACCATCATTCCAACAAACAGCGCAAGCCCCTTCTTCGACACACTTCTCGTTTTGGTCGTCAGTCCCCTGGTGACGCTGACCGTGGTATACGCTCTCCTCATCATTCGAGCCAAGATCCGCCGGAGGAGATGGAGGGCTCCAAAGTCCGTGGTCGAGCAGCTTCCAGTCCGAACGTATCATACAGTAGCTGGTTCCACAGCCCCTGCGACGCGGCAGCCTTCACCCGCGAGCAGCTCGCCCGCAACACCGCTTCTACAGTCTTCTCTACTATCTCGACAGCGGTCTAGGGCGAATACTGTCACTTCGGAGGGCAACGATCCGGCGCAGCCTACGCTAGCCATACCCACCGAACCGCCATCGGAGACCAACCAAGGCCATGAGCGTATGGAAGGAGCTGGTGGCTTTTCAGCGGAATGGAAGAAGTACATGGGCCGACAGGTCGAGTGCGTGGTCTGTCTGGAGGAGTACGTCGACGGCGTGAGTCGGGTGATGAGTTTGCCTTGTGGTCATGAATTCCACGCAGACTGCATGTAAGTGACGACCGCGCAACGCTATGTGGCATTTACTCACATTCTTACAGTACCCCATGGCTTACCACTCGTCGCCGCACTTGCCCAATCTGCAAGGGGGATGTCGTCCGCTCACTAGCCCGCGGATCACCCTCGAACCCGCATTACGAAGCCTACCGAGACGACAGCGAGGATGAGGACATTGCTGAGGCATCTGGTACCCGACCAGTAGACCAAACGCCCGACCTCGAACAGGGCATTCTAACCGAGCCGAGCGACAGCCGACAGGAGGACAACTGGCTGGCCTTCTGGCCCAACAGCTTTGGCTCGAGGACCCGTCCACAGTCACCCCCTCGGCCGGAAGACCACAATCAATCATGAGTTACGACAGCACCTGAATTATCTTCTTTTCTTCGGTTCCCTGCTTTCTTGCATTTCTTGGTACTTGGTCACACTTCGATACAGTATCCGCGTTTTTCTTTTTTTGGCGTACATGGGATGGGGTAGCGTTTCACTCATGGGTACTTGCTTGGTGGCGCAACGGACATGGTGAAGGAGCTTGACATAGGGGAGCACTATACCCACTGGTCCCGGATATACCACTTATACACATATCACTGTCAATGAGAGTTTCAAGATGCCTCGAAACACTGTTCCCTTTCGTGGCCGATCCCAAGAGAACCCCACACGCAGTCTCGGTCCGCCAGTGGCCATGGATTTTCCGCCAAGGGGCACATGTCAACTAGAAGTACCAGTAAGGTCCTTCGTGGATCTCTGTATCCATTGAACAAGGTTTGGTCCGCTCTCGACGTCCTGGGGGAGCTAAGATATGAAATGGGTTTAGGCTTGATAGCCAGGTGGCCAGGTGGCCGGTGGACGCTCCGTGGAAACCTTGTTGACTTATCCAGGGGCTGTCAAGCCGAAAGTCAAAACCTATCACTACAGGCATAAGCGGCACTGTAGAGAGCTTGTATAAAGAGTCTTTGGTATTTTTCTTCCTCGCACCATCATTTCGAATCTGCATCGTCTCTGTCAACGCAACAGTACCGCAAGCTCGCCACGACAGCAACACCTGTCCCGACTTGCGATTCCACAAGCACCATGCCGAATCTACTTACTTGGGTCCAGCGGGACCTGTTCCCCGCCTTGCTGGAAAATGCTTCAGCCGCCACTATCGTCGCAGTCGTCGCGCAAGCCCTTGGCGCGTGCCTTCTTTGTTGTGTGGTCGGTGCTATAGCCGTGGTGGTACTCGCCATGTATGTTGCCACCCCAGTTGTTCATTGTCAAGTTACTGACTCGGTCCCTTTAGTCTTGCAGCCTTGACAGTGAACTGTTGCTGCTGCTGCTTCACGCCTGACGGCGCCGAGAGGGTTACGGAGAGCAAATGGCCTCGCTTCTTTCGCAAACGGCGGGTCTTGACGGCCGAGGAACACCAGGCCGCCCTGGAGGAGAATGACTGGGAAATTGCCTTTGTACCCCCACTGCCGCCGTACCGCGCATTTCCAGTCATCTATGCCCCGGCGGATGCTCCGGTGATGAAGGACGACGAACAGGTTGTGGAGATGCTCGCCTATCCTGTACCAGCACATGGGGGTGTCTAGGAACAGCGCTCGCATAAGGTCTTCACTACGATGGGCGTATGGCTGGATAGACATGTGTGATTTCTTTGTAGACAGCAACATGAAAATTAATTCTCGAAAGACTAAAAATTGGGCTTGTGTGGTTGGGGTTATGAATGTATTCAAATTGTCGCGTGAAGTTTGAACGCAGCTTTCCGAGCGAGAGGAAAGATTGGAAGAGTTGTGGTAACGAAGCTGACCGCTCTGGCCATGATCCGACTGGAGTTATGAGACAAAGGCGGCTCCTGCTTTCGCATAAGTGCAGTGCGTAAGGTACCTTACATAGGGCAGGTGGGTGTCCTGTCGCCCTCATGAGAGGCGGCCGTGAACCTGCGAAGACGGCTTCCAAGATAACTACATCGCAACATCACTTTGTGAGCCGACTGATTGCCATCCAATATCAATTCAAATATCCTTAACATGATGGCCTGCTCCACGTTGATACCATTCTGCTTCCCTGATTATTCCGCCGTACCGGTCAAGCGCGCTGTTGATGCGGTCGAAGACGTCTCGTTCGATACTAGCGACGCAAAGGTTCTCATTAGCTCTGAAGCAGATCAAAGAGTAGCAAAGAGCCCATCGTCAGTGCCGGGTCAACAGTCTGATTCACCAAGCCCGACGGAGATCAATATCCAGGACAGCACACCTACCGCTCACCATGGTATACACCCCAAGAACGGACTCTCTGCACTTCCCAGCAATGCTGCCAGTCACGGCATAGGCTTCGTTGTCGTAGGTTGCATGGTTGCAGGCTTGTCTCTGGTGTTTGCCCTTTCGTTCTACATCCTTCAAACTCTCAACAGGTACTGCATCTGGCTGCAGACGACACTCTACCACATCTTACTGACGAGGGAACAGTTCTGGATCAAAGAAGAACGAAAGGGACAACGATGCAGAGCTCGGCAGTTCGCCACATGAAGTGGGAGTCATTTCTGAGACGGGAACAAACACACAGGATCTCGGCGGTGGAAGGATTAAGAGACAAGTTGGCGCCGGGACCGGATCGCCGAAGCCTTTGGTCGCGCAACCGACGACGCATGAGATTGTGTGTCCTCCCCGATCCCACTTGTCCTGATCACGTTTCTTGATGCGATACGCGCCCTGCTGGAATAGAATGGACAAATGTGCGCATGGGTTTGACAAAGAACCTAATTAAAGGCTTCTTAATGTATTTTAACTTCCATTGCCCTTCAACAGTCTATCCAATTCAACGCTTTTAGAGATACCCCTTGAGCACGGCCGCTTCGGCGTTCAATATCGAAGAGCCAGCCGCGCCAATGACAGCTGTGAAAAGGTTAGCAAGCAGCTTTGCAACCCAAAAAGACGGAAAAACTTACTGTTATGGCTCAAGGCAACAAATTTGATGTCAAAGATACCAGCCTCATCCTCCCTGACGCGCCCGACACTGACGCTATAGCCGTTGCCTAGGTCGCGGTCCAGCCTGGGCTGGGGCCTGTCCGGCTCGTCGAACACTGTGATGGCCGGCTCAGGGGCAGAGGGGCAGCCGAGCGTGACAGCCTCCGGCTTGAAGTCGCGCAGCGCCTGCTTCACCTGCTCCGCGGTGGGCGCTGGCTTGCTCTCGAACGACAGTGATACGCAAGCAGTGTGTCCATCCATGACAGGCACGCGGTTGCACGCCGCGGAGACCCGGAGGGTGGATTGCTCCGTGAAGCCATTCTTGTCGGCGTTCAGATCACCGAGGATCTTCCTTGCTTCGCTCTCCAGCTTGTCCTCCTCGCCCGGGATGAACGGCACGACGTTGTCGATCATGTCCATGCTGCTCACGCCGGGGTAGCCAGCGCCCGAGACGGCCTGCATGGTGACAATGCTGACCTTGTCGATCTTGCCAAACTTGGCCTGCAGGGCGGCAAAGGGCCCAACGAGCCCGATGACGGCGCAGTTCGAGTTGCAGACGAGGAAACCCTTTTGGAGCTTGTGGTGCTCGCGCTGGTGGGGGATGAGGTCGAGGTGGGACAGGTTGACGGTCGGTACGACGAGGGGCACGAGAGGGTCGCGACGGTAGTTCTTTGCGTTGGAGAAGATGGGGATGTTGGCCTTGACAAACTCCATTTCTAGGCACAGTCAGTCCTCTGTTCAATACACGCTGTCTTCCACCCCCCTCAGATGGATCGTACGTACCAATCTCACCAGCGACGTCCGAATCCAGACCACTGAACACAACGTCGCAATCGGCAAACTCGGATGACTTGCACTCGCGGACGATCATGTCGCCAATGGCGCCGATGGGGGAGGCCTGCTTCCATTTCACGGCGTCGCGGTACTTCTTCCCAGCGGAGCGCGAGGAGGCGCCGATGGCGTGGAGCGTGAGGTAGGGGTGCTTCGCGAGGAGGAGAATGAATCGCTGCCCTACGGAGCCGGTGCAGCCAAGGACGCCTTGAATCTGTTAGCTGGTGCTTGTTCAAGAGCTGGACTTGGGAGCTTGATGGACGATTGGGAGCATGGAGGGGGTAGGGGAGCCGTTGGTGGACGTACCGCACTTCTTGGTGGGGAATTCTGAAGCCATTTTCGTCTGATGTGTTGCCCTTGGGTATTATATGGCTCCGTAAAGATTTAAGAAGCTCAAGACAAGCAGAAAGATGGTGCGCAAATAATCCGTGGACGGACGCCGAAAACTGGAGGTTCGAAGTCAAGTCATTTGCCCCGCGATCGGACCTGGAGCTGAGCCCCACGTGGAGGGGCACTGTGGTGGGATGGCAGCTCCAGGAAATGGTCAAGCATAAGGTCACGAGACCAGAGAATATCAATGAGTGTCATCAATTCAAGCAAGTATATCTATGAAATCGTGGGTCGCGTATCCAATGCTCCCGAATAATGCAAATATGCAGCTGTAAACCAAAGTGGGCGCCATTCAATGCTTCTCGACGCCAGCATGGCCCTCATGCGGCCAACCCCCAAACACCAGCTGCTTCCTGGTCCATACTCCGTCTACTCGATCGACGCTCGCCTCTTGCTGTGAGAATACAAACGGAACTGCACAAAGATAATGCAGTCCTCCACAATGGTGCCGAGTGAGCCAAGCAAGAATGGCAGAGCGTTGAGGAGATACTTTGTCTCCTGGGAGTAGGCCACCAAACTGATGCCGTAGGTCAGGTTTCCGGTCAAGGACAGCATGAAGAAGAGCAGCGAAAGACCCTCGCAGGACTTCTCCTTGTAGTTTTTGACGATCTGCGGGACACGCGCACTTTGCATGTTAGCGGGAGGGCGGAGACCTTCGGGGTGCGAGACAAGACTAACCAGAGGTAGAGCACGGCGCTGATGTAGCCCAACGTCAAGCCCGCCATTTCCAGAGGGTTATTCACCTCCTCGGGCGCATCAGGAGTGGGATCGGACGTATCCCACGCACCGGCCTTGTACGAGATGAACCACGCGACAATGCCCACAACGTAGACAGCCACGAGGCAGAGGGTGTTCTGCAGCCATTGCTTGCCGCCGTTCGCGTTATCGGACTCGTCCTCGCCCGGGCCGACCTTGGCGACCGCTTCGGCGGTGGCAACGCCAATCGCGCCACTGGATTCGCGGCGGAGCAGAGGGGACTGCTCGCTGGGCTCCCCGTGCGCAGGGTGTGCTGGCTTGCCCTTGTTGCGGTGGTTGTAGTATGCGCACTGGGCGATGAGGACGGTGTCGGCAATGCAGAAATAGCAGGGTAGGGCGATTGCCGTCGGAGCGAGGTGGGTGAAGAGCGCGCCTGTGAGCAAGTGTCAGTCGGGTGCCAAGCTTCCATTTGAAGTTCTGTCGGTGAGGCCTGCAGGTCTGTCGTCGAAGGGACTGCGCGAGCCTACCCGAAGAAGTGGAAAGACTTACCCAAGAGGTTTGTCATGTCGCCCAGTAGCCAGACGATCAGAAAAGCCATACTGAGGCCATCGGCGCTTTGCGCTTTGAAGTTTGCGAACAGTTGTGGGATCTAGACAGGGTAGGTCAGGCTAGGGCAGTCGAGAGACACAGACGTGGGAAAGGCGACGTACGAGGACACATATCCAGGCAACGAGACTGACGCTCCCAAAGATGCCTGACACTGCCAAAGAGACGGGGGGCGCATGTCGGATTGCGGCCATGGAGGCTAGGACCACGAGCGAGGACATGGTGGCGGTGGTCGGTCGTCGCTATCAGGCGTGGGTTTTCCCTGCGAAACGGGGAACCGAGGATAGCGGAAGGGTCGTCGAGGTTTGCAAAGTCGACATGTACGAGCGACGAAGAGATCGAGAAGGGCAATTGAGCAGGAGGAGTAAGTAGGACGTAGGAGAGGCTGGATGCCAAGTCAACGTTCGCAGTCACAAGGGCAGATTTCTTATCGCGGGCCGTGATTGGGAAATGGTTGGCGCACATTGGCCAGCCGACTCACTGCACTGCAGCTGAGAATGTGGGGGAGTCAGTCATGCGAACGCGGGACGTGATGATCACCCAGCAGATCTGCTCCAGTCGACTGGCTGTGCGCTGTTGTGCACAATGAGTCGTGGAGCGCTGTTTATTTGCATCCCAGAGACGATAAGGCACTCAGCTTTTTTGGAATGCGTGCGTTCTAGTCTGAGGCTCTAAGTCAAAGTCTATTTGTACTCTGACTAGAACTTTTTGTCGATTAAGTTACCACTGACGTCGGTGTGGGTGGCATCCCATAACAGTCATTAGTGGCTCACTGGCTTATCGCTGTGACACCAACTCGGTCTGAGTCGTGTCTTGACATCCGGGAGAGCCTTGACGGGCGAAAATGCACAGTATGCGGAATGACTGACTACTACATTAATAACATTGATGGTCATCGCCTGATAATCCCTGATTATCTCGCTGCACAATTGATCTCGTTTAACGACTTGACCCGCCATGGCGGACTGATAAGAACTGCGCAGCGATATCGGCCCGTCCTCAGTCACTTTCACGTGGGGCCTCTCCAGCGGAAATGGTTGGTCGAGAGGCACCCGCCAACAACCTTGTTCCTCCGCCAACTCCAGCCTCCAGGTCGCATCATCAGGCACGTTCACCGGCCACCTTGAGACCAGCTGACGCGACACGCCCACAGTCACGTCCAGTCACGTAGCCAGCCATGCCTTCTTCCGTCAACGTGCACCACAGGGTGCCGTGAATAAACAACCCGGGACTTGGACCATTCTTCCTTCATCTCCATCATCACAACAGCACCTTCCCTGCTGAAGTTAGACTGCACAGCTTCACTTCGAAATGAAGCTTTCTTACACGCTCACCTTTGGGCTCTTGTCCGTGCCTGGTGCGGTGGCTTGGGGCAGTAAGTATCCTGCCATCACTGATCACAAGTGATGCTAAAGGATGACAGGTCTGGGACACATTACCACGGCCTTTATTGCCAGCCACTTTGTGTCTAACACAACCGAAGCCTACTTCAAGACCCTGCTCCGCAATGACGAGCCCGACTACCTCGCCAGCGTTGCCTCGTGGGCCGACTCGATCCGCTACACGAAATGGGGACGCTTCACAAAGAACTTTCACTTTATCGACGCGCACGACAACCCGCCCTTCTCGTGTGACGTCGACTACGAGCGTGACTGCAAGGAGTCGGGCTGCGTCATCAGCGCGCTGGCCAACTACACGGACCAGTCCCTCGACCCGACGCTGGCGCCGTGGCTGCGAGCTCAAGCGGCCAAGTTCGTCGTACACTTTGTCGGAGACCTCCACCAGCCCTTGCACAACGAAGACGTTGCCCTGGGTGGCAACCGCATCTATGTGAAGTGGGATGGCAGGGACTACAATCTGCACCACGTCTGGGACACGTCCATCGCGGAGAAATGGCTCGGTGCGCACGGAAAGCCGTACCCCATTGCGCTCAAATGGGCCAACGCGCTTGCGGTGGAGATTAGCGACGGCAAGTTCGCGGAGGAGAAGGACGGGTGGTTGAAGGAACTGGACTTTGAGGACGCCGTCGCCACGGCCATGGCTTGGTCGAGGGAGTGCAATGCGTTTGTGTGCACGCATGTCTTCCCCGAAGGTCCGGCCGCCATTGCTGGACAGGAGCTTGGCGGAGCGTACTTTGACGCCGCAGGACCCGTCGTGGAAAGGCAGGTCGCCCGAGCGGGATACCGCATGGCCGCCTGGCTCGACCACATTGCCGATGAGTTCCAGAAGCGTCATCCGGATTACCTGGACGAGCTCTAGGGCGCATTATACGATGCAGTGACATTGCAGGATGGACGCACGGCTCATAGATTCCCGGCTGCCTGCCAACCTTTTGAATACTTGCTTACAGCCTTACATGCCGCCGCAAGGGTCTTTTGTCTTTGTGGAATGCTACCGTGCCGACGGGAAGCGAGGGGGAGTCTCAGGTCCCGTGTATCAGACGTGAAACTCAGACACAGGCGAGACTGACGCCAGACGAGCGAACCTCCATTGTCACAGGAAATGTTGGCCAGGCGCACCCAGCAACAGGGACTTTGCATCATTGATTATACCTCGCCCTGGTCATTAGTAATTTTAGGAGACTCGTGGAAAGTCTTTTACGAAGAACGGATTGTCCCCGAGATCTTTGGCGCTGCCGCCAACATCATCACCACCACTCAGCATCTTGAGCAGGCCACGCAAGGCTCAAATGCTCTACAATCTCTGCCGATCATCTGAGCGCGCGCCAGTGAATCTACCACAGTATCGACCAAAGAGCAGTCGAGGGTGCTTTCGGTGTGGGTGAATGCCGAAACGCGTATTGCGTGGTTGCCGCCTCCACAGCAACCCCTGATTGGGCGGGTAGCCCGACTGGACGCCCAGGGCGCCTGTCAGGGGGTGCGAGTCGCGACACTTCAAGCTCCACGATTTCGAGATCTGCTACGTTAATGTCAACGGTCTCAACCACGGATCGTCTCATGATGCTCCCATGCAGAGGATTTCATGCTTATTGCTAGCCCGGCCTTGGCGGTGCATGGGCTGCACCCGAGCGAGCCATCGACAGGCGTCCCGCGGCCAGCCACCACGAGAATGATCTGCGCCTAGGGGTCTGTAACTACAGACCAGCTTACTTGAGGCTCGCTAAGTTTGACGAATGCCTGCTGGAACATATGCAAAGAGTCGGCCCAGCTGGTCAGCTCCATATGCTAGCAGACAAGCTCTTGCGGCCAAGGCCATCGCACGACCCCGATCCAAGAGATTCCAAATCTCCGGGGTGTTCCTGGGCCGTATGATCAAGCCGTTTATGCTGTCACAATCGCTCAAGTGTCGTCTCATGTCTTCCAGGATGAAGCCCTGACCGTAGACCCGAGACGACTATTTGGCCTGCGCCTCCCTCGGTTTCTTTTTGCTCTTCCACCCTCTCTTCTTCCTCTACAGAGTCTCCTACAGACAGTCCTTGTTCCTCACGCTGGTAGTTTGAGGTTCATTCGCTCCTTTCTTGTCCATCTTTTTTATCGCACGTAGCTGTGCTACCTTTTTGCTTCTTGGGCTGGAACCCTGCTTCTCTCACTTTCTTTATATCCATCATCGTCACGTATAGGCAACCTTCGCCATGCATATCCAGAGTGTTCTCACTGCCGTTGTGGCGCTTTCCGCTGTCTCGGACGCGGCCATCCTCCAGCCACGCAAGTCACCCTTCTCAAGGGCGTTGAAGAAGCGCCAGTTCGGAGGCAATCGCTTTGGAGGAGGCTTCAACGGCGGTGGCTTTGGCGGCAACAACGGCGGCTTTGGCGGCAACAGCGGCGGCTTTGGCGGCAACAACGGCGGCTTTGGCGGCAACAACGGGGGCTTTGGTGGGAACAACGGCAACAATGACCAGAACAACAACAACGGCGACAATGGCCAGAACAACAATGGCGACAACGGCCAGAACAACAATGGTGATAATGGCCAGAACAACGGCGGCAACGGCCAGAACAACAACGGTGGTGGAGGAGCCCAGCTGGACCCCAATGTCATCCAGAGTGCTTCAGCAAGCGACGGTGGTGCTGATCAAGCATCGGGACAGTCTCCCTCCCAGACGTAAGTTTTGAGATGTACGATTTGGCAAGGATGGGGCTTATTCAACGACTGCAGGGATGACAACAACTTCATCAACTTCTGCCAAGGATCGACTTTGACCAACGGCGAGCAGAACGAAGGAGGTTCCTGCAATGGTATCCGTACGTGTGCACCTGTTCTACTTATTTGTCAGACAAGACTCAGTGCTGACCAGCTTAGCCATGGGCAAGATTCCCGCCGTCAATCGCATGGTCTCTGCCATCTTCACCCAGCCCCAGAACGGTGACACCATTGCCCCCGACACCGACTTCACCATCTCGGTGCAGATGCTCAACTTTGCCCCCGGCACCTTCACAAACCCTGACAACACGTACTACTCTGCCCCCCAAGACCTTGATGGCAACGGCAACATCATTGGTCACACCCACGTTACTGTCCAAGATCTCGGGGGCGATGCTAACCCAACGAACCCCCTCGACCCCACCCAGTTTGCATTCTTCAAGGGCATCAATGATCAGGGCAACGGTCAGGGCCTGCTGTCTGCGGACGTAGCGGGTGGTCTCCCAGAGGGCAACTACCGTGTCTGCTCCCTTGTGGCGGCCGCCAACCACCAGCCTGTGATCATGCCGGTCGCGCAGCGTGGCGCGCAGGATGACTGCGTCCGATTCACCGTATCCAACAACGGCGGTGGTGGCGGCAATGGCAACAACGGTGGCAATGGCGGCAACAATCAGGGACAAGACCAGAACCAGGGCGGTGGTGGCTTTGACTTTGGTAATGGCAACGGCAATGACCAGAACCAGAACCAGGATCAGAACCAGGGCGGTGATCAGAACCAGAACCAGGATCAGAACCAGGGCGGTGATCAGAACCAGAACCAAGATCAGAACCAGAACCAGGATCAGAACCAGGGCGGTGGCTTCGACTTTGGCAACGGCAATGACCAGAACCAGAACCAGGATCAGAACCAGGGTGGTGATCAGAACCAGAACCAAGATCAAAACCAGAACCAGGACCAGAACCAGGGCGGTGGTTTTGATTTCGGCAATGGCAACAACCAGAACCAAGACAACCAATTCGGCGGTGGCCAGGGCGGTGACCAAAACCAGGGCGGTGGCTTCAACTTTGGCAACGGCAACGATCAAAACCAGGGCAACCAAAACGGCTTCGGCGGAGGCAACAACTTCTTCAACGCCGACATTGGGCAAGGTAAATCAGCCACCGCCACGCCCACTCCCGTCCCTGGCGTTCGACGCTTCTACGTATAGTCGCGCGCATATTAACAAGACCAACAGGGTCCGGTCAGGAATAGGGTTTCTTTGGTAACACGGTTTGGAGTCCACCTGGGTTTTTGAGGGTGGCGGGCTAGTCGGGGCTCACAAAGTGAGAAGCAGTCAGGGTATCTGTACGGATACTACGCAGCCAGCAAGTAGATCTTTTGACTTGCGCAGTATTCCTTCGGGCATCAATGGACCAGACCTATAGATGGGTCTACGTAATTTTTCGTCCGCGCTCAATGACAGACATTTATACTTCAAGCATCTTGCATTCAAAACTCGACCCGATGTCCCACCAAGGAACCATGTCTACTATACCTATAGGAGCTTCTATTGACATGTAAGGGGAAGCCAGGTCAAGTGCAACGAAACTCAAGTAAGCTATCCTAGCGGGTAAGCTTAAATCAGAAATCAGGGGTTAAGGTCGAGAGAACCTGGAGCTACTCAAACTCTGAATATCTCAATGAAGTGCACAAAAGTCTATCCAAAAATCGGCAGCTGTCCATTTGATATTTAATCTTCCTTTGCTCTCATACCTTTTGCTCATCTCCGTACGCACTGAAATATTTCCAGCTCCATCGACCTCAGCCCAACATGAAATTCGCCTATCTACTCGCGTTTGCCGCGCCCTTTGCTTACACCGCACCAGCTCCTCCAGCCATCGTGACACATTCACACGCCGAGCATATGGAGATCCAAATCTGGGAATCGACCTGGAAGTGCCATTGGAAGAACACGGACTGGTGGGAACTCGTCGACTTCCGCCACGACCATCAAGGTGGCTTCCTGATGAACGAACGAAGAATCCTGCCCGAGAAGTTTATGAACCCTCACTTCATATTTGGCGCGCCAAATGCCATGGGACGCTACCCTGAAGCGCCAGCCAGCAGTCTGTCTTTCAACTTTGGCTCCACACTAGAGTATGGAGAACGTCTTGTGGACGACAAGGGGGAACTCGGTCCTCCAGAGACGATGAAATTCAAGGTTGTGGACAAGACGAGACAACCCCCCTTTGACGGCACGCGGACACAGACTTGGATCCTGGACTTGACCCGCACAACCACTCCCTCGAGTGGCAAGCTGCCCCAGTACGAACTCACGGGCATGAGGCTGAAAGAGCTCGGTGGCAGACACGAGTGCAAGCCACACATGACAGATCCAAACGTGGGAATGAAATCTATGAGCCACCGGCAGAAAGAGCGGATGAAGGATAAGGGGATTGTATATGATCCCCCGCTTGGTGCTGCCTTTACAAGACACGATCCCCGGGGAGGGAACGTTTCGTCTTCTCGCGAGTCAGCTGTACAATAGACCACTCCTATCAGACGGCGAAGTACTGGAATATCGAGAAGGTTGAGCACTACAGAGGCAGGGCGGGATGATGCAAGTCACTAGGCACTATTATAGCATTACTTTAGGTAACAATCATCATATTTAGATTTGCACTTGCCCAAGTATATCAAGATCGCGCTGTGGAGGTATCGATTGCCTACGGGCGAGATATGTAGCTGTAGAAGTCGAGTTGCCGATGCCCCGATGAGACGGAATCAATAGTCTGCAGAGCCAGCCGCCCGTCTAGTCCGTATTCCTTTGCAGTCATCCTAGCACCTAAGTCTTTCAACAATCAACCAAACACCCTCAAGTCGTTCGACCAGCTCTGGACGTCTGTTCCTCCCAGCGAAGTGCAGACACCCGGGTTCGTCTCCACCAGCACGACCGTGCCTGTGCAGTCAGGCCCAGTCCACCCAGCGAGGTAGTACTTGGCAGCCTCGCCGACCACCACGAGGGCGGAGCCGCTGCCAGGTACGGAAATGTTGACGCATCCGCCACGAGAGCCGACGTAGGCAGAGGTGCTGCCCGTCGTGCAGTCGTCGGACTCGCGGAAGAGGCGTGCGTAGAAGTTGAGGGGCCCATCGGGCACCTGGGGAGCAGCAGAGACTGCTGCCACAAGGGCAAGAGTAGGGAGTGTGAAGCGCATATTGGTGGTGTGTTGCGTGTTGATGTTGAAATATGCGAGTACGTAGACTAGGTGAAGGGCCTGGTCTCGGGGCACATTTATACAAAATCCAGCTGCAACGTTAAGCAGAACCCCTGGTCGATAATTCGCTATCTGTATAGGTATTTTGGGCAACTTTTACGAATCCTACGTCTCATCGACAAGCTAGGAAGCGAGCAAAGTCCGAGCAAGCATGGTAAACGAACACCCTTTTCGAGAGCCGCGCGCTTGTCGGGCCTAAACCGACACACGGATATGACGGCGATCAGATTTCATAAATCGTACCTTAGCCAAGGACGTCCTGTTCGTCTCCAAGAGGTGGTATGGGCTTCCCAAAAGAGCATGTGCGGACGACTGGAAGGATTCACTCAGAGGATCATGTACCTAGGCTCGTGGTCTGGACACTGGAGTCAAGGACAGTGGGATTCATGCGGTCCGATCCACGCGGATTTGTTCCCTGTGACTTCCCCCAAAGTGCAGTACATAAATAATCACACGGTGGTGCAATTAAACCGCCAATGTTCAAGGCAGACTGTGCTGGTTGAAACTTGTCAGTGTGTCACACAAGTGTCGAGAATCTCTGGATCGATGTGACCCAAAATTGCCATGCAAGTGTGTGTGTGTTAACGACGTTGACTCCGGGCTCCGCGGCACATGACCGAAGTGCTAGCTCAACCTCAAAAGAAAAGTAAAAGGGGAATAATATTAATAGATAGCTCGAGTATGATTCACAAAGGCTCGAAGAGTAGGAATGTGGACTTGTGGTTGAGCCTGGAGGGTCGCTGTCTGGACCACAGGGTAGGCCAGGAACGTTGACCACGGACAATAGGCCGACTTCGGTTCGGGAACGCTCGCCCATCGCTCCGTCAGCCCAGACAAGAAATTGGGCACTCCAGTCATCAGGCATCATCCGCCGGACGTCAGCTCCAAGCGCACGAACCCAAGAATGGAACGATTACGATGAGTTGGCGGCCCCCCCCCCAAATGCGGGGTCTACACCTCGCTGTCAAGATCCCCCGAGGTAATTAGCCAGGGTCTTCGTTTCTGGAACAATTAGCCGCGTGATCAACTCTCTCTCCGGGTCTTCTGCTCCTCAACCCTCCCCCTCATCTCCAACAGCCTCACTTTTTATCGCACAAGCTCCTCAGAGGTGAATGCAGTAGGAATGCTTTGATTATATCTCAAGGACTCTCGAATTCAACAGACGCCATCCTTTCCCGTCGGCCAGTGCGTACCGAGCAGCCTAAAACCCCACCTTACAAGTACAAAGCTTTGAAAAAAAAATAACACATCCCTTTTTCCTGTTCCGTTCCTGTCCAGCCGAAAAAGAAGAAAAATAAGAAAGAAGCAGAAATTCATTAGTGGTATCATGTGGCAGCCATCCTCCCCCACGACCGAAGCGGCACCCCAGTCGCCGCCGGCCTCTCGACAGGGCAGCATCGCCATCCCAGCCGGTGACGATCGGAGACTCAGGAACCCCGGCCGTCGCTTTGGCCAGATTGTGCGTCTCAAGCCCGAGTACGTCCAGGAGTACAAGGCGTGCCATGCGCAGGTGTGGCCTGAAGTCCTGAAGCAAATCAGAGACTGTAACATTCAAGACTGTACGTCGTCTTTTGCTGTTGTTTTCCCCCTCGCGCCATGCTTTCTTAAAATCCATAAAAAACCCATTCGGGTTGCTCAAATGCCATCGTCTTCTAACCCGCGATAACAGACAGTATCTGGTGGGACGACAAGTCAGGTATCCTCTTTGCGACCTTCAAGTACGTCGGATACGACTATGCAGGTGATATGGAGCGCATGGCAGGCAACCCCAAAGTCCGAGAGTGGTGGAGAATGACGGATGGATACCAGGAGAGCTTCGTCGAGGGCGCGGTCAGTTCTGAGGCTGGTGAGCCGGCATGGTGGAAGCCAGTGGAGGAGGTCTTCTACCAGCCGTAAGAGGTGACCCGAAGCAAGGCAATATGTCTGGTGTACAAGAGCGAATCCGGACTCGTCGTTGTAGCATTGGTGGCAGTGAACTCCTTTCATAGAGCTGACCCGCCAAATGCAACCACCATCCTTATGATGTAGACACTCCAGTGCGGACGATGCGGTTGTTCCCAGCCGCCACGCCCAGTTTGGGTCGGTTCGAGGTTCCAGATGCGCCAAGAGGGGTCCCGGGGGTGCTACCCTTGCCAGACTTCCCTCCTTTGCCCTTGGCCTTGGCAGCGTCGTCGTTGAGAACAGACGAGTCCCAGATGCTGCGTGGCACCGGCCCCTTTGCCAAGTCGGTCAATCTCGAGAGTGTCGATAGCGTACCCCGTGATAGCCCGTCGCCAATCTCCTTGTCGCGAACCTGAAGATTGTGCCAGTCCACATCGGGGGTGTTGCACATCATGACGAAGTCCGATGGCAGGTTCTCGTCTTGCCGTTTCGCAGCCTCGAACGACCCTGCAACGCCCAGCCGTTTGAGATGGCCCTTGTATGACTTGCGCAGAGGATTCTTCAGTTTCTTGTTGGAGGTGGCGTTCTTGTCCACCGGGGCCTTTTCATCGGCTGTCGTGGCGGTCTTGTCTCCCTCGTCATCGACCTTCTCCACCACCTTCTCGCGGGCGAGCTCCGCAGCGATGCCGGTCAGGTTGTACAGTTCGTACAGGTCTTGAGTCAATCGCGGCAAGGACACGGGATGCGCTGTATTGAAAGTCTCATGTTAACAAACAATGTTCACTTGACGACGGTAAGACAAGGCCATCGCCCCATCGACTGGCAAGGTTTCCTGCAGGGCAAGAAGGACAGCACAGTGGAGGGACCCTTACGATTCTGGCAAAGCAGGTACTTGGCACCCACGTCGAGATGCAAATCATCGATACCGCGCCTGGCATCATCGCCGGCCAAGTGAAGCTTTTTCTGGACCCCCCGGTCGCCATCGTCTTCGAGAGCGCGTTTGCGCTTTTGCGATTCATCGGCCATGGAAACGTCGGGCTCGGGTTGACTGGCGCCGTTGACACTGTGAGCCGGGGTCGGAAGTGTTTGCGCGGTCGACATGGAGCTGACATTCGAGAAGGAATGCACAGCGTCCGACGATGTGGTGGCGGGTGACTTTTGCGAGGGGCTCTGGGGAGTCTGGGGGTGGAAAGAAGACATTGTGATTGTCTGATTATCAGTCGTCTTTGTGCGGTGCGTCGCAAAAGACAGATAGTCAGAGTCAACTGTTCAGAGGAAACAAAGACAACGAAGTTGCCCGGGCCGCTGGCCTTGAAGGCGCTTGGACGCTCTCCCTTAGACGCTCGTCATGCACGGATTGATCGTCGGGTTCCCTTGGACTGGCGGCGAGTAGGAAAGTCGGGGATTGCGTCGATAATCGACCGGCTGAGAAGTGGCTGTCGTTGGTCGTAAATCGTCGAGAAATTTAGGTCGTCGGTTTGTAGAAGCCGCTGTTTGTAGGTTCGCAGGTCGCAGCGCTCGGTACAGTGAGGGTAGGTTGTGGATGTGGTGATGATGAGTGAAGATGATGATGTTCCAGACCAGGCAGGCAAGACATAAGGTAAGGAAGCGGAGGGAAGGAGTTGGTGCCTGAAAATCAAGGTTCTCCGGGGTGGGCGGGTCGTTTGGAGAAACTTTAGTGTAGCGCAAGGCAAAGCGACTGCAGGCGCTGGAGGGCGCTGAAGGGCGCTGTATTTTGGGCATCACAGGCGACAGCCAGGCGCGTTGGCCCGTGTTTTCCGCTAGCGGTGACTGGACCCTTGGTGTACGTAGTGCTTTACCTTAATTATTTGCAACGTTTATTCTACACGAATGCTAAATATTACTTTTTCTCATCGAAAATTTTAACAAGGGACTTTAAGCGCAATGAAGGAACTGTGCATTTCCTCTGGGAATTAATGATCATGGCCTTACACGGCCATGGTACAAACTTCGAACCAATGAGCAGCATCCATCGTCCCCAGTTCGCGCTTAGTCACATGACGTGCAGCGATGCAGTTTTACCACACACTTCAGGCCCGAATTTTACATTTCTCTCCTCTTCTTTTTCTTCTTCAACATTTGACCAAGACCGATTCGCGCCGTGTAACATACAACGTCAGCTGGCATGTACTCCCCACTCGGGAGAGTACACTCGTCAGTGCCGACTGGCGAAGCTCGGTTGCGTGCGTCGAGAAGAAAACAACCTTGCCTAAAACCATCATCACGAGGGCCCCTCGTGCGGCTGCCATGATGCGATGATGACCTGATGCAAGTGACATGCCTCCCAATACATCATCCCAGAGTGACAATGTGGAAAGCAAACACCTGAATCAGGGTGGACGGCACCTTGTGTTGCGTTGCGTTGCGTAGCAGGTGAGTCAAATGTCAAATCCCAGCCTGCACTCTTTCACTTCCGCGGCTCGTGATGATACCCTACATCTGGTAAACCTATCCTTCCTTGGTCGCAGTTGGCAGCGGCTTCCGAGTTAGACTGCCAACCACTTGGTTGCAGGAGGAGAATCGGCATGTCTGATATGAGCCCACCGCACCAACGCTGCTATCTACTGTGGCCAGACACTGGCTGATGTCGATAAGCAGGTGATACACCAGTAGCCACTGGCCCGGAAAGAATTTATTAGCACGAGCGACCTGGGCACATTGATGCCGATACGTGGGAACAGGCCACGTAGGGATCTGACGAAACCATATGCATTGCTCGCGTTGATGAATCCATGTGCGCCTTTGTAAACCAGTTCAAACCGCACCGCCCTTTGCGGTGAAAATCAAATTAAATGTACAAGAAGTATTGGAAATAACCAGGCTAGCCTCTGGCCTGTCAGAAAAGAAAAGAAGATTCCCATGTTGGCAATGCGAGACCTGCCATGTGATGAATGTCCAGCACCAACGTAGGCGCCAGTTGCAACCCCCCAAGGACACGCTGACAAGTACCTGCAATATGGGAAGCCTTTTGGGCGTTTTGAAGATGGCGGGCCGGCCACGCTCACTTCAAGTCGGTTACGGCCGACTTGTGTATTCAGAAGATCTATTCTCGCCAGGAAACACGTTGGGTCGACCTGCGTGTGTCTGGTGACTCAGGGGGTGGCGTGGGTCCTGGTGCGGCTCTGCGTTGCCTGGCTTGCTGTGAGGCGCAAGTAAATACTCAGTCGCTCTGGAGCTCGAAGCAGTCCCGGCGCGTGGGGGAGGCCCGGCGAGATGGCTTTTGGCATCATTCGCGCGAGAATATGTAGAGCTCAGTGGCGCGGTGAGTGGCGCCGGTGGATAGCTTGTGGTATATATATTTGGATTCGTATATTGCGTCGAGGGGTCTGATAACGAGACACTGAGACGATCCGAGGCCCTCGACTGGGAGCCCTGTGGCCGATATTGGTCCTCGAGGTCGAGATTCAGGGGGAACGTCGCAGAGGTGGCCCGTAGTCGAGGTCGATCCGAAGATACCATGTCTTTAGGCGCGTATGCCATGTTGTTGTTCATCGCAAACGCTCGGGCTTGAACTGTCAGCTTGCTGGGTCTCTGGCACGAATCTGTGTACCCGCAGACTTACCGGAGTAGTTGTCGTTCGCATAGTGTTCAGAGCTTTGAGCATCGCCGCCCACTGAATACTGGGCATGTTGGCGTTCTGACGTGCTTCCTTCATGCGCCCCGACCTTCCATTCGGGATACTGCAAGGGATTGTCCTGCCATGCCAAATTCGACCTCGAGGGTGATTGCAAAGAGTCAACTCGAGACCGCGACGATAAGTCTTGCAGATTCAGCGGATGTAAGCTTCTGCTGCCGTACTGCCCTAGCTGGTACGTGCTATGGAGGGCCCCAGCGGACAAAGGGCCGGTACTGTGGCTTGCAGACCCGAACCTGGGAGGATACTGGATGCTATGGGCTTGTCCTCTTTCCGCCGACGATGAAGACAGAGGCGATACCAAGTCATCGTTGGTGCTGCTGGAAGCGCGGAACCCGGTTGTATCAAAGGCGGGCGTGAGTCCTGTAGGCGAGGTGTTCGTATCTGCCTGGGGTCTCTGGACATCCACCATCAGAGGTCTGTTTAAATGGCTGCCTGTCTGCTGGCCGCTCATGCTGGTCGGAGTCAGATTTGGTGCAAGGCCTGGGACAGCACCGTACGGAGAGTGGAGTGCCTGTGCACTGTTGAAGCCCTCGGGGACAGCTCTCATCTTGATGACTCTGTCCCTGTCCTCAGCACTGAGTCGCTTTATTTTCGCACGTCTGGTTGGTGTGAACGACTGGTCTGCGCGAGGCAGTACATGAAGATGCCCGACTTACCTGTTCTGGAACCAAACTTGCACTTGACGGGGGCTAAGGCCCGGTATCTCCCTGGAGAGCCTCTCTCTGTGCGCAGCATCTGGGTGAGGTTGCTTGATAAACTCATTCATCAAGAACCTTGTTTGTTGATGTGTAAGCCTGCCATAGTCAGGTTGGTCATGTTCAAGCCACATTGACTGCACTTCTTACCGGAAACGCTTCATCTTCCTCCTAGCGGCGCTTCTTTCAGCAGCTGTCATGGGGCGGTCGAGCGGTTCGGCACAGCCGTCTTCGTCGTCCTCCATGCCCTCGTCTTCGTCCTCGGCCTTGAAATCCACGAAGGAATCCTCGTGTCGAATAGATCCATGGCCCGGAGACGTACTGTTGATACCGTCACCATGTACAAAGTCTGTATTTCCATGCTGTTGTACAATGTCCCGGTCTACACTGTACTCCTGAGGCATATTCTGACGCAACGTGTGCGCTGAGGTTGCTTCATTCAGTGATTGAGGGACCTGTGCCTCCGAGAACCGGTTTGCATGCATCGATGATTCCACTTCGTCGTCCTTGCACGTTGAGACCGGGCTTTGCGCTCTACTGTCGTAGTTCTGATCTGGCTCCGGTTTGGTCAGGGCCCCCGTGGTAGAAGATCCATGTTGCAATGAATATGGTGAGGTGCCCACCCAATCTGTGTGCGTCGACGGAGAGACGTTGAATGGATTCGACATGCGTGGGTGGCCTGGTGCAGCACAAGATTCAATGAAGCTGTGGAACCCGCTGCCAGAGGGTTGGACGTCTCGAACCCGGCTCGTGAGCATCGAACTTGGCAATAGCTCGGCGCTAGTTCCTTGAATCTTGGTAACGCGGGAACGACATAGATCGATATGTTTGACTTGTACAGTTGACAGAGTTCTCGATTGGTAGTTCCCAGTCCCAGGACTGATCAGTCTCGGATTGTTCCAGACGAGACACGTCGAGATTGCCGTCGTGTAAGACTATGCTGTCGATCGTATATGTCGACAGGGCAAAAGAAAGCGCAAAGACGGGCCTTTCTCCCGAAAATTATATCTTTTCGGAGCTGGCCAGATGGCTGCTGAGCTCTCAACGAATTTTGCCACAGGAACTGTCGAAATTAGACAAGTCCACAATGTGCTTCCACTCCAGAGGCTCCCAAGAAGAGGAAGAGGGAGAAGAAAAAGAGAGAAAGAAATTCGTGGACGCGTAGTTGCTCGTGCAAAGAAACGATGGTCGACCAAAGAATGCGCGGATGATGTTGCAAGCAACAGTAACGATCAAGCTTGATGCTGAAAGAATATCGATCCAAGTCAAGTTGTGGCGGCGACTGCGAGAAGAAAACAGATGCTGGGCAACTTTGGCACAGTTCTGTTCGAAAAGATCAGTTGACGTCGAGGCGCCGGGGCCAAGCAGGCAATCGGTACTTGAACAATGATCCAAACTGGTGAAGAGGCCCACTCGGGTTGGCCGTTTCGAGGTGCCAGAAGTTTGAAGGATAGGATAATAGGTACGTACATACGTGTCGGACAGGACAGAGACAGGGATCACGGATCTTGAACCTTGGAAAGTTCCGTCCTCTATTGAGCCACCCACAAGCGGGTCGGCCCAGGTTCAAGCATATCTCAACGGACAAGTAAGAGGTCGAGGGTCTCAATGCAAGCCTTCCCCAAACACCGGCGGGAGCGGCTAAGCTAACGCTTCAGCTGTCACCCTGAAGCGTGGGTTGGGTTACCCTCTTGTGGAAGAGACTGTCAAGATGCTGACCCACGTCCTGATCAAGCTGGCAGGCTTTGGGCTGAGTTCTGTCGATGCCCTCGTGGTTTGCTTGGCCGAGACTTAGATAGCGGCTAGGGACATGGACGCAAGCGCCAGGTTTGTGTTTCTGCAGCCACAACCGCCGCCGAGCCACTGGCAGCAACGGGCGTATGAGCAGGACCAAGGATGGTGATGCAGCAGCCCGTAATCTCCTAGGGGTGGTGTGTAAGGTGTCGACATGACATGGAGCCTGTAGGCTGTAGGCACCACCAGGCCTCAGACGACGGGTGCTCGTACGATGTACATACATATTGGCGTAGGGGCCCCAGCGAGCCTCGCGGCACTACGGGCGTTCGTCCAAGATCCCGGGGGGATGAGCACACGCACCAGTGCTGACGTCTTGACACACCGCCTGACAACAAGGTCAAGTTTCTCTGCAGTGTCCAGCACGATGTTCTCGAATCTCAAGCTGTCAGTGAGTGTTGCGGAGATGGAGGTTCTTCCTATTCGGGCGCTGAAACGTTCCGAGCGGTGGATTTCCCGCCGTTTCTGGCGCCTTTTGCAAATGCAAGACGTTGATGTGCAGCCGCCGGATGGTTATCGCTTGCAAGTACGTACTGTACATACTCCCTAGCTCAGCTGCACATGTATGGCAGGGATGAGCTGCCCCCGATCGGATGTCAAAGTCATTATTATCGTGACAGCGTACCCTGTCGCCGCTCAGATCTCACGGACGTGCGATGTACTGATTCAACACTGCTCACTTGCAGCTGCGCACGCTGCGCATTCGTGGTCTTGGGCTGCCCCCGCCAGCATAGAGTAACATCATGCCTTCGGTACTTGGTGAGACGAGGACCTAAACTCCTTTGAGTACTACTCCTCAATGGCTTCCACGCTCACTTGCTGCATGTGTCGATTTGGTACCTACTAGCAGCAGTCGAAGAACTTATGGGTCGTTTTATGAAGGGGTCCTAGGGTGGACGGTTTGTTGTTTGAAGGGCGGGGTCTTGGTCAGGACATGGGTTCGTTGGGTGTTTGCTTCCAGGGGGAGAAGGGGCGCCCAGCCGGTGCCAGGTAGGGTAGGTGCGGTGCAGCGGGGCAGTACGTATTCTCGTGGGATAGGCAGGCACGACAAAGGCTAGGCGTGTTCCAGTTTCTTGCGTTTTGAGTGAACACTGAACAGTGAAGTTGATGTGGGCAGGAAGCCTGGGCCCTGAACGTTCCTGAGTATTAGGTCCTGACCACCTGTGGATCCTGCCGCTCTGGTCCGTTAGACTACGTCCAATCTGGCTAGCCTACAAATTAAGCAACAAGGACAGCCCAGGTTTTATCAGTGGAGGATCAGTTGGTTTAGATCTGAAGCCAAATTCGCGACAATTGCCCTAATCATAATACTCGTATTCATATACGATCATAATGCCTCGGCCTTACTACAATAACACAGCGATAGCCGCGGACCATCTGGAGGAGTCGGCTCTGATGCGAGGACGATTGATCGCTCACGGTCTTTCGGTACTGAATGCCGACGAAAAGCTGTCAAATTCACTCATTGCAAGGGAAGATGGTTGGGTCATGTTGCATACTTACTTGGTACTGTGACATAGGCACTCCGCATGAGGGCTAGTACACTGTACTAAGGTACATCATATAGGTACGTAGTCGTATCTGTGGATCATTCAACGGAGATTTTCGATGATTACATAGTAACAGGACGGACACGATAATAGGTGCGGTAGTCTGCGCATGGAGTCCATTCTCGACACATTTCTCGAACACGTCTGCCAAGGCGAGATCGCCCCGCGACAACGCGACACGGCCGCCAACCGCCGACAAGTGACAACGGGCTAGATCCGGAATCTAGGGAAGAAGCCCGAAAGAGCCGCCAAGCTGATACGCGCTACACTCGCAAGCCTTGTGCACAACGCGTAAGGCCGGCCCTGGCGCGACGCCTCGGACCTCGTGCATGGTGCGTGCTGCTGTTGCACAGGACAGCAGAGCACCAGAAGGGGCCATCTGGGCTGTCGATCGTCGGAGAGAAAACTGCAAACTCGCAAGTGTCCAGCGACTCGAGCCGCCGCCTCGACGCAGACGGAGCGCTGCTTCAGGTACGGTGGGCTTGCGGCCCGGTCACCACATGCTCTGGCCTGTCCTGCAATAGCCAAAGGGTTTCATCGTGCGGTGAGATGCACAAGTGAGCAACCAAGGTCTAATTTCGAGGGGGGAGGTTTGTAACTTTGTACGGAGTACGGAGGAGTCTCGAGGGGAATTCCCTCATTAGGCGTGGAGCTTGGAAGCCCTTTGAAAGCATTTGATTTCTTGATTAATGGTTATCACGGATGATTTCGACTGGAAGATCGCCAAATCATGGATCCCCAACCCCTGGAAAAAACTACATACGTACAAAATGCCCCCCCAGTCCCAGGAGCAGTTCAGCCGCCGACACGTATACGTAACTATGTATCGTACCCAGCGCCTGGCTCGGCCAGGTACCCTGACCATTTGCTGATCATCGCGATCTTGTCAACCCATCCAGATTCCAGGTACGCATTGCACAGGGTGCCCCTGGAGCGTGTGAAGTTTTAATAAGCATGATCTGATGATTATGAATGTGTCAAAATCCTCCCTTCGTCAAATCGTGCCGGAACTTGGCGCAGAGCTCGAACCATGCTGCCACGCTACGGTTCCGCGCAGACGCCTCAGCCATGTTGCCTTCCTGGCGTCAGGCTCTGTACTCTGACAGCTTGACTTAGGCTCGTTGAACGTCGACATCCAGATTACTTGCGATACCTGGAACGGAGAGCCACAGGATGACCATGAGGTCTGTCGTAACACATCGCCCTATAGGGGTCGCCGTCGTGAGCAACACGACCAAGGGCGCTTTGCCCTCGGGTCCTTGAAAGACACATGACATGATGACAGCCATGTTTTCGGGTACTGCCCCTGTCATCTGCATTGGCGTCACGTCCGAGATCTGATTTGAGGATTTACTTTTCTGTGGTAAGGATAGGTCATCAAACCTTATACCCTGACCCCTGCTTGAGGTTTCAGATCATCGTCCTGGGGGCTCCAGCGGGGCTTTGGGGCTTGAAAGACCGGAAGAGCTTGCGAAAAGGATTGATATAATTCCGTCCGAGTAAAATGACATCTCGTCTCGTCTCGTTGTATCAGTACTCTACTTGGTACGTGGCACATCGTGCCCAGAATCACATGCTATGTGGGTTGGTACTCGCAATTAAACGAACGGTGAGCAATACAGACTGCCCACTCATGATGGGCTAGACACAGATCAGCTTTGAGATTGACTTCTGTTCACTAATTACGTTGGAGGGATCAGTATTCGTAGAAGCCCTTGCCGCTCTTCTTGCCCAACCATCCAGCATCAACCATCTTGCCCAGCAGAACGCTTGGCCGATACTTGGAGTCACCTGTCTCCCCGTGCAGCACTTTCATGATGGAGAGGCAAGTGTCCAGACCGATAAAGTCGGCGAGCTGAAGAGGGCCCATGGGGACGTTGGTGCCGTTCTTCATGATGGCGTCGATCGAGTCACGGTCACCGACGCCCGTCTCGAGGCAGATGACAGCCTCGTTGATGTACGGCATCAGGATGCGGTTCGCCAGGAATCCGGGGGCATCAGCTGAGACACTGGTGATCTTGCCCATCTTCTTGCAGAATTCCACGGCAGTCTCGAGCGTCTCCTTGCTCGTTTGCAGACCGCTGATGATCTCCACGCCCTTCTGCACCGGCACCGGGTTCATAAAGTGCGTCGAGACAACGCGCGAGGAAGCTGACGTGTCGGTGGGGTCGTCGGTCGTCGCAGCTGCAATCTTCGTGATGGAGATGGAGGACGTGTTCGTAGCAAGAATAGCATGCTTCGGGCAGATCTGCGCCAGCCGGCGGAAGATGTCGAACTTGAGCGGGGGAAGCTCCGGCACCGCTTCAATGACAAAGTCGACCGAGCTCAGGTCGTCCATCTCTGTGCTGGCCGCCAACAGGGAGCGTGCCTTGTCAGCCTGCTCCTGCGTGAGCTTTTGCTTGGTAACATCCTTGTCGAGGAGCTTCTCTGCGTGTCATGGGTTAGCCGATTGTTCGAACTGGGCGTTGGCGTGGGGGGATGCGCATACTGGCAAAGGCAAGGGCCTTTTGGATAGACGCCTCCGAGTTGTCAATCAGATGCACTGGAACCTGTGCGGCGCGCGCAGCGACGAGAGCTATACCCAGACCCTTAGTTTGCTGTCAGCTACGGCCACAATCACATGCTTCGCGGGGGAGCCGTACCATCTGCCCAGCGCCAATGACACCAAGGCTCTTCACCTCGGCCGCATAGCGACGTTGAGAGGTGCTGAAGCAGCGGGCGGTGCCCAATGCCTGTCTTCGGAAGAGTGAAGCCGACATTTTGTTGGTGGTGAAGTGTGAGATCGTGGGGAAGGTTGGAACATCGACGACGACGGATCTGTGGGCGAGATGACGCTGAGCGGCTAACCTCGGCTCTGGGGTCAAAGTTGACAGGAAGTGGATAACGGATGCTTATCGGTTATCGTGATAGTGGGTCTATCAATTTACGCGAGTCGACACCCAGAGACGCGTTTCGACGCGTCTGCCGTAGTGCCTAGGTACCTTGGTAGTGGGATGCTCGAGCTTTCACGTTACGACATTGAAAGTTGGCATTCTCGAGCTCCAAACGACAGTGGCCGCCAGGATGGAGGCATCTGACCTCAATAACGACATTGTCCATCCCGAAGTTCGAGCGCACATCAACTCTCTCGTCTCTGCTGTATGTCATCCGACCATTGAAGCACTCCTCATGATCGCTGACAACGTAGCTCGGTGGCGTCAGCCAAGAAGACGACGGTCGATACCAACTCGGAGACGATGCTCTCGAAGTTCTGCGCGATATCAAACGATGGATCCGCTTCTACGATGAGAAGACGAACCGAATGGACGTTGCGCGATGCGTCTACGAAGCGAACCTCATAGAGGGCGACCTTCTCCCCATCCTCTCCCTGTGGCCCGAAAATACGACGGACAGCAAGTACAAGGCACGGATAGCGCTATCCTGCTTTGAGGTTATGGTGCCGTTGACATGGCCTATGCAGAGGGACCGAGAGGCTATGACGATCAACCACCATCGCCACATGCCGGTTCTGGAGCTAGCCCATGTCGCTTACAAGAGAGCCATCCTCAACTTTGACGGCGCGAGGGTCCTCAACTGCGCTGTCAGAGTTGCTTTACCGGCCATGCAGAAGCCGATCAGTGAGCGCACGCAGAGGGACCAGGGCATCATCAAGCTGGCCTTGTTCTTCTTGCGAAACGTTGCTGCCATTGCCCCGCCACCGGGTGTTGCATATGATGGGGACGAGTCACAAATTTCGAGATCCGCAATGATCGACGCCTTCTCGTTCCAGGATATCTTTCACCTCCTGCTGATGCTCGCGTCGAATATGGGAGAGGACTTCCGGACGGAGGACACCACGGTTATGGAGGTCTTGTACCATCTGGTGAAACGGATCAATGTCAAGGAGCTGTTCATGACCGAGAAGCAAGCGGAGCATGCCCAGGGCAATGAGCTTCGACAGGCCATGAGGAAGGAGACCAACATGCTCAGGTCGCAGAATCAAACTCGGGGCGGACGAAACAATCGATTCGGCTCCATGATCTGGGTGAAACGCGATGATGGGAAGATGACCACCTTGACGGGCCAGGACGCTGTATCTAGCGCCGCCACGCGACAACGCAAAATGGACGAGGCAAAGACATTCAAGCCGCCGCGGCGAGCCAAGAAGGAAGACAAGCACGATCGGGAAATCGGACCGGCAGTCACCCTGGACTCTCGAGCGACGAAGCAACTACGGACGTTCGTGGAGGATTTCCTGGACTCAGGCTTCAATCCCCTATTCTCCCACGTTCGCAAGACCATCGACCGAGAGGCCAACTATCTGATGGCGTATCACAAGCGGCAGTTCCTCTACCTGGTCGCCTGGTTCCTGGAGGCGGAGCGCATGCGGCGCAAAGCGAAACAAGAGTCGGGCGTGCGGGACGCCGAGGAGGTGACGAGCTTCAACCTCGTGGCGGGCGTTTTGAATCAGGAAATGTTCATCACCCTGAACAGGGCGTTGCACAACTCATTCGAGGCGAAGGAGTGGCATGATCTAACAGCTGTCATGCGTTGCTACACGCAGATCTTCATGACCGTGCAAGAGATGCAACAATGCGGCCGGGAAGACGACGAGGAGATTGCGGAGAACATTCTCAGTCGACTCTTCTACGAGGAGGCTACCCATGATGCGATCACCAATATCATCAGGGGGTATAAGGACCAGGGGTTTGACTACCTGGACGCTGCCACGGAACTGGTGCACCACTTCTTGAGGATCTTGGAATCGTACTCAAAGCAAAATGTCGACATGCAAGTTCGCTCGCGGAAACGGACCAGAAGGAAGAAGAAAGCTGCCCAGGCAGCCGAAGGCGTCGCCGCGTCCGACGACGAGGATGACGGCTCGGGCAACGACGAAGCTGCCGCCGAGAAGACGTCCAAAGACCGCAAATTTGACTTTATGCGTTTCGCGTCACGGTTCACGCCCCAGCCTATTGTGAATACGTTTGTCACGTACACCAAGTACTACCGCGACCTCAACGAGGACCAGCTCAAGCGTGCGCATCGATTCTTCTACCGCATTGCTTTCAAGCAAGAAATGGCCGTCATGCTCTTCCGCGTGGATATTATCCACCTGCTCTACAATATGATCAAGGGACCCGAGGCGCTCGATGCCAGCCTGCGGAGCTTCAAGGAGTGGGAAGATTTAGTGAGACACATTATCCGCAAATGCACCAAGAAGTTGGAAGAGCGGCCCGAGCTGGTTGTGGAAATGCTGTTCAGCAAATTGCCCAGCACGGCATTCTTCTTGGAACATGGCTACGAGAAGCAGACGATCAGGACGACACAGCCCAAACCAGCGGCAGAGCTAGAGTTCAAGGATGCCGGGGCCATGGAGCGTGACAGGCAGATTGCGATTGTGGTCGGCGCTCTGCTCGACAAGAACCAGGCAGACTTGGTAGCCTTTGTCAAGAAAGTCGCAGGGGATGCTGAGGTGGAAAGGAAAGCGTGGCAAGATGCGGAGAGGATACGGCAGATGGAGGCAGATCCCTTTGATGAGGGCACGACTGAATCCGACCCAAAAGCACCTCCTGTCATCTGTGAGCCATTTACCCCTTTTCTTCCGGATTCCATTCTAACATCTGCAGTCGCCCGTCCGGACAACGATGGCCAACGAACAGCCATGTTCAAAAACTCGCATCTTCGACTGCTCATGTCGCTCGCCGGCTTCAAACTACTCGGTGCAGCTGATGAAGAGACTCGCGACTCGTCGTGGATCATTCCCTCGGAGATCACCCCAGATCATCTCAAAGACACCGTTCACTTCATCAACCAAGCAGAGTTTAGCCCCCCGACGTTCGAGGAAGGCGTGCTGGCAGAGCATCAACTAAAACGCAAAAACGTCTCTCGGAAGAAAGCCACATTTGATGACGACGACGAAGGGAACGCGGATAATGACGACTTCCTGGACGATGAGATGCTTTTTCCCGCTGGGGGGCCGACAGCCCGCAAGGCAGAGAAGCCAGCCGAACCGAAAGCAACACGCAAACGGCTGCAACGCAAAGAGCAGATCGAAGAAGAGCTCGATGAGAAAGCCCGAAAGCGGAGGGAGCGCGAGAGAGAGAAGCAGGCGCGCATCAAGTCGGCGCTGCGCATCCAGGACGGAGACAGCGACTTTGACGAGGAGGAAGATGAGGCGTTCTTCAGGAGGGAGAGGGAGATTGCCGCCAAGGCGGCCATGGTAGCGAAACAGGCTGGCACCGAGCTCGCCGATGTGCTGGCTGGCAGCAAGAAGAGGAAGTCCACAGCACTGGTGGACAGTAGCGATGGGAATGACAGTGGCAGCGACAGCGATGCAAGCAGTGGGAGTGACGGGAGGAGGAAGAGGCGTACGACAACTGTGTTCGATGACGAAGAGGCGGATGGCAGCGCGTCACAGCGCAATGGTGCCTCCCCGAGCCGGAGTGAGGGCGAGGACGAACAGGACGAGGATGCCGTTGAGCAGGGTGCCAAAGACAAAAGTCTGGCACCTGAGAGTGGAGAAGAGGAAGAAGACGACGATGATGCGCCTATTCCTGCACGAAGACCAAGGGTAAGAGGTGGCTTTGTGATGGATGACAGTGACGACGATGAATGAACTAGGTAGCATTGGCATGGAGTCTGGTAATATGTATTCGGAAAATGGCGCGGTCTAAGTAAATGCCATGGTATCTATCTCTTTGAATCAGTCAAACGCTTCTTGTTCAATTCTCTTATCCGGCCCTTGTACTGCCAACGGACCGTTTCTCGATGTTGTCACCCAAGACTGTTCCTGTGGTCGTGGCCCCGTGGGCTCCTTCACCGGATGCGCCAGCCATGATGCCCTCATTCTCCTCTTCGACCTCTGTGGTCTCCTCACTCTCGCGGCCACCCCACGAGCCGCCAATGCCTTCCATGGTGAAGGGGCTGGCGGTGGGTGCGTCCAGAACGCCCAACTCGTCCTGCGACAGGATCTTGGGGAGGAGCAGCGCTCGGATCGGGATCAATGCGAAGATGAAGACGGGGAAGCCCACGGCAGCGACCGTCTGTGTGATGGCAAACGTGGCCGCAAAGCCCACAATCTCGATGCCGACAAAGATCCAGATGGCCGAGCGGCGCTTGATGGCCTTGAGGGGGTGGTTGCTAGGCGTCAGGTGCTGGTCCCGGCAGAGGAAGAGGAGCTTGTCCGTGATGCCGTTGCCCGCGAGCGCCTGGATGCCCATGACGAAGAAGAGGCCGGCCAAGACGCCCTGGGGAATGAGATGCAGCACGACCAGGAGCGGGCCCGACATCGTGCCCAGCGTCAGCAGGCCCTGCGCGAGGTTGCTGACGCGCTGCTCGACGACGTGGGTTGCCTCGAACGTGTAGCCCCCCTTGTCCTCGCCCTTCTCGTTGAGCTCCTTGACGGGCTTGGTGACGCAGAGAGTCGGTGTGGAAGGGCGCCTGGGGGATGAGGCCGTTGGGGAACGGCAGGCCGAGAATGCCAGCCACGCCGGTGGTGAGGCCGAGGAGGAAGAGGTCCCAGTGGAAACCAGCCGGTTTACGGAGGGGGAACTCGCTGCCTTGAGCGATCAGGGACGACACTGCGGGCAACTGGATCAGCATGTATACCGAGAATGAGGATGAAAAAAGCAACGTACCATTATGGTCGAACCAGAAAAGAACCGTCAGGAGGACTGCAAAGGGCAGTGCGAGGAAGATGTCCCCGACGCTCAGTTCCCAAAACTTGACCAGCCAGTTTCGGTTGTCGTTTGTGGGCATGAACGACGTGCTGGTCGGAAGAACCTCGAGATCCACGCCCCGCATGCGCCCAATGTGCACAAACCCCGTGAAGAAGATGAGAGTCAGCGGCGTGCCATAGTCCTTGATGAACACCCTGATCCAGTGCTTGAACAAGAAGCTCCCGCCAATGATGCCGCATATGTACGCACACATGAAGACAAGCAGGGCCACCACGATGGACAGGTAGAAGGATGATGAGCTCCCCAGGCGCTCGAGGACTTGGACGCCCTTTTGCAGGTAGATAAAGGCGACGTAGAAGCCGAAGATGTCGCAGGGGAACCGAGTAACCCAGCGGAGCCAGTTACAAGAGTTCGTGATGGCAAGGATCCAGTGCAGGATGAGAGCCCAGCTGCAACAGTCAGAAAGGCGGCCGAGGTGCTGTCGCGAGGGATACTCACATTCCTATCCAGCACATGAAGCCAATGTAATTGACCCCTGTGGGATTCATGATATCGTAGACAGTGCTGCACATATGGTCAGCCAGGTGAATCCCAGTCAGTCAGTCACGCAGGCGATCGAGGTGGACGAACTAATTGAAGACGGTGATGGGACCTGGAGCGTATCAGCATGCATTCAACAATCGAGCGGACCATCCTTACCTGTTACTCCCACAATGACGAGCGGCTGCGCTGAGAACAGCGAGAAGACCACAGCCCCTAGCACGGATGCCAGCAGCACCTCATTGACGCCGTACTCGGTGCCAGTGTTCTGGAACATGTCCAGTGAGAAAGCCAAAGCGGGTAGAATACTAGTTGCCGAAAGTCAATCTTCCACGGTTCCATTGTCGAACGTCTGATGCGAAGGCTAGTTGAAGAACACTTACTTGGCGAAATACATGTAGATGGTGGCGGGCACCACTCTATAGTCCCACGCGTCGATCCAGTCGCTCAAGTAATGCGGTGCTCTCCTCCTCACATCATTGATCATGCCTCGGAATAGATGTATCTTCCACCAGCTCTCGCCTCGACGAGGCGCTTGACGCTCTGCGTCCATGTTTTCTGTTGCTGGCTGGGCTGAGGCAGCCATGATTGTCGTCGATTGAGCGGCTGGAGATATGCGATGCACATGCAAAAAAACACGACAACTTGAGAGCCTCCTTGGCTTCAGGTACAAGAAAAAAACAAAACTTAAAATCTGACTAGGCGCGCCGACGAAGAAGAGGCCTCAGAGAAACAAAAAGGGAGGTAGGCCGGGAATAATCAGAGGAGGTTATCCTTGAGTTATATGCGACGGAATGAAGACGAAGGAGGGCCCGTAATTACTGTAATTAAGACCAGGTGTATACCAAAAGAAGTAAGTGCTCAACGAAAGTAAAGTTTCCGAGATTCCCCCACGAAGACCCGAAGAAAATAGCTACGTACGTATCCGTAGTCGCGCCCTGCTAATGAAGGATATGGGGTGTGTGACGGAACGCGTATTGACTAGTGGTGGTCCTGACTTTGGACCTTTGGCTTTGGCAAGTTCATCGATTTATCTGCTAGATAATTTTCACACCACACTGGGTCGCTGATGAGTCCATCTGGGCGCGAGTCGTGGTCCAAGACGCTGTCGATGAACCCATCAGTTGATTCCTGAGGCACGACAGGCAGAACAGAGAGAGGAGAGTTTCCTCCGCCACTTTGAGGATGATGTCAGCATCCCAATCGACCGTACAAACGCGCAGAAACCAAACGCAACCCATGATCGCATCGGGATACCAATCCGTGCCATTGTTTCCAGTCATCGCCCACGGCTCACAGCATCAAATGTCGTTCAACATCATCCATGGCGATGACAAGGGACCCGGCGCCTTTTCCTGCCGGGAACTTTGTAGACCAATGACAACGGGCGAGGACGGCTTGGCCTGTCGGATTAGTGCCGCTCCTGATGGGCCCGCGCGACGTCAACGGCGGCTTTGCATGTATGAACGGTTCGGTTAGTATCTTTTTTTGCGCAAGAAAGGGTATTCTTATGCGTGAGATGCATGAGGAGGCCTTGTGAGCGGTAGGGACACAGTCGCGCATCAGTACTTCATGACGACGTTGTCACAGATCAACAGCAAATGATGCTTATCTGGCTGGAATGAGCAACGCCACGTATCACACGTCTCGACTTGGCTCGAAGAATACTCTAAGAACTGGAGGATGCGAGCGTCCTCGAGCGAATATAGTACATATAACAGTACAAATAGCGTCTATGCCCTCTCTTCCTCCTCCCATCACCCGCCCCCTCGTAGATTCCAAGCACGTTTGGGGCACCAAGATAAAATACAGATGAAAACTCCCGTACCCTGCAATGAGTAGAGAAGCATGCAATGCTGTGTGCGCTGCGCTGCGCTACGCCGCGCATCTCACCGCAGCGAGACCCGCTCATGCGCAAGGCGACCTCTTCTTCTTCCTACGTTAAATTCGCTGCCTCGGGCCGCCTCCACATGTCCATCAATCCACAGCGGGACCATATCAAACTTTGGTCCCAGGCGCGGAAGAACCGAGTTGATGACGGCGCAACCAATCAACCGTCCCGGGAAAGTTCCCATCGTGTGTGAAGTTCCCTTGGCTCCCCAAATCACCCCCGGACGCTCCTACAATCGTGCCAAATAATACTCGGTATGATTGGATCCTATGCTGACTCTCCCTCACCTTCTCGACTCCTCGGTGGGTAGTGTTGTGAAGGCAGGGGCCGGTGTAGGTTGGTCGGGGTTGTCCGTGTCGACCGGGTTGGCGCCCTGACCGCCGCCAAAGTACTTCTCAAACTCCTCGTTGTTGTCGCCAAACTGCCTCTTGCCCAGCAGTCGGACCATGTCGTCTCGCACGAGCATCTCCTTCTTCAGGAGCTCCTCGGCCACGAGTCCCACTTCCTTCTGCTTCTCCGTCAGGAGGTCCTTGCACCGCTGGTAGGCCTCGCGGACGATGCGCTCGACCTCGCCGTCGATCTGGAGTGAAGTAGCCTCCGAGTGACTCTTGGTCACGGCGTTGGGGTTGTCCTCAAAGTGAACAGGGCCCACCTTCTCGGACATGCCCCAGTCCATGACCATCTTGCGTGCCATCTGAGACACCTTCTTGAAGTCGTCGCTCGCTCCGGTCGTGACAGTCGGGAAATGAAGCTCTTCCGATACGCGACCTCCCATAGTCATGGCCATGCGGTCCATCAGCTGGTTGGTGTTCATGAGATAGGCATCCTGGGGCAGGTACTGGGCATAACCCAGAGCACCCTGCCCTCGAGGAATGATAGACACCTTTAGCAGGGGATCAGCATGCTCCAAGAACCAACCGCAGATGGCGTGTCCGGCTTCGTGGTATGCAACAGTCTTCTTCTCCTCGGGCTTGAGCACCAGCGACTTGCGCTCAAGGCCACCAATGACTCGCTCGATAGCCTGCTCAAAGTGCATCATCTTGACCTCGTCGGCGTTGGCTCGGGCAGCTATAGTTGTTAGCAATGTTCTTCTTGACCACTTTCCCCTGCTGCATGTTCACTCACCAATCAGCGCGGCCTCGTTGACGACGTTGGCAATGTCGGCACCGGCGAAGCCAGGAGTCAACGTCGCCAAGCGACCAATGAGATGCTCCGTGTCCTCGTTGGTCACAATCTTCTTCAGGTATACGGCAAAGATCTCCTTGCGGCCCTTGAGTGTCGGGCGGTCAATGTAGATGTGCCTGTCAAAACGACCAGGACGCATCAGCGCCTTGTCAAGGACGTCGGCTCGGTTCGTGCCGGCAAGCACAACGACCTGCTCGCGAGTGTTGAATCCGTCCATCTCCGTCAGGATCTGGTTGAGCGTAGCCTCGCGCTCGTCATTGCCACCGAAACCTCCCTTGCCTTCTTGACGAGAGCGACCGATAGCATCAATCTCGTCAATGAAGATGATGCAGGGCGCGTTCTTGCGACCTTCGGCAAAAAGGTCGCGGACACGCGAAGCACCAACACCAACAAACATCTCGACAAACTCCGAGCCGCTGACACTGAAGAACGGCACGCCAGACTCGCCAGCAGTAGCCTTGGCCAGCAGCGTTTTACCCGTACCGGGAGGGCCGGCCAAGATAGCGCCCCGTGGGATCTTGGCACCGAGCTTCTCAAACTTTTGAGGGTTCTTCAGGAAGCTGACAAACTCGGTGATTTCCACCTTGGCCTCCTCCAAACCAGCGACATCGGCAAACTTGACGCTGACGGAGCTCTCGGCATTGAAGCGCTTGGCCTTGCTCTTGCTGAACCCCATGATGCCGCCGCCGCCACCTCGTCCAGCCATGTTCCTCGATGTCCAGATAATGATACCGACAAACAGAAGGGTCGGGCCGAACGCCAAGAATAGGTTGCCCAGCGTGCTGCCACCCTTCTCGTAGCTGACAGGGATGCGTTCGTTGGGGGGGATGTCAAGGGCATCCTGCGCCTGCTCCAGTTGACGCTCAAACGACTTGATCGAGCCGATGGAGAAGGCGAGCTGGGGCTGCCCGGCCTGGGCTTCGGGCACCAGTTGCAGCAGGACCCTGCTGTCGTCTTCTACAACCATCTTGGTGACCAAGCCTTTGTCCAGATAGTTGACCCTGGCCTCTTGCCATGTAATCTCCTTGCTGACGCTGCGGTTGAACAGGAAATCGTAGCCGAACATGATGAGGAGGAGCAGCATGATGGACTGCAGACTGTCACCCCATCCGCCGCCGCCACCACCAAATGGCGAGCCGGGCTGTCCTGGTTTCCCTGGGCGCTTCGCCTGCTGTTGCGAATCGGCGTCCGACTTGCTTTGTTGGGCTGACCCCTCCTTGCCCTCCGATGTCTTGTTCTCCTCCTCTTTCTTCGGTTCCTCACCAGGCTTCTCATTTTGGTTAAAGTCCGTTGAGGGTTTCTTGTCGGTGTTCATCTTGCCCAGGGCGCCACCGGTCTGCGCATCAATCTCGGCGGCTCGTGAAGCGATCTGGACCGAGTAGCGCATCAGTCGGCCCTTGTCGATGATAGACAGCTTGCCATTCGTCCGTAGTTTCTGGATGACATCAACGGCCTCCTTTGGCACACCCGACTTCTCCACGATATGCAGAACCATCTTCATCTGCTCGGTGTACGCCGGCGGGCCGTTGCTGAGATGGCGAACAAACGCCTCCATTTGCGGTTTGGAGAGGTACACCCAGCCCTCAGGCAGAGGCAATGACCGCTCCTCTTCATCCTTCTTCGCTTCCTCCTTGGGGGCCTTGTTCTGATTCCCGTCGTCCTTCTTGGCCTTGTCTTTGGGCTCTGGATTGTTGTTCGTCGAGTACGGGCGCCAAGGTGTGATGCAGCGGATGGCCGATGGGCTGGGCGCTATTGACCGTGAGAGGATCGAGGGCTGCAGCTTTCGTGTCAACTGCTGGGGTTTCGATAGCCGTGCGAGGCGCGCCAGCTGCGCGGGTTGCCGTAGAAGTCGTGACATGGCGGCGCGCAGAGGTTGTTCGGCGAGGCGCGGAATCGCCGGTGATCACAGAGGTACTGGCAGTGACGAGGGGATGTCTCTATACGTGGGGGCGCAGTTTTCCGGATGTGTTGACAGCGTGAGACGAATCCTCCTGGGGGCAGAAGAACCAGAATGCAGCGCCACCTCTTGCAACGTCGATGGATGACACCACGAGGAAAGCTTTGGAGGTCTCGACGTAGAAAATGTGGGTCTGATCCCCTTAGCTCCGGACCATCGTGAGTCACGTGGTAGACTCGGAATCCGGATGCGGAGCTTGCCTTAAAGCCGGCACAGAACGGTGGAAGCGAATACTTCACGACAACATGATGAGGCGATCTCCAAAGTTCATTAATGCGGCGGCTCAGCAAGCTATTTTCCTATCTCCCATGTCCATGGATTCGATGGGCTGCTGCACATATATCGCACGCAGCTGCCCGCTTCCCTTGATGGGTACTTTCCGCCCAAATCCTCCTTGGTCCTTGTCACTCGACTCGAGGATGATCTCGGTCTGCTCATTCGCATCTGGCTTGATATCCGGACAGTCCCTCCATAACTCGATTATTCTACTCTTGCAGAAAGGATGGCGTGTACAATACTCGGCAACCCGCAGCGCTTGCGCATCGTCGCCAATCTCAAGCAAAAGGATGCGAGGATTGAGTTCCATCGCAATATCTAGTAGTCGGCTGTAGAAGATGTCATGACGTTCAAGTCCTTCTGGGGCATCGCCGAGATTTCTCTCGGGCACCAGGGCAAGGCGCGGCTCGTGTTGACGTACGGATAGTTCCACGTCCCCCGTGTCTTCACTCCATACTTCTTCGGAAATGTATGGAGGATTCGATGTCATAATGTGCCAAGTTTTTTGCCCGGGTTTGCTGAATATGTCCATTTCATCGTCTCTGAAAACATCGGCTTTATGGAATCCAATGCTCTGGCCTTCACGCGGACTGGCGATATTGCCCTGCTTCACGTTGTGGTCAAGGTTGTCTTTAGCAAGCTCCAGAGCGTGCGGTGAAACGTCGACACCTTTTACATCAACCATGATGTTTCTCCTTTGCAGACTCGCAAATACTTGCAGAGGGATACATCCTGTGCCGGTGCAGACGTCGATGACGTTTACAGACTCCTTGATCTCATCCAAAGGGCCGATGACATTGTGAGAAATGATCAGGTCCAGTAGATGATTGGTATAGCTCTCGGTTGCTGCCCGCGGAATCAGAACATTGGGTCTACAGAGTATCTCCAAGGAGCCGAAAGGCTGCGTGCCTAGGATGTACTGCAAAGGCACGCCTTGGCCGCGCTGTCGACAGAGCTCGGTCACCACAGCAGGTGCCTTTGCGGGCGAGGTAGTCTTCTCAACATGCTCCCGAAGCCATCGCAACTCATTCCTGGCCGACTCTAGGTCTTTGCAGGTGGGAAGGAGCAGTGCCAAATTTGGCGGAATGGAGGAATTGGTTCGCAAAAGCGATGAATGGCGTCGCAGAGGCAAGGTACGTAGTAGTCGGGATGTAGCAGGCCGGATCATGAGATGGCTCATCGCGCAGAGCTGTAGGACGAGGTAGCAGGGATGAGATCCCCTAAAAGCGACATGTTAACCCCGTGCAGCAGTAGTTGGATGTTGTGTGACGTTTCAATCCCGCATCAAATGGTAGTAAAACAAGAGGTGTCGTGAGCTCGCGAGTTGATATCTGGTCCTGAATTTCGGGCACCTCCTGCACTAACAATTTTCAGGCCAACATTGCAGCGGACCCATAAAAACCGCCGCGTTCCTCAGGCTTGGTGCATCGTGGGACACAGCTGTGCATCTCATCTTCAAGCAAGCCCTTCATCATAAACTCACGACACGAACCTTGCATCAGGTGGATTACGACAAAGTGACGACTCTTCTTGAACACTGCATCCTTCTCTTCGGCTATTTCCGCAACGTTGTCTGTCACGAGGCGTCAGCTCTGCCCTACACATTTCACCCTTCTCCGTCACTTTCCTACACTCAACCAAAATGAACGCGCCAGATAGGTAAGCGACAATTTTCACTTTATGCATCTAGAGCCATTTCTGGCTTTGTGTGGAACTTGTTGTTTGTCGTCGGTAGTCGACGACTTCGAAGGCGGTCGGTCCCTTGCGGTTTACGCGGGTCACGCATTCTCAACAGACAGAATGCTCAGTGAATTAGACGGTTCAATACGTGGACTGGTTCCATGTCATTGCTTTGCCTGGGTTGCTTAGCCGCAGCCGGGTAACAAGCAGGGCAATCTCTACGATATAGATCACGCGCTTTTCCACGGAGAGCTTTGAACTGACAACGCTAGGTTCGAGCTCTTCTTGCTCGGGGACGATGAGAAGAAGATCGAGGAGAAGGTCTACTCTGGTTCGTGCTCCCTCGTCGCCGGTATTGTGCAAGGCTGACTGCGTTCTGAAGGCATGTCGAACACGTCAGATTTCATCTTGAAGAAAGAGGATCACACACTTGGCAATTTGCTGTCAGAGCACCTCAAGGCACACCCTCACGTCTACATGGCTGGTTACAAAAGTGAGCATCCACCTACATTGCCAGGCTGCTTCATCTCTGACATTACTAGTCGCTCACCCGAATGTACCTGAACTATTTATTCGTGTGCAGACAGACGGAACGATGACACCAAAAGACGTCTTTGTGGAAGTCTGCGGCAAGCTGATCAACCAACTCGAAGAGCTGAAGAGGAAATTCCTCACTGAATGGGAATTGCGTCGCGTGGTGGACCAAGGAGAGCAGGGCAACATGATGTGAAAAAGAGGGAGGGTGTCGGTCGATCTATCACACGTCGGAGTTTGGGGATTTTGTTTTCTTGGAGTTGGGTGTCGTGGTCTCCTTAGATGGCCAGGGTCACAGACTACGCGAGTCTTACCGCGTCAAGGGGGTGCAAATGGACATGGGCCATCCTCGCATCTGATCTTTTTTTCATTGACCGATCGCATCTCGCATATGAACAACTTTTCCTATCTCTACGCACCCTCCGGCCCTTCACCGCCTGGGATCAGCTGGAGTACATTGTTAGCTTGAGCCTCATAATGCCGAAGGGGGCAGCTAGACTAGACTCACCATGCATATGTTGTTTCCGTTCAAAAGAATCTTGGGCAATTTTGTGTGATTCCCTGAGTAGTCGCTGAATAGTTAGCGCAAGACTTTGAAGACAATTTGAAGGCTTCATACAACTCTGTTACGTCTTCCAACACCATGTCTGTATGCAATTAGCCCTGCGCATGGTTTTGGAGATGAATTCACTTACTGACGTAGTCGTCGAAGCCCATGAGGGTGCCACTGAACTCTTCAGGAGGTCAGTTCAAGTCCTGCACAATAGTCTGGAGGAATCTCACCCTTATCGCCCTTCATAATGACCCAGATTCTTGAGCCGACACATTTGTCGATGAGCTCTGCCAGTCTCATTAGCATCTCCCACGTGCAGCGTCATGAGTGAGCTGCTCACCGAGGGGTAGTAGTTGGGAGGCCATCCTGCGGATATACACGTAGTGTTGTGTGGTGAGGAATGACGAATCGGCTGGGATAAAGGTCAGGGCTTCTTGAGAGCCCTTGATATCGTAATGTTGGGGTTCGTGTGTCAGGATGTCTCGACTCCGATTCTGTAACTCACTCGAACACAAGGTGGGATATTCGACAGCTCTGCCTCTCACTGAGATCACCGCGACCCCACGTCAGTGCGTGATGATGACTAAGCCGCGTCCGGCCGCTAGTCACGCGCCCGCGACGTGCTTCATTGACCTCAGCTCTGGTGCTCCTCCACCCCGCCCGCATGGCTGCCTGCGATAGCGCCCTTGCATGCCATGGCAGTCGGTCATCATGCGTGGACGATCCGCAGAGCCGCCCATCGACTTTGGGTCACCAAATATGATTCATTCTCGCACAAGATTTTGTCCAGACCATTGTCAATGCGAGTCCAAACGCCCACGTTTTCGCTCTCCCATTTCCTGACATTATCAGTAGCTTCAAGACAAAGACCATGACTCCGTCTTGCGAGCTGAGCGGTGGTACGTGGCGGCAGCAGACGGTCATTCGTCCTGCGCCCCCTGCCGAGTCGAAGCCCCTATACCCTCACATCGATATTTCGCGGTACATCAACACATTTTCCCGATTATCTTTTCGCGAAGACGACTCGTCGCGCGCGGCCGCAAACGACACTCAGAATGAAGCAATATCAGAAGCGCAAGCCGTCAACGGTACAGCAAGTGTCGAGGATACATCCAAGATCGAAAACGATGCGCGCGCAATAGCCGATGCGGAGACCGTCGATGTGCCCATTCAAATTAGACCGGCTAAGCCGCCTCGAACTCATCTGCAATACCAGCTCGATGCGAAGGCTTTCCATCAGGCACGGAAGCTATCAACTGGTCACCCTGACTATTATTGGTCCCACACGATGTATCGAGGCCCGGTTGAAAACGGCAAAGCACGACATGTCAAGGTTCACTACTGCATCAGTAAGGCGACCTTTGAGTATGTGTGCCGAAAGTACTTTCTCGGCGAGCCGGTCCTTGGCTTCGACTTGGAATGGCTAGCTGGCGCGAGCAAAGACGATGGCACTCGAGCAAACGTATCGTTGATACAGCTTGCAAGCCCTAGTCGCATTGGGCTATTCCACTGCTCGCTGTTTGCAAAAGATGACTTCGTGGCGCCGACATTCAAGGAGATTATGGAAGACCCAAGTGTCTTCAAGACTGGCGTGGCTATCAAGGCTGACTGTTCGCGGCTGGCTAAGAACATGGGCGTGCAAACGCGGGGTATTTACGAGCTGAGCCACTTCCACAAAGTCATCAGAAGCCAGATCGAAGGCACCTACGGCCCACTGAAGAAATCTCTGGTCCCTCTTCGTCTGCTGGTCGAGCAGTACACTGGCCTCCCTTTGTACAAGGAGAGCAGCGTACGATCGAGCGACTGGACCAAGTCGCTGAACTCTCGGCAGATAAAATGTAAGCCTTCGAATCGACGATTTCCGCCTTGAAACTGACGAGATGCCAGATTCCGCAGCAGATGCTTATGCCGGTATCCAGCTCTACCACCTTCTTGAGGAGACACGCTTAAGCCTTGATCCGCCTCCGGAGCGACCGCATGCAGCTGAGCTTGGATTGCCCTTGCCACAATTAGCCAAGCCTCGAAACGCTGACGAGACCAGCGGGGATAGCTCCGAAGAAGATACAGACACAGCAGGGGTAGTCAAAGGGCCTGAACAGACTCAAGCCCGCAAAGTCCCCAAGCCTAGCACGAAAGGCGACACCAAACCGAAGAGCGTCGATAGCCGCATCGCCGCCGGCGAACTGTTGGCTCAAAAATATCGCGAAAAGAAATCGAGGCCCGTATCTGTAGGGCCTGCTGCCTTGAGAGCGTACTACATATGGCGCAGCAACGACGACATGACACCCGCAGCCATTGCGAAGCTACTTAGAGACCCGCCTCTGCAGACGAACACCGTCATCACATACATATTGAGCTCGGTCACGAGCGAAAAACTTTCCTTTGACAAGGGAAGAATGAAGAATGAACTGCTGGCAGTTCTGGCGCCTGCGGCGCTCGATTCCCCCAAGTACCAGGCACTGGTCAAGCAATGCACGGGGAATTAAACATGGGAACAAGATAGGGCTGGAAGGCGGAAACTGCCTCCAGACATGCACAAAGACAATGATACCACAAAGACGATTTTCAGGACATGTACTTGCTTTCTTCTTCTTCTAAATCATGAATTAAGGATATCCCTGCCGCGATTCACCTGCACGCGCTTATCTTCACCACCACTGACAATGCCCCAGGTGCTGTCCCATGCCACGCTCAGCACCTTGGCGCCTTCGCCAGCCGTGGGCAGTTTCTTGTTCTTGAGCCATTCCCTACCGATGGTGTACACCGGCTCGCTGACCCGACCGCCGCCCTCGTCGGCCGAGCCTGTGCGGGCGCTGCGCAGGTCCCATACCCGACACGTGCTATCATGCGACCCCGAGACAAGGGAGTACTCGTTGTCGGGCGACGCGGCTATCGAGGTGACCATGTTGACGTGTCCCCGCAAAGTCATGGCGGAGGTTGTTGTGGCGGACTCTCGGGGGTCGAGCAAGGTGATGTGGCGAGCCGACGATCCAGCTGCCACCAGTGAGTTGGGCAGCGCCGCCGCTGACATGATGGGGTGCATGGTCGTGAGCCTGGACACTTCCCGCTGGGTTGTCAAGTCGATCGTCTTGACAGTGTGGTCCTTGGAGGCGGTGTACGCGACGGTCGAGTCGTGGGGGTGGAATACGGCAGCCGTGACGGGCTCGTCGTGAGCAGAGATCATGGCCAGCGGTCCACGCTGGGCGGTCGTGGCAGAAGCAGCCAGCTTCGCCTTCTTGTTGCTGTGCGCCGCCGGCAGACTCTCCGGGTCCGCCTGAGGCGCCGTCCTTTTCGATGAAGTCCACAGCCCGACCCGGCCGTCAGAAGAAGCTGAGAGAATGCGCCCCGTCGCGCCGTTGACTGCAATGTTGTTAATCGCCTTCTCGTGGCCCCAGAGCTCCATGCTCGGCTTCAGAGATCCGGAGAACCCATCGTCGGCCTCGCTGTAGTCCCAGACGACCAGTTTCCGATCCAGACCTCCAGAGACAAGCTGCTTTCCTGAAAGCCATTTGACAGCATCCAGTCGTGCGCTGTGACCGCCGTTTCGTCCAGATGAGGATACTGCGATCGCAGTCCCAGAGGGGTTCCACACCCTCACGAGGCCGTCATAGGACGCGCTCGCTGCGCGGTTGCCGAACACGTCCACATCGCCAACCCAGTCGTCATGTTCGAAGCTCGCCTCGTAGACGGGGGGGATCAAGCTGCGCACGTACTTGAGTGTGAGGGTCGTTTCGGCAGAGAGTCCTTCGCTGGCCAGGTGTTCCTCGATTGTCGTGCGGAGAAATGTGCCATTGGCAAGGAAATCCAGGGGTACGGGGGAGGACGTGTCCAGCATGGACGACGAGTTCAGGATTCGAGACAGGCCATAGCGTTTGATGTCGGCAGGCACGAGCAACTGCTGCTTGGTTTCGGGAAGCGCGAGGTCCGGTTCGTCGGTGGTGAAGATGACCTTCACCTGCGTCGGTGAAGAGTCCACGTCCATCTTGGTGCTGTATCGCGGTAGCAATCCAGTCGGAGTCTGTGTGCCTTGGAGTGACTGCGCGGAATGGAAGTGCAGCTTGGCGATCTGAATATCGCTGTGTAGCAGCGACTGCTGGGGTTGGCAATTTTGGCTTTGCAGTGTTGGCGGAAAAAATTTGGGTGGAACTGTCAGCCTCGCAGTGGTGTCTCCACTGCGGGGTGGACAAACAGCCAATGGCAGTGCATTACTGGCAAGGCTGTGAGCATCCCGGCCTGTTCAGTAAGGTAACGTTTCGGTTGTGGTTGGGACTCTGACCTGAAAAGAGAATCTTCACACGGAGAGATGATTATTACATCTGGCGATTGGCGACTCCTTTTTTTTTCTTTTTTTTTTTTTTTTTTTTTTTTTGGAATACCACGTCTGTGGCCCTAGTCCAAGTCACGAATGAACTGAGGGACAAGAGTGCGTCTTGAGTTGATGAGTGCGGTCTACCCTACAGCCTCAGCGCCACCTGTGTTCCAGTTATACCTGGTAATTTTTCTCTCAAACCAATTGTGATGCGCTGTGGAGAAGGTTGTTCAAGTGCCTTGTATTATTACAAAAGAGATAGCCGTTGAGGCTCTATTTATGCGTTCTTGATCGCATGA